ATCTGTATCTGTATCTGTATCTGTATCTGTATCTGTATCTGTATCTGTATCTGTATCTGTATCTGTATCTGTATCTGTATCTGTATCTGTATCTGTATCTGTATCTGTATCTGTATCTGTATCTGTATCTGTATCTGTATCTGTATCTGTATCTGTATCTGTATCTGTATCTGTATCTGTATCTGTATCTGTATCTGTATCTGTATCTGTATCTGTATCTGTATCTGTATCTGTATCTGTATCTGTATCTGTATCTGTATCTGTATCTGTATCTGTATCTGTATCTGTATCTGTATCTGTATCTGTATCTGTATCTGTATCTGTATCTGTATCTGTATCTGTATCTGTATCTGTATCTGTATCTGTATCTGTATCTGTATCTGTATCTGTATCTGTATCTGTATCTGTATCTGTATCTGTATCTGTATCTGTATCTGTATCTGTATCTGTATCTGTATCTGTATCTGTATCTGTATCTGTATCTGTATCTGTATCTGTATCTGTATCTGTATCTTTATCTGTATCTGTATCTGTATCTGTATCTGTATCTGTATCTGTATCTGTATCTGTATCTGTATCTGTATCTGTATCTGTATCTGTATCTGTATCTGTATCTGTATCTGTATCTGTATCTGTATCTGTATCTGTATCTGTATCTGTATCTGTATCTGTATCTGTATCTGTATCTGTATCTGTATCTGTATCTGTATCTGTATCTGTATCTGTATCTGTATCTGTATCTGTATCTTTATCTGTATCTGTATCTGTATCTGTATCTGTATCTGTATCTGTATCTGTATCTGTATCTGTATCTGTATCTGTATCTGTATCTGTATCTGTATCTGTATCTGTATCTGTATCTTTATCTGTATCTGTATCTGTATCTGTATCTGTATCTGTTTCTGTATCTGTATCTGTATCTGTATCTGTATCTGTATCTGTATCTGTATCTGTATCTGTATCTGTATCTGTATCTGTATCTGTATCTGTATCTGTATCTGTATCTGTATCTGTATCTGTATCTGTATCTGTATCTGTATCTGTATCTGTATCTGTATCTGTATCTGTATCTGTATCTGTATCTGTATCTGTATCTGTATCTGTATCTGTATCTGTATCTGTATCTGTATCTGTATCTGTATCTGTATCTGTATCTGTATCTGTATCTGTATCTGTATCTGTATCTGTATCTGTATCTGTATCTGTATCTGTATCTGTATCTGTATCTTTATCTGTATCTGTATCTGTATCTGTTATTTACCCACATCTCGACGTCTCAATCAATGTATCTGCATTTGTATCTCCATCTCAATTGCTGCTCGCATCTGATGGAGCTGTTGACACCTTTTCTGTTGCTGCGTCAATCAGTCAGGAATCCAGCTGTCCGACTGTCTCGCTTTCTGTCAGGTTGGCTGTCAACTTAAGCGGCGAATGGCTGCCCGAGCTGTTTCTCATAATTTGTGGATACTTTATTGTGCTATTTATAAAAAGCATTTGCGCTTTGTCAATCACAATGTGAATTTCACTTCAAATTCCCAACACACTCGCACAGCTCCCTCGCACCGACACCAGACTCAAGTAGACTTGAGGCATTTACAAGTTGCTGGATTAGAATTTGACTTATTCTGCTGCCCTTGTGGAATTCATCGACTGGAGCTACAAAGTGAATGTTCATTTTGGAATTTACTTGCTGCAAAGTTCTTTCGCCTCAGCCGAAAAGCAAAGAGCAAATCACTGGGGCCCATGCATCGCTCACATACTTTGCACGCACTTTTGCTGCACATTTTGTTTCTCTCTCTTTTTTGCAGTTGAAATTGCAGTGGAGGGGACGACAGTCGCGGTGCGTAATGCGCAATTAATTTGTTTATAACTATTTCGAAATAATCTAATTTCATTCAGAAATTGCTGTAATTTGCCAATCAGCATTGAAAGTGAAGTCCGGCAATGCGAACGCGCGCGCCCGCCCAACAATAAACGCATCCATCTAAACAATCTAACAAGCCCAATCAACGCACAACGACCACGACCCAAATCCCAGATACAGATACGGCTACGGCGATAGATGCAGATACAACAAGCAAGACTGCCAGGACTGACTCTGCCTGACCATCAGATACCCTGTAGACTATGGCCCTCCTTACTGTTTAGGTCTGCTAAAAGTAAATTAGTATCTAGCTCGAAAGATAGATACCAAGACAAGGTTATTAGTATTATAGGGCTGGGCTGCCAGGCGAGTCCCTCGAATATGAACAACCCATATATGAATAGCAATCGCTGTCAGAGAAAGCTCACACATTCCATAACATCCTACACACGCCTGCATCCAATCCTATATACCCCGCTGACACACTTATAATGCGTCTAGGGTGTCGAATTGGGGTATATGGAAACAAATACATGTGGAAGTGCGTTCGCATTGCTGTTGATCTTCGCTTGAAGCAGGCTGCAGAGTGTACATATGTGTGCATGTGTGTGTGTGTGCATGTGTGTGTGTGTGTGTGTGGGCGGTTGGATGGCCTTCAGCGATCAATGTCATTTCGTTTGATTCCATTAAAGTGCGACCCCAAAAACAAAACAAAACACAATAAAATAAAAACTGCGAACTACGCAATGCGAAACAACAAAGCGAAAATGGAAATGGAAACTGTTTGCAGGGCAATGTGGATGCCCAGCAGCTGAGCGGGTGGCAGGGCGACTCTGTTTTGGCTCTGCGAATCAATCGCAACCCTTGCACTTCCCAGTCCACTCTCACATCCGTATCCACGTCCACGTCCACTTCCACTTCCACATTAAGCCCGCTCTATGGGAGTAGCAGGTGCGTAAGTTAACAGCTCCATTGACTACAGCCACACAATTTATCTTATTTTTAGCCTGACTTTGAGGCCGGCGTCAAAGGCACACACACATACACACCCACACACAGAGCACCTGTCCAGCCACGCCCGCAGCGCGGCAGCCCCCATCCCCCGCTTCCAACTACTGTCACCCAGGCCAGCCCTTTGCCACGTAATACACAAATTTCAGCATAACTTTGACTGGCTTATAAATGTCGAACGATTTATTTGCGGCTGTTTGCACAGGTAAGCGGCACAGGCGAGGAGCGGGGGACGGGGGAAGCTCGAACCACCTGCCCCTAAATATATATGTATAGGTATAGCTGCTATAGCTGACGCGTCTAACAAAGTGTTTCAAATTTGTTTACTGCTAAAAAAACGCAGGAGCTGAGCTGGTGGCAAATATGTGACTGGCTGATACTCTAATGCAATAGAAGAGGTATTAAAAAAAGAAAATATTTCTTGTCTTTATTAAGCATCGCATGTGATGTAGGCCAACTGCGAAGTTGCTAGCTAGTTTTCGTCTCTTGATCAGAACGCCCATCCGATATTTATCGATTTTTATCGACCTCGAATCAAATTCAGATCTAGATATATTTCTATGTGCTATTTGCCTGAAACCCAACTATGGTGATAGCTCTTTTAGTTTTCGACTTTTGATAAAAAAAACTCAGCCGATATTTATCGATTTTTATCTACCTTTCTTTCTAAGTGTTATATGCCTTAGACTCAACTTTGGTGATAGTTCTTAAATTTTTCGACTTTTGATCAGAAAACCCAATCGATGTTTATCTATTTTTATCGACCTTGAATCAAATTCTGATCTAGATCTATTTCTGTAGATCTATTTGCTGTATGCCTTAGACCCAACTTTGGTGCACATTTTTCGTGGCAAAAAATTGCGAATAGTTTTTTCGGCCAGCCTTGACTCGCTCGCCAAATGGGGCGTGGCACTTGTGTAGCAGCATTGATAGCTGCCATGGCCTTTTGGCCACGTCTTTTGCCAACAGATGAAGTGCAAAATCGACTTGAGAGCTAACAAGAAATGGAAGAAAAACTAGAAAAGAGCTCAGAGTGCAACTTTAATGGGCCACTCAGCTGCGAAGTGAATGTGTGTGCTCTGCGTGCGTGCGTGTGTGTGTGTCTGTGTGTCTGTGTGTCTGTGTGCGCGCTTGCTGGAGTGAATGAGTGCACGCAGCACACGTGGCGTATACGCAATCCGCTAGCTATATTGCGATGCTAGACACGTCGCTGTAGTTATCAAGGATTGTTCTTGTTCTCGTTGTTGTTCCTGTTGGCTGTTGCTGCCACCATTCAGGCTGCACTCGCAGTATTCACAGGTCCCGAACTGAATCAACAATCGAATCGCTGCGAATCAATTCACACACTCAAACATCAGCTTTAACTGAGGCACGCTGTAAACATGCAACGCACTCACATTCAATTGGAAAATTGAATAGATGCGATGCACCTGCAAATGGCGCCCTGGGACATAGATGGATTCACACATATCTATTAAGGAGATCTGATATAATTATAGCTGTCATTCTTCATATATACGTACATATACTTAATTCTATTCCAATACATACGCCTTGGATGAGTATATAGTGTGCACAGACTCAGATACTGATGATGTTTATGGATACCCATTTGATCTGCCTACTACGGAAACTTATTCGTGTTCTCTAGATGTCGAGAGATCTCTAGAAAACAGAGATATTTAGCATATCTGATGATGTTTATAGATACCCATTTGATCTGCCTACTACGGAAACTTATTCGTATTCTCTAGATATAGGGAAATCTCTAGAAAACTGAGATATCTGGCATATCAGCACTCAGAAACCGAGTTAACCAAGCTGCTACGATTCATCTACTAAATCTGTTTGGATCTCGTCACATTCTCCATCGAACTGACAAATATATGAAACATATCTACAATAAACTATACCCAAATTATGGTATACCATTAGAAATATAATCTGAAATTAATTAAATTCTGCCGAACTCTTCTAGAAACTTTAGTTTTGTAAATTTTTCCAAACTTTAAATCTTGGACTATAAATAAAACACAAACACGAAGTTTTTTAAATATGAACGTATTTTTTTCCACTCTGTACGTAATTCATATAAAATTAACTAAAATTTATTTTAAGCATAAAAGTTAACTTAAAAAAAAAAAAAAAGAAAAAAAAAGTTAAGATTAAGGAGCACTTTGAACTAGAAATACAATAATTAGCTATATATATATGTATATAGAGAGCTGCATGTGAGTGCGCATACACCCGGTCGGCACTCGGTATTTGCCTTTTGTCTAGCTGAAATAGTTTAAGAGCGTGCACTTGACGTTCGTGCAGTCGGGCAGTGAAGTGAACAAAACGCAGGATAACTTGTAGTCGTAGATGAATTCGCAAGTGGGATAACTGCAACGAGAACGAGAAGGAGGCAGAGGCAGAACCAGGGAAGGAGAAAGAGAAGAGAGCGTGAGTAAAAGAGGTATGAAGCAATATTATAAAATAGAAATTGAATTTCGCTTTGCGAAGCAAAAAGTAGCAATTGTAAAGGAGCTAAGCTAGTTATGGCCCTCTAGCCAGGACAGCAGGTCGTGACACGCGTGAGCTACTTAAAGCTGGAAGAAAATATAATTTAAATTGTGCTTGACTCGTAGATCTGGGAGCTGAACGGCTTTCGAATGAGTATCTAATACACATGCATTGCATCAGGCTTCTCATCATATATCCAAATTATAGATGGGACTCATCTTAAATTTCAGACAGACTTATATAAAAAGATCGATAATAAATGTCGATCGATTGAATAAAAAGTGTTAAGGCTTTAACACAGAAAGAACGATTTGTATCACTGTAAATTAAACGCAAATGTCCATCGATAACAATCGATAAGTCTCTTGTTGGCTGTAATTGAAAAGTCTTACGAGTCTTATGCAAAATTGAATGAAATACAGCACAAGCTAAGAATAATTCTTCACAAAAAATATTTATATCGATCGCTCTCTATAGCACTTTCTGTAGAATCGATATATTGATATCGATAACCATCGCATATGACACTATTTCCTTATAAAGCGTTTCACTTGTCACGTTTTCATCTCAAATAGTTAGTGGCATGAGGGAGGGGGGATTAGGTGGTCAATGACGGACATTGGTGCTGGGGCTGGGGGTGGTCAGAGTATCGATTGCTTACCTGATTGTAAAGAACCAGGTGCACTTGAAGTTGCACAGAATGCCATATGGTTTCTTCAGCTGCTCCTTCTTGTTGACAATGGTGTTCTGTAGATTGTAGCCATCGTAGCGGCGCCAGCAGTGATTGATGTTGCCTGCACGGGAGTAGAGTGGAGTAGTGTGGAGTAGAATGGAGTGGAGTGGAGTGAAGCGGAGGGATGTGGTGCTGGCACTTACGTCTTATGTGATGGCTGCCGCCATGGTGATGAAAGTCGCGTCCCTCCAACTGCATTCCGTGGCCGTTGGTGGCCTCGACGCCCGCGCTCGAGCTGCCAAAGAGCAGCAGGTACCACAATATCAGCGAGCTGACTATGAAGACGTAGCTCAGCACTCTGCCCATATTTCCCTTTCTACTAGGGGCGTGGCGCGCGCGGCTCGATTCGATTTGATGCGATTTGATGCGATTTGATTTGCTCTGGGCGGAGCCGTTGACGTTTCTTGTTTCTAGCTCGAAGCCGATGACAAAGCCTGGCTGCACTTTCTTCAGGTGGCGCCCCCTGTCTATGTGTGTGTTTGTGTGTGTGTGTGTGTGCAGGTGTGCGTGTGAGTGTGCGCGACTATATATATATATGTATGTGTGTGTGTGCGACGCTATGTGTGTGTGTGTGTGTGTGTGTATGTGTGCTATGGCTGTCGCTTTCGTTGCTGCTGCGAATGTCGCCCCTGCACTGAATACATTGTCTGAAAAAGTGAATTTGTTTTGGCTCCCCAACTGCTGAGCTGCTCCACGGTTGTGCGGCTTTGCCCGTCTCTATTTTCATTTGATTCTTTTCCATGTTTTTTCTCTTTTATTTTACCTCTCTATACGCTCTGTTTTTGTGCGAGCATTATAAATACCCCGCAAGCATGTGGCATAGGCATGGGGTAGATTGATTTTGCTTTCCATTTAAGTCACAGCCGGATGAGGGAAAAGAGAAGCTTACCAAAGACTTCGTGTTGCCAAGAGAAAATCTTGCCCAATTAGACTATGTAGGTCCAATTGGACATATACAATCCCAGCTGGAGTACAACTTCCGCTCATTATATCAATACGAAGTCTACAATTTGCACCCTCCTGCTCGAGAGGTAGTGTCAGTCGTTCATACCCGACTCTCGGGCTGTTGCTATATAGCAACATATATAGCATGTATATATATTTTGTTTTCGGTCCTCATTCATCAACCTATTCAATTTGAGTGAGCGAGTATTTTCGTCTTTCGGCTGCGCGCTTTGCGTTTCTCACTCGTTTCTCGTTTGCCTGTTTTGCCTGTCACTCATTTTGCTAATTTAGATAATCAACTGTGAATTAGCTTAGCATCGTCCCTCTCCCACACTCTATCTCTATCGCTCTCCCACTATCTCTCTCTATCTCTCTCTTTGCTCTCTGGCTGAGCCAAGCGGCTACGAACTGAGGCTCGCAGTCAACGCACTCGGGAATGTGTGTTTCTTAATTTAGATCTCACTAAATTAAGGCATGGTCATACATCGATAATTTAAATTGATGTCGATGGTTGACTTTTGTGATTATCGATAAGTGTACATTCATATGGATTTTCGTTTGTCTTAATCGATATTACGATAAACAAGTATTGCTGAACAATATTACCGAGAATCATTCGATATACCATGCTATTTCGATACATTTAGCAGACACATATTAATCGATAACAGTTTATCGCTGTCATTTCATGCTCGGTGGTAGTAGTGTAAGTTCATTAATGGCAATGAGTATTATAACGGTTAATCGATATCACAAATTATCGATAGCACCTATTAACAACGTTTACCCCTAAATAGTGCATATCTCATTGATAACCATTTATCGATATTCTTGTTTGCTGGCAAAGCAACACAATGAGTTTTATGTGCATATCAGCCATAGACATTTATCGATAGCACATGCTATCGATCAACTAAGCAAGGCTACTCAGTCTGCAGCTGCATTCCACATGAGTTTCCTGACTTTATGAGCGAATAACTGGCAATCTGCCGCATGTGCAGTTACACCTCAAGGCGAGCCCATCAAAACTTTAGTGCACAGTCATAGTCACAGTCGCAGTCACTGGGAGAGTCACAATGACAGTCACAGCCAGAGACACTGGCATCCACTGTGTAATAAATTAAAAATTTATTTAACTGCAGTTGACAATTTATTTGCATTTAATTTACCACAATTGTGGAAGCAGAAGCCAGAGCTAGACCCGAAGCCAAAGCCAAAGCCAGAGCAGGAGCCGGAGTGAACAAGTGAATTCATGAAGTCATAAAAAGATGTGGCAAAGGTAGTGGCAGAAGGGGCGAAGTACTACATAGGGGAGGCGTGGCATATGCAACGGCCAAGTTGCAAGAAAGCGCAATGAAACGAAATGAAGGTCGCTGAATGAATGTCTAACTGTATGAATGAATGAATGCATAACTAACACGCAGCCCAAACACAGGCGATGCATGTCTTACACACACTCAAAGGAGCACCCTGTGTGTGTGTGTGTGTGTGTGTCTGACGGGCTGAATGAAGTGTTTGGCAACACTTTAACTTGATTAAAAATTTAATAGCCAGCAGGATAAACATTTGCTTCAATTTTCTTCGCAGCTCAACTTTCTACACACCCACACTCCCTCTCTCTCTCTCTCTCTCTCTCTCTCTCTCTCGCTCTCTCTCGCTCTCTCTCGCTCTCTCCTTGACATGTCTATTCAATTGCACAACTTGCCGCAACACTTGTCTGTGCGTGTGTCGGATGTGCGAGTCTCCCTGCCAGTTGGCTTAACCCGAGCGAATGCATTTCATTAATTTACAATAGGAAAAACTTGAGCAACTTTACAGCAGCAACGACTTGGGGTTCATGCGGTATATCGATAAGTGTTATCGATGGCTGATTTAAGTATATTAATACTACTATCTATTAGCTAAGACTAAAACTATGCTGAATGCCAGCAGCACTCAGCGTAGGTGATATCGATATTTATCGATAGGACAGAGATTTTACAATATCAGAATTTTCATTACTTCCGATTCATATATTCAATATGAATGCCTCTTATATATTGAAGTATAAAATGTTTTCAATTAACAATCGATATATTGATAAGCTATTGCTTAAGTTCTGTTTAAATATGGATACTTTTCGTTTGACTACTACGACTACTACTTCTACTTTGAGTATCATATTGATACTCTATATGCTGTGTTAAGTATTCCAAATTTTTAGATCTATGAGTAATACAAATCAAATTTGAAATCGATAAGCATTGAGTCGTATTCTACCTTTCCCATTCCACACAAACTCTAGGGCCTTGGTCCATTTTCATATCGCTCCAAATGCATTTTGCAATCGCCGGCTCAGTGGCATCGTTTAGTCGAGCAGACCCGTCAAGAGCTTTCGAAAGCTGCCCTGTTCAAGCTCTATTAAATGTGTCTAACTTTAAGCTCAGCTAAGTACTCAACTTATACATTTATATATATAGTTAAAGAGCCGATGCCAAAGTTCGATCGCAGCGGAAGCTCTTTCAATTGGATGTCGACACAAATACTCAGCTTAATTCTTTAAAAAAAAATACATAAAAAACACTACCAAACAAACATAACAAATTCCCAGTGGCAAAGCAACAGCTCGAATTGTAAATGATGAGACAACGAAAGAACGAGAGAGAGAGAGAGAGAGACAGTGAGAGCTTCTGCGTGATAAACTCGCTGACCCGCAAAGCAGGCGTGTTGGGGCAAGGGGCGTGGGCGGGCGTGGCGGGCGTTGCTGTCAGCAGCGTCTTCAATTAAATAGTAATACATAATAATCAACACAAAAAAGCAAAAACAAACAAATGAACAGCAAGTTGGAAGCAGCACAGCGAATACCCTATGGAATAAGTGAAGCGCAGGTATCATCAATCAATCAATCACAAGAGCAATGAAAAGTCTGCTTCGCAAAGAAATGATTAGCTGAAGAAGAAGCAATACTCGGATTAATATACATTTTTATAACTTTCACTGACTGACTGAAGGACTACTTGATTGATTGATTGATGTTTAGCCGTAGCCTTAAAGTGAAGCATATTGATTGCATGCTAGCCTAGCTGATTGATTAGGTGAATGCTAATAAAGTCAAAAGATTGACGGAATGAGCACTCAATCATCGTAACTATGACATTCTCAGCGAGGTAATTGATTGATTGATTGACTGAAAATTGTTTAGCTGATGTTGATGGATCGACAGACTGTTTGACTGAGTAATTGAATAAATGCCATACTATAGACCCAAAACGAACCATCTGATTGATTGATTAACCATAGGCTTGATTGAGGGAAAGATTGGCTGACTTATTGAATGCCACTTGTGCATCGCTTGCCTTATTTGTGCAGACAAAAGAATCTTTCTGGAACTATTTTTCTGGAAATGTTTACGTTTCCGTCTCAATTCACGGATGAATGCCTCCCGCTGGGACCTCAGCCCAGCTGAGCGTATCACGCTGCATCAGCAGCCAGAGACGCCCCCCGTGGTTAGGGTGCGGCGAAAACAAACCAATTGATGAATCTAAGCCAAAAGCCAAGTCACTCGCAGCAGCGGCAGCAAGAACAACAACAATAGAAATGCTGATGCCGATGTCGATTGACGATGACAAATTTCGATAGCCGTTGCCCAAGTGGAACAAGCGAGTCAGCCAGCAGTCGCCGCCAGTGCCATTTCGAACGACAAACGCGTCGCAATGCCTGAGCAACGTTCCACCAAGCCGAGAGGCAGCAGTCCCAGCAATCGATGCCGCAGCAGCGGCCTGATCTTCACAAGCCTCTGGCTCATGCTGCTCCTGCAGCTGGCTACGAAAACAGAGGGCTACCGAGCTATCATACCCATCGACGAAGGTGCGAACGAGCGTTGCTCTACCTGAGCTAACCACACTCTCTCTCACTCATTCACTCACTCTCTCTCTCTCTCTCTGTTTAGCTAATCCCGGCAAATGCATTTATCGTGGCGATTTGCTGCCGGAGGGCATCAACAACGGCATTCCGCCCTGTCAGCGGCTTACTTGCAATGCGGATGGCTCCATACTTATCGAGGGGTGAGTCTGGCCAGGGCCAAATACGCACACTCACACACCCTGACATACACACGCACTCACACACACAGTAACTCACACCAAGCTAAACACAAACATTCGAAATGTTTCGCACAGATAAGAAAGGGGCTGACGGCGCATTAGGCATCGTCAAAACATTGTGAATTGAGCTTAGAGCAGACTTCTGATTAATAATTAGCAGACACTGAAACTCCTCTGGAACGAGTATATGTATATGTAGAAGAAACATGTAGCAGAAGGAAGAAAGAAGGAAAGATAAAAGTCTTCCATATGCCTGCCAACATAGCTTAACCCGTTCAGCTTATCTATCCAGAGATACAAGAAAAGAGACTCGAAGTGCACTCGAAGAACTCATCGAATCAGTGGTATAAGAAAAAGAACCAAAATGTGGAACCATCGAGATTTTTTTTTTTCCATTTTTTTTCAATTGAGATAAGTTTGATATCATTCTCTTAAAGAATCTAAGCACATGCGAAAGGAAAATGGGGCCAAGAGGCTCTCAAGATTATCTAAAGGGTAACACACAAAAAAAAAACTTTACAATTGAAGACTACTTATATAGCCAACAGATTTTCCCCATATGCTAGCATACGAAAATCCAGGCTTGGATATGTCACAGCTTTTCAGCTGAAATTTTTTAGATTAAGCAAGAGAGAGAGAGAGAGATGATATAGGAAGTATAAGAAAAGGAAACTAACTACTACATAGATATACATATATATTTATCTATATATAAATATATATTCTATACTCCATATGTACCATATATCATATGTCCATAGAGAGAACTCTGAATATATCTGGGAGACTTCACTGTTTATTCAGCTTTATTTTCGATAAACTCATTTCTGAATCGCTTGAGTTCCCATGAAGGCCAATGGTATAGGAAGTAAGACACAACTTTAAATACTTATGGAAAGAGATAGATAGAAAGATAGGCCAAACAGAGCTATGTAGTACATACTCCATATATTCTAATTAAAACTCTTCAATATTTGTGAGACACGATTACATCATTTCCATCCAGTTACAATATCATCTAGGCCTATTAACAGAATGTATTTTCGTCGTGCATTAGAACGAGACGGCAATGGAGCTGAAATATTCTTTTTCGAGCCAGTTGAAATGAAGGCCAGAAAATTAATCAACTAATTGAAGGCGCTTCAATTAAAAACTGGTCCAGTTAATCAATGTAGTTCAATCAATTAATCAATTGATCAAATTCATACAATTCATTTTAGGAACTTGTAATGTTCAATGTCTCATAGATCCACTTTGAATTCGCGTAGCCGGCATAGCTAATAAATAAAAGAAATTTTGGAGCATCATCCTCGATCATTCATTGTCAATCAGTATCAATCAAGAAATGAAATGAATTAAATATTATCAATCAAGTCTGATTAGAGTCTTAAAGTTTCCATCGTACGCATATTAACCAACTTTAATCTCTCATGATGTAATCTCTTATATATGTATATCTAATCTATTTATTATGATTCTCTTTCTCTTTCCATCTTGGTCCTCTCTGTTCCTCTCTATCCGTCTGCAGCTGCGGCAAACTTCGCATCGATAAATGCAATCGAGGCGAACGCATCTATCCGTCGAAGCCCTTCCCGGAGTGCTGCCTGCTGCGCTACAAGTGCAAAAGGCCGGACGGAGTGCCCTTCTACATTGAACGGAATGCTGCCGAGGGAGCGTAGATGATCCATAACATAAGGCAGCCATCTGGGATCCATCCGGAACTCATTTCAAATTCCATTTGTCGCCCGCACCGGCAAACAAGCTATGCTAATTTATTTTGTACATTATCCCACTTTGTATATCGAATCAAGCAACTATTCTTTTTTTTTACTCCACATAAACATACATGAAAAAACATACACACAGAGACTTTATATAGCCATGTGATACTTGGAGCTTTTTAATACTGGGCTCCCTTGACTCGCAGCAGAAAAGAAATTGTTTAATTACTGGGCCAGCCCGCTCATAAACAGCAATTAACGCGCCCCACATGCTCCAAGCCCCCTCTGAAGTGACGCCAACTGCAATCGAGGCACTAGCTGTAGATGCAACTGGATGGCACTTGCAGCTCAGGCCTGAACGACTGGCAACTACTCTCGACTCAGTCTCTATGTGTCACATATGAAGATATCGATCAATCAACCATCGGCAAGCTAGATCGGTGGGACAATATATTAGTCAATTGATCTGCATAGTGATGAGTCACTCAATAGATCAATCATCAGCTCATCATATAGTGTGCTAGGTAGGCATGCAGTCAACCTTACCGGTTGATCAATCAGTCAATCAGCCGATCAGTCACTAGTCCATCTATCAGTCAATCAATCTGGCATTAAGCAGTCATTTGTCAATCAGGCAATCAATTAACTAGCCATCAGTCAGTCAATCAACTAGTGATTCAGCCAGCTCAATCAGTAATCTGTAATCTTACAGTCAATCAATCAGTAAAATAGTCAGCTTATCAATCACCTATTACCAAGTCGATCGATTTGCTACCACACAGTAAAGAATCCATTCAATCAATTGCTCTGTTAATCAGTCAGTCAATCTATTAGACTAAGAGTCAATCAATTTATCAATCAACCATTCAGTTTAACAACAGATTGAAAGCAATTTAATTATTTAATGGATATTTTCTTGAATGCCATCCTATTTGCAATACTCCCCACAATCCAGCTGGCTGCAGGGTATTGTTTAAGAAATAAAAATAAAATAAAAAAAAATAAATAAAATAAAATAAATAAGCGCACCTTTTGTCGCAAAACGTTAATTAGTGCGAAATAATGAAGCTGCGTCCCAGTCGCAGATTCGCAGATTGCGAACTGAGCATTGGGGAATCGGAGCATGGGCAAAGGGAGATGGCGAGCGAGAGAGGGCGGGGGATGGAAAATGGGGGACTGCCTCTATCCAAATGCCACCCAAAGGGCGGGCAGTGTCAAAGCTTAAGATGCGCGTGCAGCGAAAATATCGCGAGAATTTGTTGCCTCTTTCTTTTCTTGCTCTTGAGGGGAATGCTTCCCCCCACCAACGTCTTCGTCCTCGCCCCGGTCTTCGTCCCGCCCTCTTCAGTCCTTTGTAACTGCGCAAATTAGCCCAATCAGTTCGACAGCTTATCGCATGGCTAAGCAGCTTTATGTGAAATAGCCAACATATTTGGACTTGAGATAAACCTGCCGCCTCCCACCCTCTTTCAGTCCTTTCCCAGTCCCTCCCCCTTGACCCGTTTCCCCTATATCTATGACTCACTCACACTCCACAATTGCGCCTTTGTCTTCCCTATGCTCTGCAGTGTCTCATTATTGGGAGCTGATTTTTCCAGCACTCATTAATAGATTTATTGAGCTCGTCCATTTAACAGACTAATAAAATAGTTAGTTAAGCAAGTTGGAGAGGTTTGAGTTGAACACTTACAGGGTATTATGTACTATGAAGACAGCTTTCAGTCCACATCTAGAGCAAGTTTTTCTAAAATTATAAATAAACCAATTTCCAGGGTATTTTATAGTCTGGAACTGCCGATTAGAGCACTTCTGCATGCGATAATTGAATAAACCAATTTCCAGGGTATTTTATAGTCTGGAACTGCCGATTAGAGCACTTATGCATGCGATAATTGACACTTGTAATCAATCTTAAATATAAACCATAAAGGAAATGGTTTGAACAGGCAAAGCCTATTCGGATTCAAGAGCTTTTCAAACTTGTACAGGGTATTCATGCACAGTCAAGTAGAAGCAAGAAATTGGTCTGCATGAATGATCTCCATTTCGGCAGCTTTGCAAATTGTTACAGGGTATTTTTAGTGAGACGATGCACATGTTAATATCACACAGAGACAAATACAGATTTGACAGGGTATACTCTAGTCAGGCATAGGCGCCTCAGCCATTTTAATACAATTCATTTGAAGAGATTCATTACGAAATTAATAACGCAACGCCATGCAGCTTTTACACACTTTCCAACTCCTACAGGGTATTCCACAGTCGGGCATGCCAGCTCTGCGGTTTGTGCTCATGCATTTAGATGATGATTGATGCTTGCTGCCAAAAATAAGTGCACTCTGGCCATGCGAAATTGTTGCGCACTGCCAAGTTCTTTATAAGCCTCTGCGCCCTAAACTTGCCGAGGTATTTGCACAAAGCCGCCTTTCGACGGGGGCTAGGGGCGTGGCAATGAGAGTAGCTTATGGAAAATGCGTAGAGCAGAGCCAACGTACATATGTGCGCACAATTTTGGCTCAAGGGCTGGGTAATTGGGGGCGGGGCAAGGAAAAGTTTGCTAAAATTTCAAATAAACTCCAAAGAAAGAGAGAGAGAGAGAGAGAGAGAGAGAGAGAGAGAGAGAAGTGGAAACTCTTAAAGTTGTTCAAGTTAAATCGTTGGCATCTCCCCTCGAGGTAGTTACCTTGGCCTAACCAGCACTCAATTTATTTATGGCTTTGCTCTGAGCCGCAACTAGTTGACTCTTTTAATAACCAATTTGGCAGCGAACAGCCGGCAGACGGCAAAAAGGATATTAGCGTTGTCTTCGACGCCAGGATCTAAGAACTAGACCAAGTTTTTTCCACGCCCGCCTGGAACTGTAGATGGAACTGGGAGGGGGCGGAGGCAGTGGTGGCTGGAGTGAATCTTAATGGAAAAACGCACAAGGACATGCACACACACACACACACACACACACACTCACACATACGCACACCTGCTTAGCTACACCTACAGGTAAGTTGTGTATTATGAAAAGCTCATCTAATTTCAATCAATTGTTGCCAGAGTTGAGGGCAACAAATTTTTAAGTGCTGCTGCTGCTAGCTCCACTTCATTCTCTTCCTCTTCCTCAGCTTCGCTCTGTCCTCGGATAGAAAGGTGTGTGTGTGTGTGGGTGTGGCAATATCTTCATCCAGAGCAACGCAGCTTGAACAAAAAGTTGGCGAAAAATTAAATTCAATAAAAATCAAAATGAAATTTAATAACCAGCCACACGTGCAGCTAAATACAAGTTTGCAGCGGGTCGATAAACGATAAACGATAACATTTGCTGGCTACATGTTAGAGATGGGTCTGAAGCCGTCAGCGCACATGGCTGAATGATAAACGGTCATATATCGATAACTGGTGATCGATAGCGATAACAATAAGTAAGAGCTCGTTTAGATAAAGCTAAATGTTCGCTCCATATTTATTTCTTCCCTTTTAATCAAAAGCCAATTTCATTTTTGTAGGCAGCCCAGCTAAGCTCTCCGCTATTTTGGCTCCAACCTAATCTTAAAAGCCCACCGCCAGCCCTTGAGTCAACTTCTCTATAGCCTCCAGTCCCCCATCCCCATCCCCCTGCCTATCATCATTCCTGGCTCGAGCCGAAACCAAACTTCAAGTAGCTCTCGCGTAACCACTTAATCATATCAGCATAATAAGTCAACAGGAGACGCACCAAGGTAATAAAATTAAATCCTTGCTCAAAAGCTCAAAGTAAGGGCAGGCGGTGCCAGCAGGTGGCTGGAGGGGCATGGCGGAGGCACGCCTATCCTATACGCGATATTATAGTCTAAGTCCCAAAGCAGAGCGAAAAACCAACAAGCGAAATCAATGGCAAGTCAACGCGAGGCGTCTATGTCGCACGCAAAAAAATAGGAGCAGAAGTGAAGATGCTTTTGCATGGGGTATGCGCGACTTGGCAATGCCCTGTTGGGCAAGAACTTGTGGATAAAAAGATAACTACATCACGAGAAATGTTAAGAGGAGCAAGAAAGAGGGCAAATGAAAATGCAGAACCTATAGCTGTGCATATGATGTGCTCGACTAGCAGATACCCTGTAGGCATATAACTTGTTATACATAGATATAGATAGACAGATAAGGTTTAGCTGAGGGAGTTGACATCTATGCTAACAAAACACACTATATAACTCACTCAACTAGTAGATACCCTATAGATAGATAAAGGAAGTTTGAAGTAACGTTTCCTTATATAATGCAAATGGGTAATATAGATCTCTCTCTATCTCTCCTTTTTTCCTTCCCACCTGCCCTATCACGCCGATATGCCCGCTGCCAATGTCTAGGGTATGCAAAAGAAAAACTGCTTACGCGCATATTAAAAATGCTTTATTTATGCTCCACTCCAAACAGGGAAGGAAAACGATGGAGACGCGACGACGGTAATCGATTTATGCGCAGCTATTTACAATTTGTTATTTGGGCGGCACAAACAGCGACCACGCCCCCGTCAGACAGCCAGCCTGCACCGCCGCCGCCCTCGTCCCCCTCTGGTAGCCAAGCAACATTTGTGAAATTCAATGAGAACCATATGGAAAAGTTCACGCAAATCGTTTGGGGAGAGATGAAAATTCAGCGAGGGGACGGACGGTTGGACAGACGGGTGGATGGATGGACCTGCAACTGGAGATGTTTGAAATATAATCAAAATGTGTGTGTATATGTATGTGTGTGCGTATTTGTATTGTTGCGAACTTGTTGTCTAAAGTACCTTTAAAAGGTGATAAAAGAAAGTGAAGGAGTAAGGAGCGAGCTTTGAGGGAATTAAAGAGAGAGAGAGTGAGAGAGAGATACACATAATGTACACTAAAGGTGAGACAGAGAGGTAGCGATCTCAGTAGCCATTGTTCAAAGTTTTGCTCAAAGTTACATTTAATTTGAATGGGTAAAAATCTCGAGCCATTCTACACAAACTTACAACATTTTCCCGCACACAATGAACAAATAGGTTAAAGTTCTGAGATACAGAATATTCGACTGTAAGATGCCCTGTAATCGATTTCAGCTTTGATAACAAATCACAACAGTTTAACCACGCTGGGTCTTATGGTTCCCCAAACGGTACTGAATGAACCCAGATTAGCATTCACCCGTTTTTAAAGTATATTTATCGATATTTATCGATATATAGCACGTGAAGTTGAAGCTTTTAACAATTGTTGCATAGTGATGCACTAAACCAATATACTCACTACATACACATTTAATAGGGTAGCAAAACAATGAGGAAAAATGCGCCAAGCGAAGGAGAAAGGAAATAAAATATCGTATAGAAAACTTTGTCCAAGCTATAAATGAGCAAAAATTTTAATGAAATTAAAATAAGCCGCGGCACGTGTCCGAATGGGAGTCCAAATCGAATGGCTAAGACACGATATCTAATTGCTCTCAAAGCCGATTTGTCATTTACTTGGCCGAGCTGCAGATAGAGACAGAAAGATACAGCGAGAGAGAGAGAGAGAGATAGTGAGGGAGAGTGAGTAAGGGAGAGACAGCGGGGCTGAGTTTTGTTTGCATTCGAATGATATTCAAGCCTAATCTAAAGATAAGATTGAGAATATATATACATATGTACATATGTATATGCATATGGCTTACCAACATTGTAGCCCCTGCTTTGACAGTTGTACAGATAAACATGACGGAATCGCAGCTAAGCCTTTCGAGATCCAGCTCATAGATGGGCTTGGCTTGCAAATTCATTTATATAAAATGTATTTCGTATATAATATTTATTGCGAAATCGTTACAGAATACCGTAAAATATGTCATATGTGTAAACTACTAAAAAAAATAGATATATGTATGTATATGCATATGTTATACACTAGACACAAAAAAAAAATAAAAACATTTGTTTCGTTTTGGCTAATTTTTCAGTACAGAAAAAAAAAAAGAAACTTAATTGCCTATCGCAGCCCCGGCATGTGGGCGGGCTGTATATTGTTTTTGGCAAGTGGGCGTGGCATGGCTGAGTGCACACGCCAAAGCAAATGCTCAATCAATTCGAGGCGCGATTGAGCCGCATTTCAGAGCCGCGAGACGCTTTCATTCGCATACAGCTGTCCACTCTCTGCTGTCTGTGTGTGCGGAAGTGCGTGTGTGTGCGCCCGCGTGGCTGTGGGGGTGTGTGTGGGCGTCTGAGTGTGTATGCTGACATGTGCCTGCGTATCCTTGGTGTCCATCTGCAGCGAGAGGCGCTCGGGCGCATCGTCGAAGCGCACCTTGGCCTCTGGCTTGCCATTGCAACTGTGCAACAAAGCCTGCGCGTCCAGCTCCATGATGGGCATATCCATGCTGAGCGTCTGCAGCACGCTGTGACAGCGCCTGAAGCTGGGCCGCTCCCAGGGCTCTGAGCGCCAGCATTGCAGGAGCAGCGCGTAACTGTGAATAGAATCGAGATGCATGAAGCGAATATACCCCTTTGCAGGCGCCGAGCGGGCACCATTGAAATATGGCTGGCACTTACAGTTTGTCGGGACATTGCTCCGGCTGCTGCAGTCGGCCGCCCTCCTTGACGTGGGCGAGCACCTCGAAATTGTTGCGCGCCGCATACGGCTGCTGGCCGAGCGTGAGTATCTCCCAGCAGAGCACACCGAACGCCCACACGTCCGACTGGGTGCTGAAGAGGCCGTCGACGAGACTCTCGAGTGCCATCCAGCGCACGGGCAGCAGGCCCTCGCCCTCCTTGCGGTAGTAGTCGCTCTTGTAGATGTCGCGTGCCAGCCCGAAATCCCCAATTTTCACGATGCGTCGCCCGCCAATCGCTGCCCCATCGGACACCAGGCAATTGCGGCAAGCGAGGTCGCGATGCACGAAGTGCATGTCCTCCAGATAGCTGCAGCCATTGGCCACGTCCAGGCACATGTTCAGCAGATCCTCAAACTCTAATTTGCGCTTCGGCGATTCCTGCAAGCAACGGCACATCAGTATCAGTCATTTCCTGCTTTAAATGCATTCAAACTAAGATGGCATCTCTCTCGCACACAAATTCTATTTTCGGCTACATTAACGGTTTTAAGCAAAAACTAAAACAACAACACGCAATTGCAAAGAGCAACGCGAGAGCGCATAGAAAACGGTTTCGTTTTCGTTCTCTTCTTTGATCGTCTTCGAGCTTCACTCGACACTATGCAAAGAAAAGAGATAAGGCAATGTGGCTACTCTCTCTCCCTCTCTCTGTCTCTCTCTCTTGATTTTGGTTAGCGCATGGCTTCAAGTGCAAAAGGTTACGCAAAGCGCGCGTCGACAGCAGAAATTGTGACGCCACATTAGAGAGTCTGATTTCTGTTATGGTACAAAAGCTTTTATGCGTTGAGCGAGTGCATAAGAACGGGACATTTTATTAGGGAGAATATTATAAAATTGTTTTCAGTCTGTTAAGTTGAATAACATTATACAGAAAATATGGGCAAGCTATGACGTCATGAGCAGTAAGCAATTTAAATCTGTATACACCAAATATGTTATTTTGGCTGTGCACACATATACATACATACATAGAAAGCTTAATGCACTCTGCTTAAATATGTGTGTCGAAATATGAATACCCTACTCTATTACTATGACATGGCGAGTTTTGCAATTGAGTGTATGTTTATTAAACGTAATATTGCTTTTAAAAATTATTGGTCAGAATATTTGATGCAGTGAAGGTAAAGATTTGTTTTTATAGCATTGATAGCTCTCAAAGCGTATTTTAAGAGTCGAGCTAAGCTGCTTACAAAAGTAAAAGAGAAGAGAGAGCGAATGAGAGTCGTAGCAGAGATGCATACATACATAATATGTAATACATGTGTACATGTACTATGTATAAGAAGAAGGTTATGAGAGAAGCACAGGCAAACGATTGTGTAAATATGACAGAGACGGCATATGTATGTATGTATTTGTGTCTATCCTTTATCTTCCTATTGTTCAATTGAACCAATTGTAATTACAGTTTGAGTAAGGTAAACAAGGTGTTTGATAATTGGCAATTAGGCTCAATCCGCTCACCTGTGAATTGGGCCGAGCCGCACGCAAGTAGCTGAGCAGATCTCCCGCCTCCATGTGCTCCATGATCAGCGAAATGGTATCGCTGTCGAAGCAGATGCCAATCAGGCAAACGATATTCTCGTGCTTGAAGTTGCTCATCAGCTGCGCCTCCTGCAGCAGCTCTGCAAACTCGCTGGCGCCCTTGCGCAGACTCTGCAAGTGGATGGGGACGGTGCTTCAGTTTGGGCCTGAGGTAGGTGAACCAGCTCTAAACACTCACCTTGATGGCCACACGCTGCGGCTGCGCCTCGTCTTCGCCCTGCAGCTGGCCCTCGTACACCTCGCCAAAGGCGCCGCTGCCCAGAAAGCGCAGCAGCGTCAGTCGACTCCAGCTGATCTGCGGCAGCAGCGCAATGTCCGCGTCGCTCAGCGTCATCGAGAACGTGCGATTGCGCGCTGCCATCAGCTGCTGCTGCGTCTGCAGCGTCGACAAGTTGCTCCAAATGCTGGGGCGGCTCTGCTGGAGCAGCTTTTTGGCTCGCTGGCGACGTTTTTGTACTGTGAAATTAAATGATTGAATATTGATTGATTCATTTATACATAAGTATATATGTATGTATGTATATATAGATGGATATGTATAGAGAGGAATACGAGATAGTTGGCATGATTTATGATAGTCGGAGATTGATTGATTACTGATTTATTATTCATGATTGACAATCGATTGATTGATTAATAAACTGACTTGGTCTCGCGATGAATGAAATGATTGAGTGTTGTAATTAGCTTGAAGATGGATTGATGATTGACAATCGCTTGATTTATTGATTGACTAACTTGACCTTGACATGAATTAAATGATTGAACGTTGTACATTGCTTGTCTAATCCACAAATCGACTGATTGAAGATCGAGCAAGCTGGTAAAGCCAACTGACTTGCTTGGCGATTGATGAACATGATTGAGCTTACCTTTGCGCACGAGCACAAGGGCCAGCACACAGCTGGACACAATGGCCGCTGGAGCAATGATGGCCAGGACCAGCGAGCCGCGCTTCTCGGGCGAGACGAAGGGCTCCGCAATGCGTTCGCTGTCCTCGCTGAAGGGTCCCCAGCCATGGAGGCGGTTCCTGGCCCTGACGCGGAACAGTAGAAGGCGACGCGAGTGCAGGTCGCGCACAATGCAGCTCAGCTCGGTGGTGTTGCAGAGGTCCAGCCACTGATCCTCGATGACCTGCGGCTCCTCTGCCCATGGCAGCGTGGCGAGGGAGGTCTCGCGCCGTCTCCGACGACGACTTGGACGACGCGCCTGCAGCGCCTCCAGATTGTAGAGCATTATGGGTAAACCATTCTCGGAGGCGGGCGCCCAGCTGACCCGGAACACTTCCCCCGCTATGTGCTCCAGCTGCGGTCGTCCTGGCGCACTGGGCGCATCGCTCAGCGTCTCGAACACCTGGCTTGCCGTATAGTAAACCGAGCCGGCTGGCGTGCTGGCATAGCTTATGGCGAGGCGGCAGGAGTAGCGCGTCTTGGGCTGCAGCGACGACAGCTTCATCAAGGTGTAGTTGGCGATTACGTTGAACTTCAGCTGCTCGCTGTTCAGCGACTGGCACTCGAGGATCAGCGAGCTGATGGCGTCGCTGGTGCCCGCCCAGGCCAGAGTCAGGGAGTAGGCGCTCAGCTCGACTAGCTGCAAGGGCGGCAGCTTCTGGTAGCTGCGAATCAATATGGGTTTGGTGCCGTTGAACTTCGTGGGCGTGGCATGGGCGTGCAGCCAGAGCTGGTAGAGGCGGCCAGGCTGAAGCTGGGTCAATCGCTGCACACCAGCTTGCTCCAGGCGCAGCTGCTGCGGTGGGTTGATCGCCGTCTGATTCCGATCAGTATCTGCCTCACCCGCGTCTGCATTGATGAATGATTGTTCCCCCTGATTGACCAACGATTGATCTGTGTCCTTGCCTGTTTGCTCGTTTGCTTCATCCACTGCCGCGGGAGTCACTGATTGAGCCTTTGCTTTCTTGCCTTGCTGATGTACTGCTTCGTCAGTCTGTTGATTGCTCCCTGCCTGATTTCCCATATCCTTGTCCTTGTCCTTGTCCTTGTCCTTGTCCTCCTCAAGGCTGCCCCACACATCTCCCGCTTGCTCATCCTCCTGGTGCTCCTCCTCTATCAGCTGCCAGTGCAGCGTGTAGTAGACGCTCTCGCTGCGCAGCTGCAGTGGCGCCAGCCAGCTCACTTCCAGCTCATTGGGACTCAAGGCCCTGGCGCTGAAGTTCCGAGGGGCCGTCGGCGTGGCGGGCGCAGTGCGCAGCCGCAGCTTCGGCAGCACCAGCAGCGGCTCGAGCTTCAAGACGGTCTGGTAGTAGCTGCTCAACGACACGCCCAGCTCGTAGCTGTGGAAGGGCTTCAGGCCGGCAATGCTCAGTGATTGGCCGGCGAAGCCCTTGAACGAACGCAGCTCACTGGAGTTGCTCTGGCTCGCCGTCAAGTTGAGCTGGTAGCCCAGTCCGGGTATGGGCAGGCGGCAGTCCGGGGCAGCTGTGAGGTGGGGCAGCTGCAGGGTGCAATTGGTTTCGTCGCAGCTGGAGGCCAAGAGCTCGTGCTGGCCGCTCCAGGAGGCGGGCAGCAGCAGGCAGTGCCGGTCGGGGTAGGCCTGGTAGTTGTAGGAACGCAGCAGGCGCACCTCATCAAAGCTCAAGGGCAGCAGGTACTCCAGCTGCTGGCGCCGTCGGCCGAAGGCGCGCAGACTGCCATTGCGCAGGGCGTAGAGATAGCCAGAGTCCTGGGCCAGCTGCAGGATGTTCTCGTTCAGCAGGTTGAGCTGGGCGCTCAGGGAGCTGGGCGTGCAGAGCTGGCGATGGATGTGGTAGATGCACAGCCTGCCCAAATCGTCGACCAGGTTGACGGTCTCCTCCGACGGCTGCTGGCTGCCCTCGAAGAGGCGCCACAGCGACTGCGTGAGGCCCTGGAAATGCAGGTCCGTCTCGTTGGCTAGGCTGCGACCCCTCAAGGTGCCGTTGCGCTCGTTCAGCGAGTGCTGCAGCCAGATGAGAGCGCGCGCATGGGGCAGCGCCATCAGGTCCCGCAGGAGCTCCCCGCGCGGCGTGCACCACAGCCTTTCGCCCGGCAAAATGCGCGCCTCGAAGCGGCACAGGTCGAGCCGGTAGATGCAGGCAGCGGGCAGCCGGTCGACCGCCGACAGCTGGTCCAGCTCGGCCCAGTAGACGACGCGCTGCACCCAGTCGACGGTCAGGGCGAGCACCTCGGCGCGCATGCGGGCCAGCTTGGCTGGGACCTGGCCCGGCACGTGGCTGAGCAGCTCCACGTGCTCGTTCACCCAGAGCAGGCGCCGCTCGCCCTCGATGGTGACCAGGTGCTCGACGGGGTTCGCCGTGTAGACCAGCTGCTGGCGTCTGGCCAGGTCCAAGTCGAACTCCCCGATGTGCTCAGCATTGGCGTAGAGCAGCCGGGGCACCGCCTGCAGCTCCGGCGCAATGTGCAGCGTGTGGCTTGTGGCCGCTGTCGACTGCTGGGCCTGCACCTGGAAGCGGTACGTCTCGTCCGGCTGCAGCTGGCCAATGCGCGCCTCCAGCTGCGTCTGGTTGAGCAGCAGCTCGGCGTGGAGGTCGGCGCCGTGCCAGCAGCTGATGCGGTACTGCAGCGTCGTCTGCTGCTCCTCCTCGGGCACGTCCCAGCGCAGCAGCGCGCTGATGTTGACGCCAGTCTGCAGCGCCTGGGCGCGCCGCTCCACAAAGACGCGCAGCCTGCGGGGCTGCGTGGGCGCGGCCAAGGGCGTCGCCAGCGTCAGCCGAGTGGTGGGTCCAGCGCGCCAGGCCGAGTGCGGCGTCAGGCTGACCCTCAGCGGCAGCATGGCCTGCGAGAGCTGCGTGATGCGCGCGAAGGCCGTGGCCAGCTCCAGGCTGAGCACCCGCTCGCCGCCCTGCTCCAGCAGCAGCTTGTAGCTGATGCTGTGGTTGCCGGCCGTGTGCGTGGGCTGCCAGCGCAGCCGGAAGTCGTTCCAGTGCCCGCCCGGCTCGATGCGCACGCTCTCCGCGGCCACGGGCAGCGGGCGCACGCTCTGGTCCGGGCTGGGGTGCGCCTTGTCGCTCAGCAGCTGCAGCGCAGTCAGCGATGCATTGAGACGCAGGCCGAGCGGCTGCAGCGGCTGCGTGCCCCTCGAGCTCTCGTCCAAGCGCAGCAGGTGCGCCGCGCTGCCGTCGGCGGCGATCCAGGCCAGGGCGTTCAAGGGCTGGAAGTGCTGCAGCGTGTGGGGCAGGGCGTCGATCGAGCTCAGCGTCGTCAGCAGCTCCAGGCTGCGGTCCATGGACAGCGCGCTGCGATAGACCAACAGCTGAGAGCTCGAGCCGGAACCGGAACCGGAACCGGAGCCGGAGCTGGAGCCCTCGACCAGCCAGTAGAGATAACGGTGCTGCAGGTCCAGGCAGAAGTTGCGGATGCGTCCGGTGAGGCCGTTGACGTGGTAGAACTCCAGCTCCTGCTGGGTGTTCAGCGTGCGACTGGCCAAGTGCGCCTCGCTCGAGTAGTACAGCTGGCCGTGCTCCGCATCCAGGGCCAGCTGCCTAGCCCCAAAGACGGGCAGCAGCTCCCGCTCGCCCGTCAGCGGGTCCATGCGCTGCACCATGTTGCGCGCCAGGTCCGTCCAGTAGAGCATGCCGCCACGCCAGTCGTAGGCCACGGAGCTGACCTGCTGCAGGCGGTTCAGGGAGCCGCAGCTCAGCTGGGGCTCCAGCCGGTGCACGCAGTACAGGGTCTGCTCGCTGACGTAGTAGGCCACGCTCTCGTTGACCAGGACGAGGGGACTGGGCGCAGGGGCGAGCTTGGCGGGCAAAGCCTTCAGCTGCTCGCCCAGCTCGTTGCTCATGTAGAGCCGGCCCTGGCGCGTGGCCCAGCGCAGGCGGTGCTCGCCCAGGGGCCAGCTGCGCGTCGCGATCTGCTGTGTCCACTCGCCCGCCCAGCCGGCCTGGTTGATGGCCCGCACGCGCAGCTGGTAGAGATTGTTCGGCTGCAGGCGCTCCAGGCCGAAGCTCAGCTGCCGGATATTCCGTATGTTGTACGCGCTCTGGCTACCCACGTCGAGCACCTCGAGCTCGTAGCTGAAGTTGGCCACGGACAAGGTCTGGTAGGGGTTGAGGGCCGGTGGCTGCCAGCTGATCTTGGCCGCCTGAGCGCCGAGCATGGCGCGCAGCTGCTGCGGCTGGGCCGGCTCCAGGGCCAGGGGCTGGCGACGTCGCTCCAGGGCCACGGTCTCGAAGATTGCCTCCTGCAGCAGCTCCTGCTCGTCGCGCTGCATCGTCCAGCTGCTGGTCTTGCTCTGCATCTCCAGTTTGCTGTCGTTGATCAGCAGCAGCTGCTTCTGATCGACGCTCAGCGCGAAGCTCAGCCAGTTCTCGTCCCTCAGCGGCCTCAGCTGCTTGTAGCTGCCGTCGTAGCTCAGCTCCAGCAGCTGCTGCTCCTCTAGGAGCAGCACGTGAAGCAGCCAACGCTGCGGCTCCAGCACAAAGTTGCCCAGCCTCGTTTGGGCCGGGACCACTCGCACCTTAGCCTTGCTGCTCAAGTCCAGGCGATGCAGCGACTCCCCGTCCGACCAGAAGAGCCAGCCATTCAGTGCATCCACCTCCAGCTGCTGCACCGTCTCGCCCAGCTGTGCGTTCAACTGCTGCACGTCGTCTCCTTCCGTCGAGCAGCTAAACAGTTCGTACTCCGCACCGTCTCCTGCCTCCGCTGCCAAGTACAGTCGCTGCCGCAGCCAGTCCAGGCTCACCTTTCGCGCTGTCCAATTGCCGGGCAGCTGCAGGTGCAAGGCTCGCGCCGAGCTAGTCGCCGGCTCATCCAGTAATTGACTGCGAAAAAGGAAGAGGATTTGAACCATTTCATGACTGATGGATTCTTGGAAATCAAAGGGATATCTACATACATATATGTTAAACTGTCTGCTATGATTGAATGACTGATAATTGATTGCTGACTGATTGATAGCTAACTGTGAGAATAGAGAGTACGATTGATTGATTGTATAACTGCTTGAATGAGAGATAGGCTGACTGAGTTGACTTGAATCATTGATTGACTGCAGATTGATTAACTGCTTGATTGACTTACTGATTTTCAGAGTACACCATAGCATAATTATGTTTGTCAAACTACCTAAATGATTGACAGGGTAATTGAAATACTCACTGATTGATTGACCGACTGATAGACTGACCTAAGGTAGACTCTGCTCTATCTATGAGGATATTATTGTCTGGACGATTTATAGATTGAACGCCTGATTGTTGAATCAACCAGCTTGATTGATTGACGGTTAATCGCTTGATTGATTAAATGATGAACCTGATTGATGGTCTAGTTTATCAATTAACTGATGATTTTTGTAGATATATCTTATAATTGATTGATGAACTGACGATCCTGAAGATCCAACCAAATCGGAGCTAAACACGTTTAAGCTACATGGCTCCTAGCCGAGGCTAGCGCAGTGTACAGTTGGGTATTGCCCCCATCAATCACTCACCTGTGCAGCTGTCCTAGCGAGTCGAGTAGCCAGAGTCGCTGTTCGCGCTGCGACCAGGCCAAGTCGCTGATGTTCGTCTGCTGGTTGGAGCGGTAGACGACGCGCGTCTCACCCGCCGGCTCAAGGGATTGCCAGACGACTTGCCGCCTGCTGGCCAGCAGCACACTCAGCAGCTGCTGCGGCTCCAGCGGTGGCTTCGTCTGAATCGCAGCCACGGCCGAGGGTCCCTGGCCCTGTTTGTTGATCATGCTCAGCGACAGCGAGTAGTTGGTCAGCGGCTGCAGCTGGCCGAGGATGCAGCTCGTGCGCTGAGCGGGCAGCAGCTGAGGCAGAAGAGATATTGATGTGTATCTGGACACCTGCAGCTGGACTTGGACTCACCTGCTCGCGACTGTCGTTGCTGCCGCCACTCAGCTGCAGCTTGTAGCCCTCGAGCGGGGCATTGCTGTAGCGGCCGGGACGCCAGTGAAGGGCCACGTGATGCTCGTCCAGCGCCAGCACCGATTCAATGCTTGGCGCCGAGATGGGTGCTCCTTCGATGGGCGTTTCATAGATGGGCGTGGCTGGCGAGTAGAGAACATCCGAACTGCCCTCGCCAAAAGGCAGCTCAAAGCGAAACTAAAGTGAGAGAGGGAGAGAGAGGGAGGGGAGTAAGGCATAAATTATTGGAAGAGTAAAGCTTCTCAGTAGATCAGCTCTAAATTGACAAATCAACAGCGCTAAAACGGGTATATAAGCTCTTAGTGTACAACAAGTTTTCCCTCCATAAGTTATTCCTATTACGGCAGAGACGGCTCTTAACATCCTCTCCATCCGGTACAAAGCGGATATATTGCTTTAGAGCAATATCTGTCTACTCGGTAGAGCTTAGTGGCACCTTCTGCATTCTTACACACATATCTATGACTCTTTCTCACTTATATTTCATTCTGCATAGAAGAATTTGAGAGCATAAAATCATATATATCTTTATATATTGTATGCATAGTCGTGGGTGGGTATATTAGGTCTTTACCGTTTGTGTACTAGACGCTAAGCCCACTAGAGGCCTCTCCTTCTCATTTATAGATCAACTCTGAGCCTGACTACATGAGATCTCCATCCCAATCATGTTATCTTCTTTAAATATGTATAGTCGTGGGTGGGTATATTAGGTATCTACCGTTTGTGTACTGCCGTCTACGCTAAGCCCACTGGAGGCCTCTCCTTCTCAGTTTTAGATTTGGGGCTTCGTTAAGGGTGGCCTTCAGCTCTGAGCCTGACTACATGAGATCTCCAACCCAATCAGGACCTATCCCAGCCAACAAGCATTATCAATGGCACACCGTCTCTCTCTGCCTGTCTGTGTGGCTGCTCGCAACTTACCCTGTAGCGCGAGTAGGGAATTAGCGCCTCGAGTATCTCACACACGTAGTACTCATCGCAGTCGTAGTCGGCCAGATTATGCCAGGCCAGCTCCGTCAGCTGATCCAATTGCTGATATTGTATGTTGAAGGGCCGACTGGCCAAGAAGTTCTCCGGAAACTGAATGCTCCACTTGATGGTCAAAGCGCCCGAGTCGCTCGATGGCTCCAGCAGCTGCGGCTGCGTCGACTCAACCAGCTTGGCCATGGCCAAGCGCTGCAGATGCCAATAGTCCCGCTGTGACGTCTCGCAGGCGCCAATGCAGGGCAAATCGTAGGGATAGAACTGCGTGGAGGCCTAGAGCAGCGAGAAATAGAGATTTAGATAGGACGAGAGATGTACAGAGAGAGAGAGAGAGAGAGAGAGAGAGAGAGAGAGAGAGAGAGAGAGAGAGAGAGAGAGAGAGTAAGTGAGAGAGAGAGATAGTCACTTACGCAGGCCTCCTGGCAGGGCTCGATGTCCTTGAGTGCTCGATACCATTGCGCACAGCCCTTGGTGCACTGCAAAGAGATAGAGAGAGAGAGAGAGAGAGAGAGAGAGAGAGGGAGAGAAAGATATGAATTATGAATGTTCTGATCAGCGAATGTAAAAGTCTATGTGAGGAAAGACTACTACAAGTCTTAAGTAGAAGCAGCAGAAATAGTAAAAGTCTATGGGAAGGAAGAGCTTTGAGCGCTGGATCATGTTTCTCGTAGGCTACTGACAACCTAAGAATATCTCTCACATATGATAACTACTGCTTGAGCTCAGGTCTTTCAAAGAACTACTACCCACCCAGTCAATGACTCTATATATGGACTCCTTTTCAAGACAGTACTAATACTACTCTACACTAATCGTATACCCGTCTGCTCAACAAATTTCAGCCGTTCAAACTGGCTTTGCTGTTCACTTCAAAGCATTTCTAGATGCCCATTACAATTGTTTGCTTATTATATATTTTTGTGATCTTTTAATTTGTCGTAATCGAAAAATTTCGTGTTCTCAATAGGTGAGTGGCATACGTATGCGCCCTAAGAAATCCCCGGAAAACTCTAGTCTAGTCTAGCCTGAGCTGAGATGGATTGCTGCAAGGTAAAAAACACACAGAAGATCGGGATCAAGTACCTCGCCTCGAAGTGCAGGTCGAGTCGATTTATGGGCTTGCACCTGATGTTCAATGGGTTCTTGAGCTGCCTGGAGCGGGAGTACGACTGGGCGCGTATCATGCACTTCGAACTGGTGTGCAACTAGTTCCCACTGTGGCCAGGATATCGTGATACTCCTTGCTCAGCCCCCATGGGGTAACTCAATCAGCACCAACCACTAAGAGCTTGCGGTTAAGTTTAAATACAAATGTGAGCCGTGAAGCGGCTTCGACTTCAAATGTGTTTTCAGTTCTTAGCAGAAGTAGACTTGCTCGTATACTTTACATTTATGGGAAAGCTGGCTGATGTCTCTGGTCTGTCTGCTTGAGGAAGGGGTATTCGTTCAAATATGCCTTGATTATGCATAGTAAAGGGTATCCCACAGTCGGTCATCATATTGTTTAATTCGCTTTCTCGTAAAATAGGCATAAGCATTGGCTTAAAAGCATTTTTCATAAAAACTACACTATGCATTGTCTATGTACGAGATAGGGTATCTGCTAGTCGTTCACAATTTTTTATAATGGCTTAATGGGAAACAGTTAAAGAAAGATCCCATGAAACTCTGAAGCAAATTTGTTGCATATGCACTGAAATCGTTTATTTATGTATATTATAGGGCATCTGCCAGTCGTTCAATTTGTCAACCAACTTGCAATCGGAGAACAGACGTAAGAAATCGTTTTCATGCTGCACAACATATGTATGCATATACATATGTATGGATGTATGTATGTATATTGCTTATGTATATGATAGAGTATCTGTCTGTCGTTCATTTTGCTGGCTCTGCAATTACACTCTTTGTCTGGGAATTTCGGGGTGCTCGGCTTCATTTACTGGGAATTGATTCGATTTTCGATTTTCGTCTTTCTTTTGTGGGTCAGTCGAAAGCAGGTTTCGAATTACGGGGCTTTGCGGCCTTTGGTCAGGGCTACACTCGACACCGCTTACGCAGTGGCGAGGGGGCAAGGGGACGAGGGGGCGTGGCAAGGGGCAGGTGTTGACTTACGCGAGTTTTGTAGCACTTGTCGCTGTTGTCGGCCTTATCGCACTTAATGCCAAATTCGTCAAGAAATAGATCCTCCTGGAAAAAGAGAAATGAAACATCAATAAAGAGCGACAGCGGAAGTGCTGATGTAGGAGAGTGTCGACGCGGCGTAGGACAGTGTAGGGGATGCTTGGCCGTGGGAAGAATATTCAATTCAATGTCAGTGCATTCGCATTCGCATTCACACAATGCCACAGCGTGGAGAAAGGCAATTGCTGAAGAAAGCGAATGAAAGAGGGGAGCAAGTAAACAAAGAGAAGGGCTGCGAGAGAGAGAGGGAGAGAGAGGGAGATGGAGAGATAGCGTGAGAGGTAGTGCACTTAACCAGCTTGTGACCTTTAAAACTTGTCCTCTATCTACAATAAAAAGCTTAATTAAGATACCCTGTAATAGGTGAGTACGCCGAAGCGAGGTAGATTAGCTCGGATTGAATGTAATATAAATAGAAACTGTAGCGATATCTATGTAAAGCATGGAGAGTAAGTAAACGTAAGCTGGATACATTTTAGCATATTGTAGACAAACTCCACCCACTCAGCTGTCAATATACCCACTCACACACCTTGCACTGGGTATTCGCAATTTGTTGATTCGCTGGCTTTCAACTCGATAACTGAGAATTTCTGTCTATTAAAAATGCACAAATCTATTTGACCAACTCAACATTTAACGTGCGTCACGCCAAACGAGTTTCAGACTGCCCTCTCCCTCACCCTCCCCCTCTCTGCCTCTCGCTCTTTCTCTCCCGCTCTTTTCTGCTTAGAGCACGTGCATCTTTGATCTCTGCTCTGTTCGAAATAAATCTGCATTGATAATTAGCCAAAAGAAATAAAGAAAAAACATTTTGTTCGCATCGAAGGTCAACAAGAGACGTGCAAAAGTTGCTTAACCTAGTGCTACATAATGGAGCTGTGCATTAGCATGAATAGAACGGATCTCCAGTGGGGCACACCAGCAGAAGAAGAAGCAGCAAGAGAGCCTCCATTGGGCTAGCAAAATGTAGTTCTTACTCATAGCTGAACTGGACACAAATTAAGTCCAGGCAGACAATGCTCGACTTACTTGAATAGACAATTCAATTTCTCGCTCGCTCTTTGTTTCTACGTCAATGTCTGCCTCAGACTCTGCCCCTGCCCCTGCTTCTGCTCTGTATGACTTGTACGATATGTTTGTGTTTTATTCAGAATATCTCAATAGTTCTCTCTTCTTTCTGGCTTTCTCTAAGTGAACGAGTCCCTCGCCCTGAGTCTGTCTCAATTTCCTTTTCTCTCTCTCTTCTCGCCGTCTGCCTTTTTCCCTTTTCTTTTCAATTTAGTCAGAATTACTATAACCTTCTCTCTCTTTCAGCGCCTTAGCGAACTTTCATTCAATATTATCTCTCTTTTTCTCTAAATATTATATTATATATATATATATATATATATATATTATATTTTTTCTAAATATTTCTCTCTCTCTCTCTCTTTCTTCAATATGAATCTCTCTCTTTTATAACCCTCTCTTTATCTCTGTCAGAGAACTTCTAGTTGGTATGAATCTTTTCCTCTCTCTCTCTCTCTCTTCCCCATTCTTGTTCTCTCTAACTCTATCTCTCTTTCTCGCTCTCTCTCTCTCGCTCTCTATCCTTAGCACTATCTCCTTCTCCAAGTCCCCCTCCACCTCCCCCTCCAGTTCCATTTTCAATTCCAATTTCCCATTTCGGCTTTCGTTTCAATGATTCGAATTTCGAATTGCCTTTAAGCTTCAAATTATCGCATGCAGTTGCACAATTTACACATTTCTATATACACACACACACATATACATACATGCATTAATGTATGTGTGTGTGTGTGTGTGGGTATGTTTGTGTTTCTTTATTCTTGCACACGCGTCAATTTAATTTAGAATTCTACGTAATATTTTATTAATTTAGCTTGATTGGCTTTTTCACAAACTGTTCACAGTGACTGTGTGTGTGTGTGTGCATGCGTCTCTCTCTGTATGCGTGTGTGTGTGTGAGATGAAAGATGTAAGGGGGTGGCGTCGAGTGGGCGGGCGTGGCATGTAGGGCGAGCTGCTAGCTAATTGGCATTGGAGGGGGACTTTCATGTCGTCATTGCAGCGTCTTTTGTTGTACAATTTCTATTACATTAACTGACTGACTGACTGACTGACTGACTGACTGACTGACTGAGTGATTGACTGACTAACATACACACACACTCACACACACAGCTATTGCTGCCGAAGTGTATATGTGTGTGTGTTATTGACACCATTTGTTGCTGTTGTTAGTGAAAAACACTCTTCACATTTAACCAAAGCGGGTATATTGAAGAGAGCAGAGCATTGGAGACACATCTGGTATCTAAATATGAAAAGCCTATCTCAAATGATCTAAAATTTAGAGAAATACGATAAAGTCCTCAGTGATAATCCATATCATCATATGATATCTAATAGTAGATGAATTAGATATCACTTTAAAGACTGGTTTCTTTGAGCAGAAGTCGAGGTCTTCAAGAGCTATTTTTGCTAATTTGATATAACTCAACTTCCTTTAGAATTCGAAATATTAAACTTACTATACAAGTAAAAAAATACAAAATATTTAATTTTCTTCATATCTTTCCCATAACATTGATTTCATTAAGGCAACTCTAAACTGAAAACCGGTTAAGCATAGTTCAATGTGGTGTCAAGGGGCCAAGGGGCCAAGGGTATCTGCTAGTCGGTCACACATACTCTTGCTGATTTATTACGCTGCAGTCCGAAAAGCTAAATAAATTGGCTGAGCATTTTGCACAGAATCATCAGCAGCATCAGCATCATCAGCATCATCATCGCGTCGAGTGATTCTTTCGTAGAGCTAGATATTTGCGCTGCGATCCAATCTATTCGGCAGCCCCTCTAGAGCTGCCTAGGCAGCTGCAGCTGAGGCAATTAAAGCAGCCAAGCGATAAGCAACAATTTACAGACCTACTAGGGACATTCCCGATAAGCAAAGAGAGCGGGGAGAGGGAGAGAGAGAGAGAGAGAGAGAGAAAGAGTGCGAGAGCATCTCAAATTCCCAATCCGTGTTTGAATCTCAGTTCGTACAGCATTTACAGCAATTAGGCTGCCTGATTAGCTTTAATTAAGCCAAACTGACATCGAGATGGGGCTTTCGATTGCATTGCCCTCACTCTCTCTCTCTCTTTAAATGGGTCTCGGTCGAGGCAATGGGGCATGGGCTTTACGAGCAGTGAAATGGGAATTGCCGAGTGTTGAGTGAGTGTGAAATGTGTAGCGCTTAATTAGCGCACTCTAGCCCTAACTAGTGTCTAATTGAATGCTCTGACAGCTGTTTGCATTCTCAGCTTAATCGATAAGCAGTTATCGATTAGCAAACATAAGAGAGAGAGAGAGAGAGAGAGAGAGAGAGAGAGGGAGGAAGATGAAAAGCGATGTCTGAAGGATGCGAAAAGGAATGTGAAAAGTGAGAATAATGAGAGGCTGAAATGTCAGAGATGTTAGATTACATATCAATAGATTATCGATAATGATAAAAGCACAATGAGAAAAGATTGGATATAGCAACTGTCTACTGCTATATGGCGCCATCTATCGGGCATTTCAGAGCGATAATTGAATAATGATGGCAACAATTGTAAAAAACAAACATAAATTACAAATATAAAGTAGAAAAAACAAAGACCACTTAAGTACATTTTTAATTATGCCAGATACGTGAACAGACGAGTCGAGTTCACCGAGAAACTAATTAAAAGCAGCACTACAACATCAATTTGGTTTCTCTCTCTCTCTCTCTCTCTCTCTCTCTCTATTTATATATATATAACTAAAGATGATGAAATATATTTTCAATTTGTTTCCATTTCTAACAATTTCTATTTATTTATTTTGGTTTTGGGCAATTAATAAACACAACTAGCTGTCCCCATCTGGAGCAACAACAACAGGCAAGTTTCACATAGAGCGAAGACAGATCCAGAGAACATTCGAGGAAGCAGCCCACACAATGTGCATTCATGCAAATTACCATCAATTTGGCAGGTAACCCAAATATTTTTGTTACAGTTAGAGATACAGATACAGATACAGATACAGATACAGATACAGATACAGATACAGATACAGATACAGATACAGATACAGATACAGATACAGATACAGATACAGATACAGATACAGATACAGATACAGATACAGATACAGATACAGATACAGATACAGATACAGATACAGATACAGATACAGATACAGATACAGATACAGATACAGATACAGATACAGATACAGATACAGATACAGATACAGATACAGATACAGATACAGATACAGATACAGATACAGATACAGATACAGATACAGATACAGATACAGATACAGATACAGATACAGATTAGTTGCAGTTCCTGTTGCACATGCATGCACAAATACAGTTTCAGATTCAGATACAAAAGCTGAGATAGATACAAATAATCGTTCCATTTAGCATCTAAATTGTAGATGCCGCTGATTTAAGTGCCCCTTTGACATGACAAGCGATGCGAACTACAAGCTATAATCAAGTAACTTGACAATAAATAAAGAAATGAGGGGACGAGAGAGGGGGTGATATTACATAGATCACATAGATCAAGTATGTAGATCACGTAGATCGCTTAATTAAAGCCCCGATTTCAATAGGCTTCGTGACATGTGACTAAACGTAGCTGATGTTGGCTTTCAGCTACTCATTGACAAAAGATAGACTCTATTCGATCACGCAATGCTCTCTTTGGAGTTAATATTAGATTAGCTGCAAGTGGAGAGTGAGAGGGAAAGAGGTGGATAGCATAGGTAACATTAGCTCTATCAGGAGGATAAGTTACAGTAAGCGAGAAGAGCATTCCTTGAAAATAGAGCCGTAGCCATATAGATCAGCTCGTTCCTAATCATGAATATGTGTATGTATGTGATAGACCTTGACAAAATGAATCGATATATAATAGATAATGAATCTATATATAATCGATATATATATATCGATTCATTTTGTCGAAACTTATCACATTTTCATTGGGTTGAGGGCAAACAAGAGGCGAACTGTCACCCAGAAACTTTACTTTTCTCAGTAGTAGATCAGAGAACCCTCTTGGGTTGGGTAGAGATGTCTTCGATTAAATCTCAGAGGGTTTTCATTCTTGGGCACTTGAAGCACCCCGCCTTTAATGATCTAGGGGAGAGCCCTGAGTTTTAGATCTTACAGCAAATCAAATTTCATCACTCGGATCTTTCTAGTCTCAAGTCTCAAGTCTCTCAAGCTCCTCTGACTATGCTTACATAAGCTGGCAGCTGCTGATAATCGGACCCTCGATTCTATAATAGACCTAGTTATATTCATCGTGCCAGAAGTTTCGACTCACCTCTACAATGCAACGCTGAACGCAGTCGCGGGTAACGTGTTCCAGAACGATTCGCTCATCGATGCCTGCATTGCTCTCATGCTGCTGTTGCTGTTGCTGCTGCTGCTGCTGTTGCTGCTGCTGCTGCTGTCGCTGCTGCTGCTGTTGCTGCTCGCGCGTCTCCGTGTGAACTGGCGCTCGAACAACGCTGCTGATGACAATGCCCTCAGCGACGCTGGGTGGTGAGGCGCCCAAGTGCTTGGCCCAGACGGCGACCTTCTCAACCACATCGCTGTCCAGGGTGGGTCGCATGTTCGCCTGGGCGAGTGGTATCACAGCAACTGTTGCTGCCGTGGTCGGTGTTGCTGGCGTGAAGCCGAACTGTTGCTGCGAGCGACAGCAAACGGTGCAGCATAGCGAGAGCAACAGCAGCAGCACAAGCAGGTGCCCCAGCAACATGGTGGCGATGTTGCCGTTGCGGCTGCACGAGAAGCTGCCGCGGATTAGCTGCAACAGGCTTTGCCCATAGCAATTGCCATGGGAACGAGATCGTAGCAATTCTTGTTGCTTGAGTTGTTGCTGCTGCAGCTGTTGCTGTTGCTGTTGTTGCTGTTGCTGCTGTTGCTGGTGTTGCTGATGCTCTAGCTCCTGCTTGGCTCGCTCCTGATTTGCCAACATTTTCGTGTTGACATTCACAGCAATCTTAACATTGAAGCTAAAGCTAAAGCGTCGCGGCTGCTGCTGTTGCTGCTGTAACAGCAACTGTTGTTGTTGCTGCTGTTGCTGCTTCAACAGCTGCTGCTGCTGCTTAAGCGTTTGTTGCTGCTGTTCCAGATATTGCCGCTGCTGCTGTTGTAGCGCCTGTTGCTGCTTCAGTGTATGTTGCTGCTCCAGCAACTGTTGCTGCTCCAGCAACTGTTGCTGCTGTTGCTGATTCTGTTGCCTCTCGAGATTCTGATTGAGATTCGGATGTTGCTGCTGTTGCTGCTCTTTGTGCTGCTGCAGAAGCGGTAACTCTTCTAGCAACTGCTGTTGCTGCTGTGCTGCTGCTGTTGTTGTTGCTGTTGCCGCATCATTTTGGCCAACCATAGTCAACAATTTGCAACAATTTCCATGCGAAATATTCATTGAAACACATACAAATAAAACAAAAGCCCGACCTACACCTCTGTAAGTGAGTGTTACTATGTGTATGTGTGTGTGTGTGTGTGTGTGTGTGTCTGAGCTGGTTTCCGATTTCTGGATTTGTTCAAAAAACTTCGATCGACGCTTTGCAATTTACATTTTGCCTGAAATTGTAAAACGAAATAACAAAAATATAAAACCAAATCCAAAAATCCAATAAGAATCGCGTTGTTTCTTATTGGAATTCGCATCGGTATCGACAAAAAAGGGAAATTAGCATATCATGTTCATTATAATAAGCTCACAGCAATGGGCGAAGGGTTCAATGTGCGGGCACAATTCAAATCGATATGCTTATAGGGAATACCTCAGATACGTATAGATATATGTATGTATGTATATAGTTGATCTACTTGTTCAAGTCGAATGGAAGTAACGAGCTCAGGCCAGAAATAGCGATTCACAAAGCTCAAAGGTGCGAGTCCCACTTTGGCATATTAAGCAATTTAATTATTCAGCAGCATTTCACATCTACTTTGTAGAATCCCATTAATAATTTAGTGATCAAAAGTGGCTCGCTGCGTCGCGGCGTAGGCTCGAGTTCGAGCACAGGCGAGACGAATAAAGAAAGAGACTGAGAGAGGGACGGAGACGGAGAGGCATGGGCTAACGGACGAACGGACGGATAGTGGGAAAGAAGGCATGACGGAAGAAATGACAAATGAACGGACAGAAGTACGAAAATACAATGGAGCAACGGAAAGAAAAAAATGGACGGACGGACGGACGGAAAGACAAACGATTGAACAAAAAGATGGGAAGGAATAAAACGAATGGACTGACAGGCCAAGATACGAATGGATATGCAAACTGGGAGGAACAGGCGACGAGACGAATAAAACGGACGGACAGACGAACGGAACATGTGAGGCTATGGATGATGAAACAAACAGACAGCATTGCACGCAACTAATATGCTCCACAGTGAATGACCAGCCGAACACAATTGATGGGTCGTTAATAAAGTCAACAAATGTTCCACATAGAGCAGGAGGAAAAAAAACAGTGATATATGTAGATATATTTATGTTTACATTAACACTAATTGACCGCAAGACTCTAGGCCCTGGAACCACTGAATTACAACATAAAAAGGACTTAAGGACACTAAGAATCTCACAGTGAGCTATGCACGACTAGCAGATACCCTTGCGTCGCAAAGCGAGGAATCAGAAATATAATTAAGCAACGCATATGCTCTATACAGTTAACTATATCAAATTTGCAATCGATTTTTATCGATTTTTTATTAATCAGCGAAGTTATCGATGACTTTAAGCCAAAAATTATGCGATTTTATGGAAGATCGGGCGGACAGACAGAGAGACTGATGGAAAGAGAGACATAGTGCGATATGGACTAACAGAGGCACCAGAGCAGGACAGAAGATGAGCAAGCAGAGAGACGGCTAGAGCCGAGAAGGTTAACTATCCCACTCAACTGAAGTAGATCTGGAACACATGTATACACACACTCCGTGGAAGTAGCCATGTCGCGCAGTTAGAAATCGATATACCCCTTCAGCACGCGCTCACACATATTTCCATCTATATATAAATATTTATCACTAATTAACCGCCATCGAGGCTCTGAGGATAATTATTTAAAAAAAAAAAACACACACACAAAAACAGAAAAAGAATTAAAAAGGACAACAACAAATCCAATTCGAAATGACTTTTTATGCAAATGCCGTTATTAATTAATTATTTACGAATTCGATTGTTACACTTGATTCTTGTTTTTTATTTTCAATTCTCATTTTTTGTTTATGCACATTTCGCATTTTTGTTTATGCTTTTTTTTTATCACATTCAAGCTCCGAGACGAACAAGCACTTTATGTTGTAGTTGTTGCTATAGTTGAATCTCGTTGTTGTTGTTGTTGTTCACGCGCTTTAATTCAATTTGCTGTTAATGCGCGTAATTGATTTGAGCAGCTTAATTGCAATTGATGGCAAGCCCTTCAGCATCCCTAAGCGTATCTGTATCTGTATCTGTATCTGTATCTGTATCTGTATCTGTATCTGTATCTGTATCTGTATCTGTATCTGTATCTGTATCTGTATCTGTATCTGTATCTGTATCTGTATCTGTATCTGTATCTGTATCTGTATCTGTATCTGTATCTGTATCTGTATCTGTATCTGTATCTGTATCTGTATCTGTATCTGTATCTGTATCTGTATCTGTATCTGTATCTGTATCTGTATCTGTATCTGTATCTGTATCTGTATCTGTATCTGTATCTGTATCTGTATCTGTATCTGTATCTGTATCTGTATCTGTATCTGTATCTGTATCTGTATCTGTATCTGTATCTGTATCTGTATCTGTATCTGTATCTGTATCTGTATCTGTATCTGTATCTGTATCTGTATCTGTATCTGTATCTGTATCTGTATCTGTATCTGTATCTGTATCTGTATCGGCTTAAGTTTAGATATCTATATATATCTATATATCTTTATATCTATAGTGCGCTACGTACTTAACCGTGCCGCGATCGTCGCTTAACTGATGAAACCGGCAAACGGCGACGGCTCCAAAAAAAAAAAAAAAACAAAAAACAAAAACAACCCCAAGCCAAAGACGCTCAACGATCAACAAACAGCAAACAACGATCAACGCCAGCCTCATCCAGAGAGGAGAGAGCAAGAGCGCGAGAGAGAGAGAGGGAGACAGAGAGAGAGAGGGAGAGTTGGGTTTCATAAAAAGCAATTCCCAAATTTCGCTTTACACCTCTTTCTCGAACAGCTTTCGGCGACAATTTATGCAGCTCGCGCAGTTCGTGTGGAAACTAACAGCGAGCTGTAGCAACGATTAGGTGGACTATTCGCTGTCTGCGTCAATTAATGGCAAGTGATTTGACATTCTCGGCTAATTATTGGCAGTCTATTGCAAGTGCTGCGAAGAAACTCATGTACTTGGGCATTAATAGTCAGTGCTATCGATCTATTCGATTCTAGCCATTGCTCGTCTATCGATCAGCCTGTCAGTCATTTATAAACTTGATTGGTCGAGAGTTGGCTCGTCAATTTATTGGTCAGTCATTCAGGCAATCAGTCTCAATCAGTCAGCAGTCATTCACTCGCTGATGAATACAAAACTTTCCTCTTATGGCACATGTTCAATCAATCAATCAAAGACTGATCAATCAGTCTCTCATTATAGATTAATGATGACTAATGCCTGCCTGATGTATGAGTAATGTATGATTGAAGTATGCCAGATACATGATTGATGTATGGCTGTTATATTACTGATGTATGATTGACGTACGAATGATATACGACTGAAGAATTGATGTAAGGCTGTCGAATATCTGATGTATTTCTGATAGATGACTGATGTATGATGTTTTTCAGATATATAACTGATGTATAGCTATTGTATGACTAATATAATACTGACGTATGACTGATGGATGACTGATGTATGACTGATAGATGACTGATGTATGAATAATGTATGGTATTTCTTATATATATAATTGATGCAGGCTATTGTAGGACTAATATATTACTGATGTATGACTGATAGATGATTGATGTATGACTGATGTATGATGTTTCTCAGATATATAATTGTTGTATGGCTATAGTATAACTAATATATTACTGATGTATGACGAAAATATATTGATTTGATTGAGTAGTGCTTCTACTGAAGTCAAAGGAGTTTTAATATATGCTATACATATATATTGATTGATCAATCAATGTGCATTGACTTGAAGTAAACGGTGTTTTTGCGCATCCACAAAAACTGTATAGGGTATTTAACAGTCGGTAGTCCCTCTTGTAAAAGCTCCGAGTATTTACAGCGAAAGTATACAATGAATAAAATCAGAACGAAATGGGGAAAGCGCTGAAAAGTAAGCAACATTCTGCTGGCTGATGCGTCAATCAAGCAGCGCAGCACTTGATAGGGCTATTAGGAATTTGTGCTTGACAATTTCCATTTCCGTTTCCGTTCGAAAACCTTTTGGCTAGGAATGCACACACTTTTTATACGTGATTTGATTTGTGCAGGAAATTGCAAGTGCGGCGGAAATTTCGAGCGTTTTTTTTTTCGCTTTGCCGTGTCAAAGGTTATCTGTCTGGGCAATTGATTAGATTGAGCAACAGCAGCAGCAACAGCTAATCGCCGAATGGATTTGTGTGAAAGGTTCAAATTGTCAATTGTGCTCGAAATAGGGGACTCACTCGAATAGCGAGTGGAAGCGAAATACCTGAACTGATTTTCAGCTGATTCTATTTCTACTGCAGTCAATCAATAAGTCGGTCAGTTGGTCAGACTATTGGTCAGTCAATCAATCACGTCCTCACAGCTCAACTTTAGCTTAATCAAATAATTAAATCAATCGGGCCATATATCATCACCATCAATCAACATACATCACTCAATCAGTTTGGAAGATAGGTAGGTTCCATCCATCAAGCAATAGTTTAGGGCTAACTATCCGGTGTTCTATCTAGAACACTGAAGGCATCGACTGAAAGGATCGTAGCGAGGTGATTGAGGAAGAGTCAAGCCTAATCGTTGATGGAGCAATCATAGTAAATCTTAGGATAAAATTCGCATCATCTCTCACTCTCTCTTTCTCTCTTTCACTATCTTCTTCAGCGCGTATCTCTCTCTCTCTTTCTCTCTCTCTCCCTTGCCCCCTCTTTCTCCCTCACTTGGTTGTATAAGCATGAAAGCATGATTCATCTGCTGTGGCCCAGTGCCCCACACAGCTCGCTTGGTATTGGTCAGGCGCAGTCTACAAAGTGAAACAAATTATTTATAAACAATGTCTTAAAATTTAACATCAAAGAGCACACACATACGCATGCGTTTGCCCATGCACATGTGTATTCTATGTATGTATGTACATATATAGGTACGTTTTCGTAAACATCAATTAGTTTGCCATTTTTCGTGAAAAAGCATGAAAGGTATATCGACTGCTGACGACATTGGTCTGAGCAGGTCCTATGGTATGGAGAGACAGACAGAGAGAGAGAGAGAGACTGAGAAAAAATAGAAAAAAATATATATATAGGGCATAGGGATAGAAAAAGGGGGAATCGGAAAGACCAATAGATATAGAGAAAGGGATAGAACAAATGTGCGATAAAAAGAAAAAATCAAGAGACAGACACAGACACAAAGTCAAAGAACGGAAAAATTAAGATAAAGGGAAAGAGATAGACAAAGAGACACACAAATAGACAAAAAGACAGACATACACAGAGATAGAGAGAGAGGGAGAGGGAGGGACAGAAAATTATGGCCACGCGGAGCAGAGCCGACTGAGATTAAGAGGGACTCATTGGGAAAGCAGAGAGATTTGGTCATCTTAGAGAGATTCATTGAGGAACCCATTCGGGAATTGTAGGAAGACACGCCCATCTTAGAGATATGCCAATGTATATATAAAGACTTGTGCAACCACCTCACAGTCCCAACTCATTAACACCATATCTTTGTGACGCTCTACAGGGTAGCGCCTGGTCATGCCATCAACATTTGAATTTCGATCTTTTCTGCGCTGCGGACTGAGCGATAAGCATGCCATATAGAAAAGCATCAACACATTCCATATACATACAAAATATTGTTAAATTCCCAGTAGAGAAAGCGCGTAAATGCTCTGAGTAAATGTGATTACACACACACACACACACACAGATACATATGAAGATAGAGACAATCCATGTGGAGGAACCATTGATAGAGATTAAATACATTTGCTTGGAATCAGTTGCGCACTAAACTTTGCAAACGTCGCAACGAATCAGGCAAACAAAAATAATCGAGAAAAAAAAATGGAGTCTGCTAAATTGTTGTTAATAGGATTCATCTTCGTAGCCGGCAGCCGGGCAATGCCGCAGTATCCATGTAAGTATGGACGGATGATCCGTGTATATAGCTGTGCTCTTCACTCATTCCATTTTGGTGCCTCTGGCAGCTAGTTACCGTTACAGTCAACAGTACTGCCGGGATACGCTGACAGGCAGGCAGCTGTATGTGGGAGAAGTGTTCACACGTCCGGGGCAATGTGTGCGAGTGCAATGTCTGGGCACACTTCGGGTATGGGAGGATACGTGAGTAAGCGATAGAGAGAACGAGACTCAGAGAGAGTGGCGATTGGCTGACCAATCACATGCACTGATATTCTGTACATCATTTTCACTGTCATTCTTTATTAACCGTTACAGCTGTAAAGTGCCGGTCGGCTTGAAGGGGGACTGTCATGAGCTGCCGCCCACTGAAACCGATTCGGTCTATCCGAAATGTTGTCCCCTATACGAATGCAAAACGTTCACATCGAATCCCGAGGGGGAGCTGGAGCAAACGAACACGTATGATCATGCTGGCAATTTGCGCAAATCGCATCTGACCGAGGTGATTATCATAAACAAGGATCGTCTAGCACCCAATTTACCAGAGAGGCCAACCGTTCAGCCAACTGTTCGAAAATATTCAGTATGAGCAAACGTTATATATCTATATATGTATATACATATCTATGTATATATGCATATGCGTGTTTATAGTGTGAATTTGTAGTGTGATCAATTAGGCCGTAGTTAGTCGTTAAAAATTATCTGTGTCGCATTGTATTGTTACGTGTTCCAAATATATATGTCTTGAGCATAACGAAATTGCATTAACTGAAATTTGAATTCAACTGCAATGGCGGCATTTTTTATAAGACGGTGCTGTTATACTTTTCCACCAACGATTTGCCTATCGATTGTTGCAACGACCAGTCAAAACATGTTACATTATTATTTACACTTCAGCCACTAATAAGCAGATATGGTAAAAATTAAGAATAAAAACCTAAATACATACTATATATATATTTAATGATTACGACGATTATTATTAATTTGAAATTTAAAATATCGCGTTGCCAACTAGAGTATGCATTTTAAACGATATATATTGTAACACACAGCTGATCATCGTGCTTATATCGATAGCAACAAGTCAACATTGTAAATTATCGAAGTGACTATTGTTCGTAAGTAGGAAATTCTAGAAATATTTCAAAATACATAGAAGTTTTGCGTCAGTTACGCTCGCTAACTAAATTTGTTTCATCGAAAAACAGCAAAAACGTGTGTAAATTAATTTTTGGCACAAGCGAATTCAACTTTAACAATCAACTGCGAATTTCATCACAACAAGAAAATGTTGCTGCGACTTGCATTGTCGAAAGCTCCATCGAGCTGCCAATTGCTGGCCAAATCCTCGAAACTGAATCTTAGTTTAGTTCGCAACTATGCACGGGGTCCAGTGCGCCCCCCACGCAATCCCGTAATTGTGGAGCGGGCTCCAGTACGCAGTCAACCGACGCTCAAGGAGAAGCTAATGGGCCCACCAAGTGCCAATGGTAAGTGCTTGCCTACCAATTACCGCTGTAACTAAACTGTGTTTTCTTCCAGCTTTTTCATTGGGCAAGGGAGCAGCTGCGGGAGCCGCTGCTGTCGGCCTGGGCGCCCTTTGCTACTACGGCATCGGCATGGGCAAGCACACAAGCATTGCGGACAACGCCATGTGAGTAGGCATTCCTTAAAATACATTAAAATATACATACGTATGCATACATACATGTACATACATATTTATGCTTCTCTGCTGGAGGCATTGTCAATGATTACCTGATCTAATATAGTGCATCTTACAAAACAGAGAGAGCGAGAGAGAGAGAGAGAGCGAGAAAGATCTAGACCTCCTCTAAATCATTAAAGCACAATCTAGAACAAAGCCCACCCACCCCCACGCTCTCATTCCATTGCGCTCTCAGCGAGGAACGGTACTTCACAGATTATAAGCCAAGATGATCACTCTCTCTCATTTTCTCTTTACCGCTCGAGCAATCGCACTGCTCTCTCAAAGTTGTGCATGTGTGATGCGAATGTCCCGTTTCTTCTCTTCTGAGAGAGCTGTGCATTGTTACATATTAATTAAGGTTTTGCGAACTTATGACTTCTCTTTCTCTCTCCCTTCATGTGTAGAATGTGGCCGCAATATGTGAAGGAGCGCATACAATCGACATACGCTTTCTTTGGTGGCTCCTGCTTGCTAACTGCAGCCTCTGCTGCTGCAGTCTTCCGCTCGCCTCGTCTCCTCTCACTGGCCTCGCGCGGTGGCTTTGTGGTAAGTCAAACACCGTACACACACCCACTCATACACACACACACAGATATCTATATGTATGTATATGTTTACCGTAGTGGACACTAGCTTCGTTTGCTTTGGTCATTGGCAGTGGAGCTGTCACACGCTCCATTCAGTATGAGAAGGGGTTGGGGCCAAAGCACTTGGCCTGGGCCGTGCATTGCGCTCTATTGGGTGCTATGATAGCCCCATTATGTTTCCTCGGTGGACCGATACTAACGCGCGCAGCTCTCTACACGGGCGGCATTGCCGGTGGCTTGTCGACGATCGCAACTTGTGCACCGAATGATAAATTCTTGTATATGGGTGGTCCATTGGCCATTGGCTTGGGCCTTGTCTTCGCCTCATCCTTGGCATCAATGTGGCTGCCGCCAACGACCATGCTAGGCGCTGGTAAGTAATTGAGTTTTATTAAATCATATATATGTACATATATATGATATAAAGCTTATGCTAATCCTTCTGCTCGATTTGCTTCCAGGCTTGGCCTCGATGTCGCTATACGGCGGACTGATTCTCTTCAGCGGCTTCCTGCTCTACGATACGCAGCTGTTGGTGCGCAGGGCTGAGGTGTACCCAGAGTATGCATATGCACCCTTCGATCCGATTAATGCGTAAGTATAAATCCTTTAGTTTCCTGTGATGCTCGAGATTCATTTCATTCTACATTTCAGCTCTATGTCTATCTATATGGATGTTTTGAATATATTCATAAGAATTGCGACCATCATGGGACTTAACCATCGTAAATAATTTCAAGCAAATACAGTTGTGATATAATAATGATATATATGTAAACAAATAAATAAAGCTTACAGGCTACAAAGCCTAGAAAAAGTAAATACCTATGTTAATTTCTATAAATTGGTAAATAAGTAGTGATGTGCGCGACCGGGCGACAGTGTCACAATCGATGTTAGTGCATTGCCTATCGATTAAACTGATGCCAGTGGTACAGCAGCATAACTATTTGTTATTATTTTAATAATTGCTTAACATTATTATTTACTACTTTAAAAACGTCTATATAATACATATATATGATATATGTGACTGCAGTTTAACTTTTTTTAAATTATGTAGACACATAACATATCGCACAACGATTAACTATCGCATGAATTGTATATTAAACGATATATATACGTCGGCAGGATAATACGATAACAAACCTGTACAGAAGACAATTAAAAAGGATTTAAGAGCTTACAAACTGCTTGGCTTTGGCAACAGTGTCAAATGTGTGACAAAACTTTATTATTTAAATAGGATATATATGTGAGCACTTGCAAACTAATAATTAAACAAAACACAAATCATTTTTTACGCGATAATACATCTAAAAACTAAATATATATATTTGTATATACATATATATATAAATATTATATACATTTATTGCGTTTCATTAAGTGCATAAACGTGTTTCAGGTACGTTCCCGTCGATGCTATAATACAACCGCTTGGAACAGGGGCAAAGCTAAAGACACAACGGGTAAGTACGAGTCCTAGACAAAGCAAACGCCGGCAGCCGGCGGGGGCCGCGCCCTGCGTCAGGTACGCAGCAGCCGGCAAACGGCAAATCGATTTACGATAACAAAAGTGTTTTGCTTTTCTTCTCTGCTTTTGCAGCCGCGACAGCAGCAGCAGCAGCAGTCGCCGAACTGAAAATAACGCAAAAGGGAAAAGTAGAAGACAAAGTGGAGACCGACGATAACTTGAGTCTTGAAATGGAGCGGCGTTATCTGAAGAATCCGTTTGCTGATTTCGCCGGCGGTGAAAATACGCCCTTTGCCACTGATGAGGAGCACATTAAGACATTGATATGCACCTATGTGGATGCCATATTGGAGCATTGTCATCCCAATAGCGACGAAGAGGACAATCGCGGCGACTTGTATGTGGGCAATGCTGGCATTGCCTACATGTTCTGGAAGTTGAATAGCTGTGAGCAGACCCGTGATCTCTATCCGGCTTTGGAGCATGCGGCTGCCTTCATACGCAATGCCAAAGTGAACGCCCAACGCTACAAGAAAAGATCAGCCGAGCGATATTCGTTTCTCTGTGGCAACGCCGGCATCTATGCCGTCTCCGCTGCCATATCCCAGGAGACAAAGAATACGGAGGAACTCTCCATGGACTTGGCCAACTTTAAGTCTGGCATCCCATCGAGCAAGGAGTTCATGCATACAAAATATGGTTGTGATGAGGTGCTAGTTGGACGCGCTGGCTATCTATCTGGCTGCTACTGGCTCAACGACGTGCTGCCGGAGAAGAAAATTACGGATGATGACCTCATCTCCATTTGCCAGCTGATCATCCACAGCGGGCGGGAGTATAGCAAGCTGAATAACTCTCCGTTACCATTGATGTATCAATACCATGGCACAGAGTATCTGGGCGCTGCTCATGGCCTTTGCGCCATTTTGCACATGCTCTTGGATAGTCCGTGGTTCCGTACGGTTCCCATATCGGCGCCCGCCGCCGAACTGCGGGACATCAAGCGCTCGATTGACTTCTTCCTGGAATTGCAGGATGCTGAAGGCAACTTCCCGGTGGCTCTGGAGGACTTGCGTTCGGGCCGGGATAAGCGTCTCGTGCATTGGTGTCATGGTGCACCCGGTGCTGTCTACGTGATAGCCAAAGCCTATCTAATCTTCAAAGAGGACAAATATATTATATCACTGCGTCGCGCCGCGGATTTGGTATGGAAGAAGGGATTTTTGCGCAAGGGACCGGGCATTTGCCATGGCGTAGCCGGCAATGGCTACGTCTTCCTTCTCCTCTTCCGCTTGACCAACGAAATGAAGTACCTGTACCGTGCTCACAAATTTATGGAACTCTTAACTAATGCGGAATTTAAGCAACGTGCGCGCGTTCCTGATCGACCGCACAGCCTTTACGAGGGAGTCGCTGGCACAGTATGCTTCCTAGTTGATCTCCTGGAGCCGGAGCAAGCTTATTTTCCCTTTATGGATGTCTTTCATTAGATAGTCCCAACCGCATCCCATCCCTCGCTCCATCCCCCATTCTAGTCATATATTTTATTTCTTTAAATTCAGCGCCCATTTTGTCGATATTGCAGCTAGTAAGGACTATTTTTCTTTTTAATTAGGATTCATCGATATCAGTCAAATTCGTAGGCGTCATTGTATACTTTCATCTATATCTTTCAGTCTTCAATACTTTTTTAGCCTTTTTTATCAAACATTATCCAGACTTTCTTTCTCTCTCTCAATGTCTCCCTCTCTCTCTCTCTCACCATTGCTCCACTTGATTGCGTGGCTCAATCATATTCTCATATCAAAATTATCTGTGCTTTAAGCTAAGCAATTAAAAATAATACGCATAAATATTCATATATATATATTCTATATATATATACATACACGATACACAAACAAATATACAATATATATTTATATACAATACTTACATTCATAAACATAAAAGAAATATAGACATATATATCTATATATATGTATACTGTGCTTTATACCTACGAGTAACTCCATTGATGAGCTCTAAATTCTATTGTCAATAAAGATTATACTACAAAACTATATATGTATATGTTTCTCTTACTCAGCGGCGAATATCGTAAGTTGTTTGTATTTCAAATTTAGCGCCATCTTCGTGAAATGAAATTGGTTACTCATCACATATCGCTGGCTAATATCGCAAGTTTATTTCATTTCAAATTACTTGTATATCGATATTAATGTATTCGTTACTTTAGTTACCACTTATCGGTATCTGCGCAGCCGGACTAGTTTATTATATGAGATTGGCATTTTACAATAATCAATTATTATTTCATTTGTCGCATAAATAATCATATCTTCGTAATTGAGCAACTGAGCAGCCAGCGCGATGACATCACAGCCGTGCGGTTTGACGATGAATTGTTGCAAGTCAGCTTGCTGTGCGATAAATACTCATCGACAATCAACTTGCATCCCTAACTGGCTCTTTTCGTGGTGCGGACGCAATCTGCAAACTCGTGGCGAAATTTTGTATTAAATTTTCGTTGTCCAATTGCATAGCAAAACAAGGTTAATTGACACAGAACGATGCTGGCTAAGACATAGAAACGTATATTAATGTTAATACTTACAGATGCCGGGCGTTGAAACAATCAAATCCAGTTGGGCCGATGAGGTGGAGCTCGACTATGGAGGCTTGCCACCAACAACCGAAACGATTGAGAATGGCCATAAATACGTGACCGAATACAAATACAATAAGGACGATAAGAAAACGAAAGTGGTGCGCACTTACAAAATATCCAAACAGGTCGTGCCGAAAACTGTCGCCAAGCGTCGCACCTGGACGAAATTTGGTGATTCGAAGAACGACAAACCCGGCCCCAATTCTCAAACAACAATGGTTTCTGAAGAGATTATAATGCAGTTCCTCAACTCCAAGGAGGATGAGAAGGCCAACGATCCGTTGCTCGACCCCACCAAGAACATTGCCAAATGTCGTATTTGCAATGGCGAGCATTGGTCCGTCAACTGTCCCTACAAAGGCACCGCTATGGACACCAATCTCATGGAGAAGAAGGCGGCAGCTGCTGCATCGGCAGCCGTGGATGCCCCCAAATCTGGAAAGTACGTGCCACCATTCCTCAAGGATAGCCAAAAGGGCGGTATGGGTATGCGTGGACGCGACGATACGGCTGCCATTCGCATTTCTAACTTATCCGAGTCCATGACCGAAGCGGATCTCGAGGAGCTGGTCAAGAAGATCGGTCCACAGAGCAAGATGTACCTGGCCCGCGATAAGAACACCGGCCTCTGCAAAGGTTTCGCCTACGTTCACTTCAAACAGCGCAAGGATGCGGCAGCGGCCATCGAAATCCTGAACGGTCACGGCTACGATCACTTGATCCTGAGTGTGGAGTGGTCAAAGCCACAGAACAACTAAAAGGGGGCAAGACGACGATGTGTGCGTGTGTGCGACGTGTGTATGTGTGTGAAAGGGCAAGGCTGCCGGGAAAGTTAAGCAGAAACGTGAAGAATACTGTAATTTGCTTTTTTTATATTTTGAATAACTACCACTTATAGAGACCCTGGAGCATACCGCATGTGTTACAAATAAATAGTACATGGTATCTAAGCTATAAGTTTGCTAAAAACACAAAAAAATAAACAAAAATTGAAAAGGAAATTGAAATGAATATATTTTTATGCTATGCAGGTCGTTTATTTACATGCGCGGGTTTAACGTCACGAATACTGCGAACAGTGTTACCAGAGAATGTTTTTATGCCGCAGCTCGCTGAGAAAGAGAGAGTGAGAGCCTAAGAGCAACAGATGTGACGTCACAAATATGTGAGCAACGCGCTCAGAGAGTGGCACGGCCGAGGACATCAATAACGGCACTCCAGCACGCACTCTCTCATAAACAATATTTTCGTGTTGGCTTGATTGGCATGTAAATGTGTACGCCCCACGTTTATTTTTAATATAAACTATGTTTATTTTAAGTCGCATTTAGGCAAAGGTGCGCATATGCCATTTGATGCTATTCTCGGATTTATGGCAATACATATTACTAATGATGTTTTTTAAGAATATGCATATACAGTATGTCAATTACCCTTGATCGCAGACAAGAGGGCGAGCATATCTCACAGAAAAAGAGCGCTGCACTCCATGGAGCGCATATCGTGTTGCTCGCTCTGCAGGGTATCGCTGGGTCGACTAATAGCGAGCAGCATTCTGTTCTGCTTGCGTAAATTGTGTTTTGTTTGTGCCGTGCGCTAAATTTAGAAAATAGGTGCCGCTAAAGCATTTCAAATTTGAATATAGCAAAATGCAATATTTTTGATCTGCTGCTTGCTGGCAGGTCCACAGGTGTGTTCACTATGGAGTCCTCGTCGAAACTGGCCATAAAACGCGGCACGCGAATTTTGACTGAAAAGCCATTTGCGTACGTGCTCAAGTCGAAATATCGACTGGAACGCTGCGATAATTGCCTGGAAGCGTGAGTTGTAATGGGATTTTAGAGTGGAATAATGAAATAGAATATAATACTGCTTGCACAGGACAAAGGTGCTGAAGTGCTCCAACTGCCGTTATGTCTCCTACTGCAATCGCAGCTGCCAGCAACAGGCTTGGTCCATCCACAAGCACGAGTGCCTGTTCCTCAAGCGTGCGCTGCCGCGCATTGTGCCCGACGCGGCGAGGATGCTCTGCCGGCTTATATTGCGTCTGGAGCACGGCGGCGATCTGGAAAGAGGCTACTACACGGAGCACGGATCTCGCAAATTCCGCGATCTAATGTCACGTGAGTGGCAATTCATATAGAATACATATTTGTATATAGGCTTCGTTTAATATTTTCCGATTTGCAGACTATGCGGAGATTAAGAACGACCCGAAGCGCATTGAGCATTTGGAATCGTTGCATGCTGTGCTCACGGATATGATGGCGGAGAGCGGAAAAGGAAGTCTAACTGGAAGTCTGGTGCCCAACATGAATGAGCTGATGAGTATTTATGGTCGTGTAAGTGTGAGTGAGCGGCAGCAGCAAAAGCTACTCAGCTACTCATATGGCTGCACTGCTCTAAACAATATGTGCGTCCCCCTCTATCTCATGCTAAGGCTGATTTGAAATGTGACGTCAAGTTTAGTAAACTTATTGTGATATTATTTGCTCTCTCATTCATCGTACAGCTCATCACGAACGGCTTCAACATCCTGGATGCAGAGATGAATTCGATAGCGACTGGCATTTATCTGGGCGTCTCCATAACAGATCACAGCTGCCAGCCGAATGCGGTGGCCACGTTCGAGGGCAACGAGCTGCACGTGCACGCCATTGAGGACCTGCCGTGCTTGGATTGGTCCAAGATCTACATAAGCTACATCGATCTGCTCAACACGCCCGAGCAGCGGCGGGCAGATCTAAAGGAGCATTACTATTTCCTCTGCGTGTGCAGCAAGTGCATCGATCCGCAGGAGATGCACGAAATGACCGCAGCCGTTTGTCCGAATGGCAGCTGCGACGCTAGCGTCAATATACAATTGGATAAATGTGAGAGCTGCGGAACGCCCGTGTCGGAACAGCTTCGCACCGACTACAGCGAGGTGATGGCGCTGACGCAGTCCAGCTTGGACTCCATGAAGGAGGTGGCCTGTAAGTGGACGAAGCGGCCGGACTATGCGCTATATACACTCCTCATACTATGCACACTCTGTTCCCTTCCAGATCTGGACGTCTGCAAGGTATGCCTGGCCAAGCATCGTGGCATCCTGCATCCCTTAAACGTTTGGCACGTGAAGACACTCGATGCCGCCTTCGAGGCATCGATCCAGGTGGGCAAGTGGACAGAGGCATTGGACTATGGAAGGCAGCTGCTGCCAGGCTTTGCTAAATACCACGGGGAATGGAATCCCTTGCTGGGCCTGCTCCAGCTAAAGCTGGGCAAGATCGAGCTGTACGAGCGCAACTACAAGCAGGCCTTGCAGCACCTGCAGGAGGCGCAGCGCATCCTGAACGTAACACATGGCCGAGATCATCGACTGTTGCTGGAGCAGCTGCGTCCGCTCATGCTGCAGGCCAAGCACGAAATGCGATGAGCTCAGATCGGCTAAGAGATAGACTACGGTTTGGTAATAAAGAGTTTAATTAAGTGTAAAGCAATTTGAAATGTATATATATATATTTGCAAATGGCGTTAAACGATCTGCGTGATGGCCTTGGCGCGCCGGTCCGTGTCCTGGAAGAGGGCGCGTATCAAGTGCTTGATCTCATTCGCCTGGTAATTGGCCGTCAGCGGGCCGGCGCCATCGCACCAGAGTTCGGTAAACTCCTTGAGCGAGGCGTTCATCATGGTCTTCAGCTGCTGCAGCTTCTGCCAGCTGCGCACCTGCAGCACCTCATGCTTATCCTGGTACAGCAGCGGCCCCTTCTCCAGCACCACGTCGATCAGGTCGCTCAGCTCGCTGGCCATCGTCGCCGAAATGTCGCGTAGCGTAAACACCCGCTGCACCAGCTCGTTGACAAACGCATTCAGCAGCTCGCAGAAGCTGCTGTTGTAGACGTTCTCCGGCAGCACCTGCTGCCACACGTTCTTCAGCAGCTCCAGCTGGCGCAGGCACTGGCGCACCAGTCGCAACGGCGTCGAGCCCAGGGTATGCGGATTCTCAAATTCTGTCAAAGGGCGAGAAGAGGCATTAATTAGTAGGAGTGTGACCGACTCGCAAATCCCCTCACCCCAATCCAGAGCACATGCGCCACCCTCTCTTTACAGCCCCCTACTCCATGCATTCATGCACTACAAATGTTCTCTTTACTCTAGGAAATCGCTTGGAGTATCTGCATAGATATGGGTAGATTTCTTGTCTCTGTCTAATCGTCTCATCAATATTTCAAGTTTCTGACTTCGAGATCGCTGAGGTCAGAATAGGACTTCTATATATTCTATATATGTTCTGGCACGCCTCCTAACTGCCTTTTCCCATATGTACAGTCTACGTAGGAGAAACAATATGAAGACCCACCGAATCCGCTCATGATATCCATCAATATAGACTGCTGATAGTTGAGCTGAACCCGCAAGTGCTTGGTGGCCGTGGACTGAAGCATCTTGACCAGCGAGGGATAGCTTTCGATGCCGTTGTTGGCGTGCTGCGCCACCCAATGCGTCAGGTATTGGCAATTGTTGTGGAACAGCGCCGATTGCTGGGGAATGCTCTGCAGCAGCTTCTTATGCACCTTGGGCACCTCGTCGATGTACGTCTCCAGCAGCTGGGCAACAACTCCGGCCAATGGATCGGGCGTCGATTCTGCTGTCTTATCCGTTGGCTGGCGCAGCACGCGATCCATCAGCTTCACAAAATCCTATCAATGGGAAAGAGATTTGCTTTCATTATACGCGAATAATTAGGAATACGAGCTCGACTTAATTATTGAACTACTTCAGTGAAAGCTCTACAATACGGCATCCTAGGTCTAGAACTGCAGAATTACAGCCTTAGCACGATCTTCCCAATGGCTTTAGACAGACGGAAGAGAGGGACGGACGACGAAGAGTCAGAAAGATAACCGAACGAACGGGAGTTAGGGTGATGGATGGATGGGTTGGGGGGAATACGGATAGATAGACAGATTGATAGCATAAGTGGAAGATTGACGGATGAAGGACATAGGATAGATGAATGAGAATGACAGCCGAAAGAGAAACGGGCGTGCGGATAAGGAGCAAAATGGGCTGGTAGATGCACTCAGAGAGAGACGGACGGATGGACGGAGCGAGGGATAGTTGAAGTGAAGCAGGCACAGGGGAAGGAGCGAGCTAATGAACGGGAGGCAGAGCTTAATTAGAGAATGGGCAGCCAACGGATTACAGATGTACGGAAAGTTGGTTGATGCTTACCTGGGCGCTCTTGGAGATCATGCAGCGAGGGAACAGAAACGGATCACTGGCCACATTAGCAGATAGATTGTTCGGAGCCACCAGCACCATATCCTGCAGATCACGCTGTATTATCTCGCGAGCTGTGGCCAGGACACGGGCTGAGAGGCGATTCCGATAGTATGTATCGAACTCCTTGGTGAACTCGGTCAGAGCACAGTCCACCTCTGGATTGATGAGATATGAATCCGCCAGGAGATGTTCGAACTGTAAAACATCTGCGCATAGAGTGGAGCTATTGTATTCATCCATTGTTTCCGGGACAGCGGGTATCAGGCACTCCTCGACGAGCAGCTGGAGCATGCGGTCCTTAACCTGATCGCCGATAACAGTGAAGACATGCTGAGTGCCGTTGAGGTTGCTATTGATGCCACTCAGTGTCTGCAGCAGCAGGCGGAAATGATCAAAGACGTCCTTGTAATTGGGCCGCAGCAGAGCCGACGCGGCGTCCTGATCCTTGATGGAATACGAGAGCGTTAGTTGTATGTGACTGTCATCCTTGGCCGCTTCGTTGTATTCAACCGAAACGGGCTTTAGTATCAGCGGCTCTATACAGTGCTCCAGCAGAAAATTGCACAGCTTGGCGGGATTGTAGCGTTCCTGGAACAAGGCACTCACAATGTCCTGCAGCTGCGCCTCGTCCTTGCTAATGAGCAGAGTAACGCATTTCGAATTGGGAAACGTTTTGCAATTCAGTTGCACCAGGTGATCGAACCGCTCCTGCAGGTTCTGCTGCAGCAAATGCGCCTGCACATGGTACTTGACTTTAATGGATTCGTAGCAATCCAATGTCTGGAACAGTCGCTCCACCTCGGGCGCTACATCGGCAGAGTCTGTGGAGTCGCTGTAGATCAGGCTGCGCAGTTTGCCCATCAGGTCGAACACGACTAGGCAGTCTTTATTGGCCTTCGCCTCTTCGACACACTGAAATAGATCGTCCAGCTTCAATATATGCTCGCTGACACGCAGCTCCAGCAATATTTCCCGCAGATCTTTGCTGCTCTTTGCCAGCTCAGCGCTGGCGTCGTTTAAGGCGGCTAGACCCTCCTCACCAACGGTGGCCAGCAGCTCGTTGATTTCGTCGCCTAGTATGGTCGCTTTCTCCAGAAAGATATCGGGCGATGTATGATTGGGCATGAATTCTGTATAATTCTCATCAATATGCTTGCGTACGCGCGTTTGAAATCTTTCGGTGCGAACCAACATTTTCGTAATTGCCGATTTTGTTGTCTCAATGCTCTGGCCCTGGCCTTGGAAGGACTCCTGCAGCACCTGCTTTTGCGCCATCATTTTTAAAAGCGTTATTTACCAACGGCAAGTTGCTGGAAAAATGTTTAAATTCTATGTGATGCTAATACAAACTGCAACGACGACGCTTGTTTACTTTTTTCTTTGCACTTATCGATTGCAATTTGAAAATGAAGTAGTCGAACTATTAGATTTTCGATAGCCGGGCATTAATCATAATAGTATCGATAGTTGTATGTGAACTTTTAAAAAAATTTTAGTACTTACTGCAACAAGGCACATCAGCAAGTTTGTCCTAAATTTTAAATTTTTATTAAACAGTACAAATTGACTAAATGATTATTACTTAATTAAATATGATTTTAATTGAAAGCAAAAAACACAACTTAGTATATACTCTTTATATATTGCCAATAAAATAAATTCTTTATTTATAAAAAGTCGTGATGTATATCGATATCGTAGCTGTTGTAATCGGTATTGTGATCTATGCAAATTAGAATATAATAGCGTTTATACTTGGGTGAAAGCTCATAGAGGTGAACCGGCTCACTCGCTCTTTTTTGTGAAGTGAGCCAACTCACTCATTTGGCTCACTGGCTCACTTGCTGATAGCTCATGAGCCGATAGTGATCGCAAGCAAAATTAACCAAAATGAGCGAGTGAGCCAAAACGAGCTAGTGAGCCAAAATGAGCGGGTGAACCAAAACGAGCTAGTGCGCCAAAATGAGCCATATTGAAGGAGCTAGCTCAGTGGCTCAGTTTAGTGAGCCATTCATTTTGGCTCACTCACTCATGAGCTACCCAAGTCTAAAGTCTAATAGCGTTCAATGACTGCACACAAAGCAAATAAATGTACAAAATGTATATACATATTGCTAATTATTGCAATAACTGGAAGCGGCACAGTTAATGGCATTGAGCCAATATCAGCGATTACAGGCACCGCAATAGTTACCGGCATTTTTGGCGCGAGCAATTTTTTTTATTGCAAGTTTGCCGAGTGCTGTGACGAACGCAGCGTGCCGGGCGATATAGAGAGTAAGTCGATTGATTGGAAATGTAACTTTGTGGATAACAGATGCATTTTCAGAATTAAAGCAGTCATTGTCTCGCACGCTCTATGGCCAACATATAGTGCAGCAATATGTTGTTTCTGCCCTTTCGGGCCATTTACAATCGACGAATCCGTCCCGGAAGCCGTTAGTTATGAGCTTCCATGGAACGCCGGGCACGGGAAAGAGCTTTGTGGCTGATAAGATAGCAGAAGCTCTTTACCTAGAGGGAACCAAGAGCAAATATGTGCACAAATTTTTGGGCCGGGCGGATTTTGCACATCCGGGTCGCCTGAACGAGTACAAGGAGCGCATCAATAATGAGGTACGGCAAAGCATCAAGCAATGCCCGCGCTCACTCTTCATATTCGATGAGGTGGACAAGATGCCGATTGGCGTTTTCGACACGCTCACATCCTTCATTGACTATGCAGCCAATAAGGGCGATGCCGATTATACGAAAGCCATATTTATATTCCTATCAAATACGGCGGGCATCGAAATCTCCGACCACTTGGTCCGGCTTATGAAGAGTGGCAAACGCCGCGAGGATACGAAACTCTCCGATTTCGAGAAGATGCTAGAGCTGTCTGCGTACAACATGGAGGGCGGCTTGAAGAAGACGAACATGATCGAGGCGCATGTCATCGATCACTATGTTCCCTTCTTGGCCCTCGAGAAGGCCCACATCATCCAGTGCGTGGAGGCCGAGTTTCAACGCCACAGATATAAACCCACACTGAAAGATATTCAACTAGTTGTCAATAATGCCGTTACCTACGATCCCAAGCATAGCATGTTCGTCACATCCGGTTGCAAGACGATCGAGAAGAAGGTCGCCATTGTTGTCTATGACAACAGGACTTGAAAGTACTTTTATTTTATTTTATATATATATATATATATATTAAAAGGGATGGAATCCTGTAAAACTCACCAACTCGAGAGTTTTAACGATTACGATTATCTTGGATAACTTCTCCTTAGGGTGGGTATTTTGAATACGACCAGAGATCCCGTGCATCAAATTCGTTATAGCGCTTGGAAACATCTCACTTCATGGGTATCTATTTTGTAGGTTTGTAGGTTTGGTAGCCTGAGCACTGCTCGAAAGCGTACGATATATAAAGCTAGGAATATTTTACTTGAATACCTGCAACGTACACTTGGTTTCCTGAGCACTCCCAGCACGAGCTAGGGGCAGTGAAATAGACAGGCATGTGAAACGCTAGCATTGAAAGACTGTTCTGAGCTCTACTTACTTCCCGCGCGTTTAATAACTTTCATCTTTTACATATTATTACATTTAAATGAACCTATTGTTACCAGGGATTTAGCCACTTGAGTCGCGCATCCTTTCGCAGCAGGTCCGTGTCCAATCGTTTGGGCTGTTGGTCGAATTCCGCGCGTGCCTCGCTGCGCTGTTCCACTGCTCCGATTTGCTTGGTCACCAGACACTCGCCGTTCTCTTTGAGTATCGTGTGCTTGATGTCCTGTTTAGTTGGTTCGCCGTAGGGGAATGTCACTGGGGAGACTTTGATCAAGTGCTTTATCTTCCATAGCCGGGCATTATTTTCGGGAATATTTTTAACCACGGTGAAATCGCTTTGCTTGCCGTCCAAGCCCAAGTCTTTGAGTAGGCGCTTCTCCCAGTAGGGATTACCCTTGACGGGCTTGATGCGCTGCACGCGAAATAGCTTGGCCGGTTCGATTGGTGGATCTTGATGGTCGGGCGTTCTATACAAAGTTTAGCATTTCATTTTAAGAATACTTTTTATCGGGCCGGGTTTCGCAGCTCACCTGGGATAGTAAATAATATTCTCGTATTTTTTGCCATCTTTGTACAGGAACTTTTTGTTGTGCTTGCCATAGCTGCGCTCAAGCCTCAGGCTGAGCTGCACCGGCTGTAATAGGCGCAATGTGTTCATTTTATTTAACAAATTTGTTAATTATCAAATAAATTAAAGAAAACAGCAGCTGCTTGGTTATGAAAGCCTGCCAGGGCTGCCGCGCAATATCGCCATTCACACATACACGCAATTTCATTTGAAGCTATCGATAGTTAGATGCCAAACAGTGCTGTAAGAATTCAGGCGATAGTTAAGTATATCACTAGACGTTTCGATAATAAAGCTATTCAGGCACCGATTGATATATTGACTATCTGTAACGGTTATTCTTTCCTTCAAAATTGCACAGTTGAGCATTTTGTTGAGCTATTCTTTCTTGTGTTAGGTAAACAATATTATAGGAAAAGTTCAGCTTCAGCTTTCTGCTCTTCTCGCTAGCCTTCAAATGAAGTGTAAATGAATATGAAATGTTAATGAAATTATATATTTTACATAACTATAAAAAATATAAAATGATTTTTGTATGACAACTTTTTGTGACATTTTCCTTATATATATACATACATATCTCTTATATTGTTTCGGGCTGCATTTTAATGGGGAGTTACAGTTATATGATTAGCATAATCGTCGCCATTTTGTTACGCTGATTGGCTAGTGGCTTTGTATGCAGCGCTTGCCATTGGCTGCCGCCCGGCCATACAAACGGGGGTTGCTTGGCTCAAACGGCTGCTGACTATAAAGGATGCTGCAGCATCCGCACAGCGACTCAGTTCGTATCGAAAGCTTTGCGGGCGCAGGACATCGGCATAAAAACTGAAACACAAATCTCGAATTCAGTTCGTGTGTCTGATTGCGAATCTTGTAAGTAAAAGTTGATCCACTTCGAATTAGTGTCCAAGCTGGTTTTTGTTCTAGTTAAATATTATTTTTAAGTGCGTGTTTTGATCTCTGGAGTACAATTGCCGCCCTAAACGAGTTCTTAGGATTCGCAAAGCGCATTAAACAGCAAAATCAAAAAGGGGTTCGAAGCTCGAACTCCGAACACCGCCTCAACTCCCGCGGGCCACAATAAATGCAAACGTGACAATTGTTCCGTCGTTATTTGTGTAGGTGTGAAAATATGTCGCAAATAAAAACCCGAAGAGCAGCAGCAACAATGTCGATAATAAGTAAACATAATAATATTCACAATAAATATAATATAATAGCAAACGCAAACAAAACACGTGACCAGAAAGGGTTCCCTAAAGGGGTTGACTGATGCACACACACCCTTCGGACGCCCACAGCATAATTCTATAAATAATGCAACTGTTATTTGCTACGTGGGCGTGTCTGTGGGCGGAGAGCCAATGCAAACATTCTTAATCAAGCAGTGCTTGAGATAGCGCCAACAAATACATATACATATATGTATGTGTACGTGTATAGGTATATATGTGCATATATCTGTACACCTGATTCGATTTAAGCAGCGTTTCATCTAACTATATATAAGACATATTCCTGTGCATCATCATCAGACTCATCGAGATTCAGATGTTTGTATTTATCGCTTTATTTATCGATTAGTAGTTCTGGATTTTGAGACCAAAGCTCTTCTTCTGGAATACAAATACCGTCTATTGCTATCGATTATCATTTGCTTAACATCGATAAAAATCGATTTTGAGATTGACGTCTCCAAGCGCAAATCAAGAACTATTGGAGCTAGAAAATTCAGATAGGCATTAGGCTCTACTGGGGCTTATATCAATTGGAAATAACCTACTTTTAGTACAGCTCTTTTGAGTTAACTCGAGAAGTTGTAGACCTAGAGATATCACACTTGGTATGTGGGCGCTTGATGTAAAGAATAATTCCTTTTTCGAAAAATTACATATTTCAATCGGCTAGGAGCACACCTTCTCAAGAGAAGTCTTTTCAAAGCCCTTCAGACTTGGTTTTCCTGAGTTAACTCGAAAACTAAAAACGCCAAAGACATCATAGCTGGTATTTGGACTCTCGAAAGACATATGCATTATAGGATTATAGTTACCCTCGAGACGCTTAACTACTATTGGAGCTTGGTGCTTATATCGAGAGCCAATAGCTCTCTAGGGAATAGTTCACTCTTTATATGCCTTCCTCTCTATACCATCGAAATTTGAACTTGAACTTGACAGCATGTGATCTTTCTCTTAACCCCAAACAGTGGTCAGCCGAGGTGCAGCAGCATCGGGATTGGGATTAGGAGCATCGTCTAAATATGGTTTACGATATGGCACACTTGGCACCCGGGCCGCCGCAGAGCATCTCACTGAGTCGCTACTATATGGATCAGGACGACGACTTGGCGTCGGGCAACAGCAGTGCGAACATATCGAACGGCCATGGGCTGGGGCATGTCGCTAGCGAGGACTACGCGGCGAGCACGACGCTGGACATCGACCAGCGGTATCAGGCGCGGATTGCGTGCGAGACGGCGGCACAGCCGGCGCTGCCCGGGCCGCCGCCAACGCCGGCGCCGCGGCGTCGCACCACGCCCATCACCCACCTGGATCCCTCCGAGCTGGTGGGCCTGTCCAGGGAGGAGCGTCGTCGGCGACGCCGCGCCACGCTCAAGTATCGAACGGCGCATGCGACGCGCGAAAGGATACGGGTGGAGGCCTTCAACGTGTCCTTCGCGGAGCTGCGCAAGCTGCTGCCCACGCTGCCGCCGGACAAGAAGCTGTCCAAGATCGAGATCCTCAAGCTGGCCATCTGCTACATAGCGTATCTGAATCATGTGCTCGAGACGCCCTGAGATACCGCCAACGCCTCCAGCTGCAGCCAGTTGCCAGGCGCCATGTTTCTCAACAACAGCTCCACCTACTCCCCCAGCTCCGCCTCCGCCTCCTCCTCCTCCTCTTCTCCCACCTCCTACCCATACAACTAACTAACCAGAGTTCCGACATGCATATACCTACCACTATCTATCTATATATATAAATATGTATATCTATTCTAGTCCATCGACTCAACTCGATCTTAGGCAAAGTGTAAATTCGTGTTTTTTTTTCATAGATTATAGCTATATGTGTAATACGTGATATTTGCTTATATATCCAAGTCCAGCAATAAATTTATCTATATGTATCTATGTATATATTGTACAGCATTCATACGAGTTTACTTTTGGGGGCTACTCACGAAACGGATTGGAAACTATATATTGCTCCTCTGCACCCGTCTCCCAGTTCTTTGCTTACTCTCTCCTCTGCTTTCCTATTCCTATCGCTTCATTTCAGCATGATCTTCATCTAACTCTTTCATTCTTTCCTTCTGTTTTTATTTATCTCTCCCTCTCTGTCTCTCTCTCCCTCTGTCTCTGTCTCTCTTACCCTGGCTCTCTTACTCTCTCTCCTATACATACATTTGTATGGACATCTTCTCCCTTCCTCTATCTATTTACCTTCTTGTGTTTATATAACGCATTACAGGGTATCTCTGATCCAATCATTCGCTTCCTTGCTTTAACTACTATTTAAAGCATATCTAATCAATGGGAATAGTTCTTATGTAATCCGAGATATGGATGTCCTCTTATTACAGGGTATCATACAGTAAATCACTTGTAATATCTCATTGTAAGTCGAAATTCATCATTCACAGGGTATCCCAGGGTCAGTCAGTCACTCCGTTTGGGAAAGTTGCGTGGCTCAGCTGGCGTTGTCAAGTTTTTCATTTGTTTTGCTGTCTGCGCGCAATACGCCAGATGCGCCAAGCCCCAATCCAGAACCAAACTCCCCAGCATCTCCATCTCTTTTTCTCGCGCATACACACTCTTCATCTCTCGCTCTCACGCTGCCCCACTTCGCGTGCCTGTGGCTGCTGTGCGCAGTGCAGGCCACGCCCCCGAAAATCTATAAAATCTCCCCCAAATATATATTGTCAATCGCAGTGTGCGTTGCCCGAGTGTGCGTGTGTGTGTGTGTGTGTGTGTGTTTACATATACGAGTATTTGTCTGGTTTTGTTTGTGTATGTTGGGCTCAACACATTATTTGAAGTAACAGAAAAAACATATATTCATTCCAGTTTAACATCAGCTCGAACTAGAGCCATTGAAGATTCGTTATTTTTGTTTCCCGCTTTTCGTTCGCATTCGAAATTCGAAATTCATAAGCCGTACAAAGAGGAGAGCAGGGAGGAGATCGAAAATGGCGTTCAATTTCAGTGCGATGCAGGTGAGCCAGCCGAGCCTAACCTCAATTTAGTTGCGCCGGCGTTGCCACCTATCAAATTCGTCTGGCGTGGCAGCGACCCAATTGCAGACGTCATCTAACTGTTTCTGCATTTCCGTGACCGTAACTGAAATTCGCTTGGTACGAGTCACAGAAGGAAGCGACAAAGCTACTGCTAGCTCGACTAGCATATACCCTGTAAAGCCGCTGTCCCTCATCTCGATAGCTATTCATGAAGTTGGCAATAGGGTAGTTGAAGTGCACGACTATTGTATACCCTGTACGGCAATTGTTGCCAGTCAAAGGAAGACAGTCTGCCTCTTGTTTACAGCAAATCTTTGCTTTCATTCCTTTGCTAAGAGTGTGAAGTAACTTGTATATACCCTGTAAAACAGTTGTTGCTTACCTGTTTCTTGAATATCTAGTTTCCTTTGGTATTAGGCTTAATGTTACCCCAAGAGGGCTCAGCAATGACGACTAGTCTATACCCTGTGAGCCATCTGACTACAGCTGTAGCCCTCCATTCTCGCATACGTTTGAATTGATCTATCAAATTCTCAAGAAATGTTCTATCAAACGTTCGCTAGTAGTTTCATGTGCTAGCATTAAGTTTACTCCAGTCCTGCATACAGTTATGTATGTATGTACATGTAGCTGGCTTTATGGCTTGTCTGTTTCACAAGGCCAACAATAACAACATAGACATAGACATGGCAACCGGGTGAGCGTGTCCTCAATCTGGGCTATGTTTAGCCCGCACAGAAATCAAAATACCAATAGAGTACCCCCACCCCAGTACCAGGCTCTATAAATAGTGAGCATAGGCATAAAGGGCGACAATAGTTAATAAATTCCAGTATCAGCTTCATGTGAATAAAACTATTTCGAAAGTAATCAAAAAAATCAAAATAACATTTTAGATATGGCAAAGAGTTGCGAAATAGCTTTTAATTTAGTATTGCTTGAATATAGAGAGCTTTCAATTCCAAATACTTTAAATAGTTGAAAATCAATTAAATTCTACCTGAGCTGCAGCTCGATTAGTAAAACGCTTTCGACGCCTTTGTCGGCTGGCAGCTGAGCTGAGCTGTAGCATACATACAGGCATATGCATGTGTATGTGCATGTGTTGGCAAGTGTGTGTGTGTGTGTGTGATGCGTACGCAACTTTTGCATATTTTCCCATATTCTCCTTCTGTTCCCTCTCCCTCTTCCAGGCAGCCGACAGCTATGCCAAAATAGCGACAGTTTTATTTACTTGGTTACCATTGCCGATTGCCATGCAACTTGTTTACAGTTATTTTTTCCAATTCTCTTGCAATACTTTTGTTTTTGTGCTGTGCACAAAGAAGACGCGCTCAAAATAGTCTAACGGAATTTGTGTGACTCGCAAGGCTCAGGCGACGGTCAAGCCGAAGTGACAAGTATTTTTGCTAGTGTGTGTGTGTGTGTGTGTGTGCATACGTGTGCGTGTGTGTGTGTCCACATTTCTTTTTTTTTTGCATCTGCAGCGCCCTCTTATGGGGAATCGTATTTAATGGCATTTCAATTGCAATTACATGTGGACAGCTGTTTTGGACGAGCAGCCGAGGCTGAAATTGATTGGGAAATTGCGGAAAAGTGGAAATGGCTGTGAAAACTGTGCGCTGAGAAGCTGCTGTTGTTGCTGCTGCCATTGCTGCAGTGCGTGAAATTAGCTTAAGTGTTGCCCACTACAGACACTCTCCGTCTCCCCCCTGCCGTTACATCAGGCACGCCTCGTACGTGTGCGCGTGTGTGTGCGTGTGTGTGTGGGTGGGTGGGTGGTTGGTTGGTTGGTGTTGGAACCACACAAACACCAGACGCTGCACGTGCAGCTCGCTAGCTTTTTGACTGTCTAATCCGGCATGTGATAAATTGCACCCCAGAGGGCTGCACATGAAAATCATCGCTAAGGGTTTCCGGCTGCCTCGTGAAAAGGGGTGGGCCTCAATTGTCCCGTTATCTGTCTGAATGAGCTAAGCTCTTGAGGTCTTTTGTCGCGCCTCTCGTCCTATTGTTGCTAATTGAGTTTAAAATCAATTTGTATTTTACGCTTCGTCCTGCGTCCTGTTATCGATAGCCCCATACCAGACCAGCCCTGCCCACTCCACCCACCTCTAGCGACGCCAGTGTTGTGTAATTGCCGTGCAAATTTAATTACAGTAGCAACGCCTCGCAACAAGATGAGAGACCTTTGTGCAGCTCCTTTGTTTGTGGATCTCCCTCTGGTTCGCACGCACTCAATCAAGGCCTGCCCCCGCCCCCCCGCCCCCCGCCCCTGTCGCATTCCGTCATCAAGTGTTGACAGCGTGCCACGTGCTGCGGCTGCGGCTGCAGCTGCTGGGCGTGGCCTTGTGTATTGTGTTACCATTCGCAATTTGCATTTGCCACCTCGGCTTGATTGAAATGAAGCTGGCGTGGGAAGCAGGACGAACTGGATGGCTGCTCCCACAGCTGCTCCACTTGCTCCATGCTCAGCAACAGCTGCTCACTGAAAGATGAAAAGAGCGAGACCGAAATAGAGAGCGAGAGCGGGAGCGAGAGCGAGATATCTGAGCTGAGCTGATAAATGATTGCGCCAGCAACTGTGATCCATGGCTCACGGCAGAGCTGTAGGTCTTAGCTCTGACTCCGACAGCAATTGCCAGTTCCGGTTCTATATTTGCTGTCTCTTGATACCCTAGCAACTGGCTGGCACATGGGGTATGTGCAATTCAAGTGCATGAGCGGACTATGAGTTCAAAGGAAGATGGAGTCAATAATATAATATGAATAATTGAACAAAGTAACAGCTCTTTTACTCTTCTCTTTCTCCCTCTCTCTCTCTCTCCCTTTCCCTCTCCCTCTCTCTCTCTCTCTCTCTGTCTCGCATTCTTGAGTAGATTACGCTTGCATCCTATTGAGGGGTATATCGTAGTCGTGTAATTTTGCCGAGCCCAAGCCATTTTTTATCGCTTCTGTTTGCCGTCTGTTTAAAAAGGCAAACACAAACAGAGAGCGTGAGCGAGAGCGAGAAGGGGCGAGTGGGAGAGGGCAACTGAAACTGAAACAGAAGCACAAACAACGCATTAAGTGGCATTAGGCGAAATGCCTTTTTTACACATGTTGCAACACGGAGATTACGATTACGCCGTGTAATCGTTGCACGGGGGTTGGGACACGCCCACTGGGGCGGGCATGGGCATGGCCAGGGGAGGGAGGGCGCGACTCAGTTCAGTCCGGTCCGGTCTTTGGCTTTTTATCAATTGGTTTGCTTAGCGGCCATAAATAACAGCTTTAGGACTTGGCAATTGAAACAGGTGGCTGACAGGTTCAACTGGCTTAGAGCCAACTGCAACGCCGCTCCCCTCTCTCTGTCTCTATCGCTCGCTGTCTCTTCTTACCTTCGAAACGAAGAGGGGAGGGTGTGACGCACAGACGGACATCATGCCAGTTCTATTGAAGGAACTTGACATCTGTCCGTCCGTATATATTGTACCTTATCATATTTTGGTGTCTTGGCCTCTTGCAAAAGCATTTTATATCCTTGTAGGTCTAGAGTTCGTGAACTGTGCAATTTCTTATAGAGCTCGACTCAAGAATGTAAATTGATTGGTTCATTCTCTCTCTCTCTCCGTCTCCTTCTGCATTTCTCTTTTCCCTATTTCTTTTCATCTCTCTGGCTCTCTCACTTCCTATTTTTATCTCCCCCCCCTCTGACTTATACGATTCAATGAAACCTTTTTCCTATTATTACTTTACCTTTATCTTCTGCTCTATTTACCCTGCCCCTACCCCTGCCGCTCGAGCAGTACGAGCGCGGCTTTCAAGCAAAGAGCGTCTGCAATTGGGAGTATCCACGTTTCTCGCCGCCTCTGCCACGCAATCTGAGGGGCAACTCGACGCCCATAGCAGGGAACGACGGGCATCTGCTGCCCACAGCGCCCCGGTAAGATCGAACCCGAAATTGTCCATTTATCGAATATGGAAGCATGCTCAAGCTCTCATCCTTGCAGGGACGGCAATTTCCTGGGCAACTACCGCGGCACGTATCATTTGCCTCTGCGCATTACGCGCAGCTTTGCGACGCTCTACAACAACTGCCTGAGCAACAGGTACAAGTATTGGAAGTACCCCAGAGATCTGTGCAACTGCCAGCGAGCGCTGAAGCGCCAGTGCGGCTACCGGGAAACGCTGGGCCTCAAGGACGATCCGCTCTGGCAGCGGCCCACGTGCCAGACCAAGTGCCAAGGCTTGAAGCAAATACTTGAAATCAACAAGCAGCACATGAAGTGCCGACGCGCCAAGTGCGTGCCAAAGGTGAGTCTCGCTTAACTCAATCACCATCAATCAGCTCACAGCTGCAACGCACACCTACACACGCACCCGCACACCCTCATCCACGCCCATAGTCCAATGAAAAGTTGATTCCGCGCGTTGGCGATGCCTCGTCCAGGAATCGAAAGAAGCTAAAGAAGCGTCCAGTCACCGCCTTCGAATACAATCGAAACAATCACCGGGCCGAAGACGCAAAGGCAAATAAAGCTTCTAAAGAAACTGTCAAGGATCATTCTAAGGAGCCCGGCAAGGACATTAGCAAAGAGGCATCCAAGGACGCCAAGGTCGCTGTCTCAGCTCCAAATCAAAACAAGACAACAGCCAAGTCCACCACCAAGGCGCCAAAATCAAAGAAGCATTCCAAGTAATCCTCCTCTCTTTCCAATCGATGAACTGGTTGACATACAAATTCGAACGTGAAATCTTTTAATAAATTTTTTAAATTTGCATCTTCAATTCAATGCTCGTAGTCAATCGGTCAATCAATCAGATTACAAGCTTGTCAATAAATCAGACAGGCTAATCAATCAATCAATCAATTAATTAGTCTTGCACTTAGTTCCGCCGCTTATTCAATCAGACAGGTATAGATAAGCACTTAGCACATTGAAAATATCAATCATACATCATCGATGATTGATAGCCAATAAGCATAAAGTATCATCAATCATTAATAGTTATACTTTACAACAATAAACTAAGGTTATCAATCAGATATCAATCGATCGTCAATCGCCTATTCAGTCTCATTTACCCATTCCTAATACGATTGATAAAGTACAAACATTGACAGATATTCAATCATCATCAATCATCATAATCAACCTTCAATCAAATCATTCATCAATCATCTTCAATCTTATTTCATTTATCATGATTCATCCACATCCACATCGGTAATCCAATAATCCCTCATCAATCACTCATCATCACATTAGTTGATTGATATCGATTGAGAGTACAAATCCGACGTGAATCTCTTGTTCAATCATGTCGCAAGCAGCCGTTGCCAGCAGCAGTGTGAACTACAAGCTGCCGGATCTGAGCTATACGCCCGGAGATCTCACCGAGCCGGAATATCGTCTGCCCTCGCACCAGCAGCTGCTGGACGCGAAACTCAAGCCACAAAATGCGCCCGAACGGGAGCTACCCCTAAGCCGTCTCTATTTGGACGAGGAGGCGGACCGATTTGACCGAGCCGGAGCGAAGGAGGTGAGCAGACAATTTCCAGCTCTAGCCGCCGCCCAGGCCAAATACACTGGTCAACTGAACCAGAACTCGAGTCTAGGTCCGTCCGAGTTGGACTTCTCGCCCGGCAGGGATCTGATCTCAAGTAGACCAGTGCCCGCTCCCACTCCCGCTCCAGCTGAGACAGACTTGAGCCGTAAGATGCCATTGCACTCGATTACGGAGAAGCCGAATGAACGTTGTCCGTCGCCCGTAGTGCCAGCGTATGCGAACTTCGAGCTGGCCAAGCGAATGCATCAGGATAACCTCGACCATCAGCCGTTGCCCGATTGCGTCGCTGACTTGGCCTTTCGCAAGGCCCAAATAACAGGAGGTCACGGCGGCCTAGCCCTCGACATCGATCCGATTGCCACGGGCGTTGGTGTGAAGACCCACAACGCCGGCCCGACGCACTGCACCAAGATGAAAGTCTATCGACCAAAGACGGGAGGCGTTCTACCCAAAGCCTTGAACGGAGATCCGTTCCGTGGAATCGGTTCGGCGCCACCGAAAAAGATGGGCGCCATGGACCTGGCCATTGGGTGGGACTTCAAGCCTGCCAATCCGGCGGACGAGCCTCGTCTGGCAAGGCACATAGATGGCTCCAACGATTCCGCTGGACCGGCCGTGTTCACGTGCGTCAAAACGCCTAGAGAAGAGCAGCCCAACATAGAGCTGGGTCGCTCTGCGGGCGTATTTACAAGCACCATGGGTGAACCGGACTTTTTCGACAAGGACATACTACGGCGGAAAACGGACTTTGCCGGCCGATCAATGGCTCGGGAGGAGAACTGCGGCTGCGACTACGCACCGCCTGCGCGTGCACGCAGTGTCTCGCGGGAGTCCAGCGCTTCGCATTGTCGTCGAGCTCCAAATTTACTCGACTCCAGCGGGCACTCCGGCGGCGTTAGCTTTGGACTGCCAACGAATCGCCTAGCCAAGCAGTATCAGTCCTCGCCCATGCTGGGCGATAAAGCCTATCAAGCGCTGCGAGAGAAGTATCTCGGACCGGACACCAGCGATTGCCACACGGGCTGTCCGCAAATCCCGGGTCCGGCTTGCAGGCGAGATCAGCCAGCTCGGCGGCCGACGCGTCGCCTGTGCCACAAAGTGGCACCGGCTCCCCGATGCTGTCCCTCGGCTCACGGCCATTGCCTGTCGAGCAAGGCGGCCTTTCGTGCCGGCATGCCCAAGCTGAATGCCTCCGGCGATTTCGTGGGCATCCCGCCGAGCTGCGGAGCTGCCTCGGGTGGGGCTGCACGTGTTTTGGTCGTGCCACGCCCCCGACAGCCGTATGCGAAAAAGAACTACGACATCGACACGCTAGTGCCGCCGTTTCGCAGTCAAGGCGGCGGCGCCGGACAAGGCGGCTATCCGGAGCACTGGAGGCTGGCCAGCGTCTATCAGCACGCCTACAAGCCGCCCGAGCAGCGCAGGAGACCCCTGCTGCAGACTGTCTACAAGTAGAGCTGCAGCTTGCTAAGAGATCCGTCGGTTCTTCAGTAGAGATCTCTTCTGGGGCCATGAAGGAAGGACAAGGAGATGGCTCTGTCCAAATAGGATCCCTTCTACACCAGCTCTAGAGGAATTCCTTAAGGATATTCGAATTTCTTTAAATTAGGTTAGGATATGCCTATCTCTTCTTTTTAGATTAAAATCCATGCCTTAAAAGCGAGATATCCCTTGAAAGGAAGAATATGAAAATAGGTTAACTCTCTACTCATTGTTTCAGATGGAAAAGGGATCTCTTAAAAGATAAATATTGCTTAAGATATATTGGGAATATTAGGGAATACCGCCTTACATTAGGAGAAGCTACTATTCAACAATTCATGTTATTTCATCTGAGATTCAAAAGAGGCCTATTGAAAGTACTTCCTGTTCCAATTCAAAGATAGATATCCTTAGCTCTTTGAACTAGAAACTCAGGAGCTTTACCTGAGCTTGGTGTTACCAGACTTTACACTAAAAGGCCATTACGATCATGGGCTTTTGCATATGAGGACCAATAACCGAATCGATGAGTTTTAAAAGTCTAGCAAAGTTAGGAACAGACATTAAATTAGACCATAGTTTCGTCATATGGAATCGTAATCGCCTTAAACTATAAAAATGAACAAATCGAATTCCTGGAATACAAATAAATCAACGTTTTTTTTTTCACAATATTGGCTCCAACTAGAAAGTCAATATTAGATAGAAATACATAACCTCACAAATATTAAATAAATATCATATTTTATTGAAGTGCAATATATAAATATTTAAAAACAAATCTTAAATTTAATATTAGAAAAAAACGTGCATTTAAATTGAGAGTAGAATTAACATCTATATCTATCTATAAAGAGGGGTTTACCCAATAAAAACTGGAACAAGATTTGTAAAAATTTGTCAATAATAAATTGCTTAAATAAATTGCATGAAATACGTTTATATCAAGAGAGGCAAGCTCAGATATATAAAAGAAATATATATCATTAAAAAAAATACCATATAATAAATGTATATTATACGGAACACTTGATATAAATTATAAGAATTTCTGGTTATAGCTGATCAATAAACACACGCTGCTTGAACATTCAAAACATCGAGAATTGTTTTTAAAAATACTTAGGAGCTCCATCAATCAATCATTTATAACCTCACTTTATGTGGATCTCAGAAAAGCGCATTTAGTGTTTTATCTGTGTGTAAGTACAGCTAGATGCTTGCCAGTTCTTTGTAACTGTGCTTCAGAGCTATTTCTTGTTTTACAGCGGGACAGCGTTGCCAGATAGTGAAAGAAGTGAAGAAGAATATATCTACGAATATCAGAGGCATCTAGCTCAATATATATGTATATATAAACTCTGATGTCAGCATTTTTTACATATACCAAACACTTCAAACATCGTTGCCAGATCGCTTCAAGTAAAAACTTAATACTAAAATAGATTTAAAAAAAAAAAAAAACATTTGTGGACAATCTTTGGATGCTAAAGAACTTGTAGAACTTGTTACGTATGTAAGCGAGTGGAACCTATCCATCTGTCTCTCTCCCTCTCTTACTAGTCATACTTGTGTGGCCTGTCTCTCTCTCTCTCTCTCTCTCTCTCCATCTCTTCTTTGGCAATTGTGCCTTATGGGGAGCTCCCCAGAATTTGTGGAATCTATCTCTCTCTCACTATCGCTCCCTCCCCACTCGCTCTCTCTCGCCAACCGCTGCTCACTTGGCCGTCGCGTAGGCATCGTGACTCTTGTGGAACACATGTCGCAGCACATCCCGTGTAGAGCGCCTGATGCTGTTGCGCAGGGTGTGCTTCTTCTCATTCGTTAGCTGATCGATGGTCATGTACTCGATTTGGGGAATTGTGGAACGTAGCTTCATGGTTCGCTCGCTGCTGTCCACAATGGAAACGTCCAGTGGGCCGCAATTTGGCGCCTGCGGCTGCGGCTTCTGTGGCCGCCGGCGCAGACTGTGGCGTATGCTAGTTAAGATGTTATGATGAGGTTTCTCCGATGAGTCCGATTCCTGCTCCGATTGTTGCTTGTGCTCCGCCTGCGGCTTGGGCATAAGCTTTCTAATGGATTTCCTTATCATATTGCGCACGCCGTGCGCACCATGCAGCTCCTCGGACTTGGCAGATTTGCTGGATGCAATGGAGTGCAAGGACTCCTTGCTGCCTGCCACATTTACAGCTGCAACTGCAGGCGTAGCGGCTGGACGATAGGAGCGTACGAAGCGTGTGGGAGCCTTGAAGTTAAGCTCAGCCTGCTCCTCTTCCTCTGGCTCCGATTCGGAGGCATAGGCCACATCATCGCCCTCGAGTTGTGTCTGCTTTTCCGACTCCTGTTCTAGCAGCTCTGCCTGCTGTTTCGGCTTCCTGATGGATTTGCGTATATTGCTTTGAATGTCCAGCTCTAAGGATTTGGTGGATCTGGCAGATGTTATGGAGTGCAGCGACTCCTTGCTGCCAGCTATGGCTGCAGCTGCTCCACCGGGTCGATAAGAGCGTACGAAGCGTGGAGGAGGCTTAAAATCGGCGACAGCAGCTGCCTCCGGCTCCTGCTCTTCCTCCGAATCCTCAGAAGCATACGCCACATCTTCACCTGCCAGCTGAGGCAGCTCCAGCTGCTTCTCCTTCGACTGCTGCTCCGTCTCACGCTCCTCCTCATTCGCCTCCAGTATCTCTGTTAAGGTCTGCCTGCGTGTGGTGCACACGTAGCGTCGCTCCTCGCTGCCCTGTTCGACACTGGAAACCAGTTCCAGCTCTGTCTGCTCCGTCTCCAGCAGCAATCCATTCTTGCGCAACTTCGCCTCATTGATGCTATTCTCCAGCTCCAGCTGGTAGCGGTCCAATTCCTTGCCAATGTCCATGCTGCTGCTCTCCTCGCTGATGGCGCCCAGCGAACGTTTGGCTGGCGCCTCCAATTGCTTGGGAACTGGCGAGAACACCAGTTTCTCGGCGAGCAGCTTGCTGGGCGTGAGCTGAGCCAGCGATAGGCCATGGAAATCGATGCGACAATTGAGTCGCGGTGTAAATGGCAAACCTATCTTCAAGTTGGTGGGCAATGGCTCCTCGACCAAGGCCGGATTCTCTACACCCGTTGGATTCCCAGCTGCGTTGGAGATGTCGCTGCGACGATGAATCTCAAAGGGATTCAGCGAGGCGGGTGCATCGTTGCCTCGTAAATTCAAGGCCTCGTTTACGAACCCTTTGGTGGGCGTGGCAGTTGCACGAACGACCTTAAATAGAGTTCAGGTTAATATGGAAAATAAGAGAGTATGAAAGCTCTGTCACTTGCCTCATATGGATTAAACTGACGCTCCGGCAACTCAAGATTCAAAGCCGGATTCTCAAAGCAAGCGTGCGCACGCTTCGTCTTCTTTGAGGGCTGACGCACTACCTCAAAGGGATTCAGTGAGAGCTGTCCCTGCTGCTCTTTTTGCTGTTGCTGCACTGCAGCCAAATCCGCAATAGATTTAATTTCTAGTCCCGGATGCGCAGCAAAGGGATTTGGTTGTTCGTTCTCTTTGACCAAACGACGACGGCCTATCAATTTCTTCGGCGTCGAGCTGAAGGCGGCGTTGGTGAAGCATGACGACGCATTTCCTGTAACACCAGGTGCAGCAGCTGCAGCTGCAGCGGCGCCTTCGGATTTAAGGGTGGCGGCTGCGCAATTGGTTTCACGTTTGCGTTTGCGTGGCGTCTCATTGAAGGCCAAGGCAGCGATGCTCTTGGTTTCCAGCATTTTAAACAGAATTTTTTTTATAGCCAACCGAAACGTTTAAAACTGTTTCACGAAGTTCTACAAGGAGCAAAATAACAAATGTACACAAAGCCAATTGTACGCCTCAAACAATGCGCGCCATTTTGAATTCATAAAATAGAAACAGTGCTGCACAATTATGGACAATAAATGTGTAGCCCTGGACTATCGCTTAAAGAATACGTACTTGTGATGTGAATGGCACATCTTAAAGAAGAAGTGCGCATCGTTTGCCGCCATAATGTAATTTGAATATATCGGCTGATATTTAATTTTTCCTAAGAATAAAAATTATAGTAAAGTTAAAGGCTCATCCACGCGAGCCAGTCGTATGATAATTAATAAAAAAACATTAATTTTAACATATATGCTAAAAGATATCGATATTTCGAATATCGATGTATTGTTATATATTCGAAAGGCGTACAAAAATCTATATGATACTTTTCCTAGTTAATCAAAATTATTATTTATTTAAATAAAATAGTTCGTTCGACAGAATCGCACAAAAAAAATATGTATATTTATTAATCAAACATCGATATACGGTGCTCGATTATTTCAACGTAACACGTGTGCGGTGGTCAAAACGGTAAAAGGCAAAAGTAGCAGCATTTTTCGCAGCTGCTGTTGGTGTGTGAGTGCTCGGTGTGTTCCTGTTCCGTTGTAAAGCAGCAGCCCGTCGTCTAGCAGCAGCCCCCAAAAGCCCGGACCAGCGTTAACAGCCCGACAAATGCGAATTGGCTTGGATTCTTTTGCGTGACACGTTCAGTTTTTATTTTTCTATCAACAAATTTAAAGGTGAGATGTGCTATATAACGCCAACCGTGAAAAACTCAATAATGGCACATCACACATATATAAATGTGCACATGTGTCAGTATATGGATATATACACACGCATGTACATATATAATTTGTGTATGTGTGAGTACGCGTGTGTGCTGTAATAGTTTAGGAGAAGTGTCTAGCGCGTGTGTGTGTTGCAATTTCATTCCTTTCCCCTACTTTTCACTGCACACCTGCAGACTATCATCAGCTGCAGTGAAATTCCTTTGTGCACATTTTGTAGAGTGAGTGCGCAGCGTCTCCCATTGACCAAAAGTGATTCATTGCGAAAAAAAAATGCGGCAATGTAGGTGAAATGTGGTTCAGCGACAGCTAGAACGAAAATCCAAAAGCATCAGTCATTTGTTAATACGTAGATATAAGAACAAATCGTGATGCGTATTGCGCTTTCAAGTTTTTTCTGTTGAACCGTTTTTCGGCGCTTTGTTGAAACAGTTGCTGCCGAAGGTGCGCATGTGGCGCCATCTGCAGCCCAGACAGCGTACCATCTACATACTTTCCACATCCACAATCGCATGCACAGTAAATTTGCGCTGTATCTTTTCTCACATGTTCTTCTTCAATATTATTGAAACTGGATATGGGACGCGCAATAGGAATGATACAAATATGTTTCCTTATTATATGCGATTATGATTTAAGTAATCTTACTGGGCGGCTTTCTTTCTAATTCGTATACACTTAAGAGGCACGGAGCGTGGCAAAGATGGAATTGCCGCAAGATCTAGATATTCCAAAGACCTCAACTCTATCGAAGATAATAATTGACACTAATGACATGACATTTAGCAACACTACGTGGGAAACTCATTCCAGTTCCAGTGTGGAAGTAATTCGTAATTCAGGTCTAACTGTCATTTCACTTCCACAGTCGTCAAGAAGCATTAAATACTACACAAAGTATAGATATACAAAGTTCGCTCAATTTGAAATATGATTGCATTTGTGTATCTGCTGCTCTTGTTCCTGATCGGCGTATTGAATCATTCGTTGTTCATACTTTTGCTGTTTCAACTGTGTTTTTCTTTTGTTGTCATTCACAGCACTCACATACACACACACGAGCGCAGGCACGCTCAAACAGGAAATATATATACATTCACATATATATTTACAGATATATAAAATACATTTTAGGCATACAGGCAACACACACACACACGCACACAAATTTCGATTCGGCAACTTCAAAGTATTCAAAGTAAACATAACCTTAAAAAATACAGATAAAATTTCAAAAGAATCAAAATGCCGTCGGACGCTAAGAAACGGGATGCGCAACGCAAAAAGGATGCGCGCAACAAGAAAATCCAACAGATACCATCCACAAAGAAGATGAATGGCAATGCCAACGGCCTCGATCGTGAAATGACCGAGGAGGAGAAACTGTGCGCCAAGCTCGAGGAGGAGGCTAGAATCAGTGCCGAGGCTAGATCCTGCACTGGCTCCCTGGCCGTGCACCCAAGATCACGTGACGTGAAGATTGCCAACTTTTCAATTACGTTCTTCGGCTCGGAGCTGCTGCAGGACACAATGTTGGAGCTGAACTGTGGTCGTCGCTATGGCCTAATCGGTCTGAATGGCTGCGGCAAGTCATCGCTGCTCGCCGTCCTCGGCAGGCGCGAGGTGCCCATACCGCCACACATTGATATATTCCATTTGACGCGTGAGATACCGGCCAGCACGAAAAGTGCGCTGCAGTGCGTCATGGAGGTGGATGAGGAGCGCATCAAGCTGGAGAAACTGGCCGAGGAGCTGGCCATGAGCGACGAGGATGATGCCCAAGAGCAGTTGATCGATATCTATGAGCGCCTCGACGATATGTCCGCCGATCAGGCCGAGGCCAAGGCAGCTCGCATTCTCCACGGTCTCGGATTCGATAAGGCCATGCAACAGAAGCAAGCCAAGGATTTCTCTGGTAAGAACTGCTCGTGACAATATACATATACAGTAGAATCCGGCCATAACGACTCCGCTTATAGCGTCCAGACAAACTTTTATTTTATCGCTATAATCGGATTCTACTGTAACTTATAATCCATTTGTTATCTTAGCTCTGCATATTCCTTCTAGATGATTCATGGTTCAATCTTTTACTAGTTCTCCTATTCTAGAGAAACTTTCCATGTGAACTCAGCTTCTGTTTTGGCTATTTTTGTTAAACTTGGTGCATTTATTTGATATAACAATACATAGATTAGTAATAGGATCGCAGCATAGCTGTGATAGTAACTTTAGCATGATCTAATAGGTGACTCCTATTCCTCAATATATATCAAGAGCTGTCATATAGAAAGCAATCTAGATTGTTGTTCATTCAAGTCTATGGCTTAAGTTCTCACCAAGCCATCAATCATTCCGGCCTATCTATCATTAAATTTAACCTAATGTTGCCAAATTTCCCATTGTAACGTTGCCGCCTAGACGAAATGAGGCTAGACAATAGCACTTCCACTTGGTCACTACAACTCCCAAGGGAAGCAAAGATGTCTAATTCTCTCTGTGTTTTTCCCCCTCGTTCAGGTGGTTGGCGTATGCGAATTGCGCTGGCGCGCGCTCTATTTGTCAAGCCGCATCTGCTGCTGCTGGACGAGCCGACAAACCATTTGGATTTGGACGCGTGCGTGTGGCTGGAGGAGGAGCTGAAGACGTATAAGCGCATCCTGGTGCTCATCTCACACTCGCAGGACTTTCTTAATGGCGTCTGTACGAACATCATTCACTTGACGGGCAAACGCTTGAAATACTATACGGGCAACTATGAGGCTTTTGTGCGCACCCGCATGGAGCTGCTGGAGAACCAGATGAAGCAATACAACTGGGAGCAGGATCAGATTGCACACATGAAGAACTACATAGCGCGCTTCGGCCACGGCTCGGCCAAATTGGCGAGGCAAGCACAATCCAAGGAGAAGACACTGGCCAAGATGGTTGCCCAAGGTTTAACCGAGAAGGTGACCGACGACAAGGTGCTCAATTTCTATTTCCCATCATGTGGCAAGGTGCCGCCACCTGTGATTATGGTTCAGGTGAGTCAATTGGCAATATATTTGTGATCTCTGTACTGAATGCTCTCCCCTTCCTTAGAATGTCAGCTTCCGATACAACGATGAAACTCCCTGGATCTATAAGAACCTTGAGTTTGGCATTGATTTGGACACGCGTCTCGCTCTGGTAGGCCCCAACGGAGCTGGCAAGTCGACGCTGCTGAAGCTACTCTACGGCGATCTGGTGCCCACATCTGGCATGATACGTAAAAATTCACATTTACGCATCGCTCGCTATCATCAGCATCTGCACGAGCTGCTCGACCTGGATGCTAGTCCATTGGAGTATATGATGCGCGCCTTTCCCGATGTCAAGGAGAAGGAGGAGATGCGCAAGATAATTGGACGATATGGCTTGACTGGACGGCAGCAGGTGTGCCCCATACGTCAGCTCTCGGATGGGCAACGTTGTCGCGTTGTCTTTGCCTGGCTGGCCTGGCAGGTGCCTCATCTGCTGCTACTCGACGAACCTACAAATCATTTAGATATGGAGACCATCGATGCTCTGGCAGATGCTATCAATGATTTCGATGGTGGCATGGTGCTAGTTAGTCACGATTTCCGTCTGATCAATCAGGTATATATACCAATATGGTGATTACTGCAAGCAGGAGCATGCTAATGCTTCTTTGTCCACTTTCCTCTAGGTTGCTGAAGAGATTTGGGTTTGTGAGAAGGAGACGGTGACCAAGTGGAAGGGTGGCATTTTGGACTACAAGGATCACTTGAAGAACAAGATTACCTCCGAGAACGAGAAGAAGGCCAAGGTGGCAAATAAATAGTTAGCTACACATACACCCACACACGCATACATATATATGTATACATATATATGCAACACACACACTCGTACACTCTGAAATACAGCTTGAAAACTCTTCTGGAAAAACGTTGTTCTCGCTCTCGCAGCAGCTGCGCCTCTCGCTCTTTATCTCCTAATTTGTGTGCGAAATTAGTTTTTGAGTTTACACAGGACACACACACGCACTACACATACACATACAAATTTTTAGGTGAATTTTTTCCGTTTTTTTGTGTCAATTTAAATTTAAATAAAATGTGAGTCAAAAGGAAAGTAAAAACAAACATAGAAACAACAACAAATGCTTGTGATCTTAATCTTAAGCCACACACACACACACACACCCACACTCACTCTGGCATGTTGTGCACAACAAGCTGTGGCTTAAGTGTTTATTTTTTTTTTATTTATATATTATTTTGTATTTTGAAAACGATTTCTTTGCTAGGTTTCAAATTGTTTGAAGCGCTTAAACTAAATAGAAATAAAGAACATATAGTAAACAATATTAAAATATACATACATTAACATACATATATATGTATAGGCACATGTATATACATATATATAATGTGCATGTATTGGATAATTATGAACAAATTGCAAGACCAGTTAAACAATAATAAAATTGCTACTGCCCGCTGCCCTTCCCAAAATCAAAAGTTGAAACTAAAAATAAGTATATATACATATATATATATATATATATATATATATCAAACTTTTTTGATAGTTTATAAAATTGGAAATTGCTAGAGAATTAAAATGCAGTAAATGTTTTTTTTTTTATATATATACGAAAATAAAACGAAGCGTTTTTAAAGGAGTAATTTAAAGTGAAAAATAACTACATAATAACTATAAAAAGAAAAGGTAACTTACTAAATTGTTCAATGAAAATAAATTGATATACAATAAACATATATACAATACAATGCGAAACAGAAAATTTAAGTCAACTAAAATATTTAAATTCAATAAAAACAAAACATGGAACAAACAGATAAAGCAATAAAGTGTGTTTTTTTTCAATAGACAACCAATTTATCTTTATTTGAATTAAAACAGAGAAACGAATTCAACTCTAACCTCAAAATTGGTTTAAAATAAAAGTGATATACGTAGAGAATTTAGCGCATTTCATGCTCATGCAGATGTAGTGGAGCCGGTAAAGTATAAATGTATAAAGCATATATAACAGCAAAGTGACCTCGTCCCTCCATTTGAGCTCAGCGATCTTGAGAACTGGAAAAGCCATACAACTGGAATTTGGTATACGACTTTACTGCTCACTATACTCAACAAAAGGCTTATCTCTTTTTCCAATAACTCATCGCATTGCAGAGTTCAGTGGGGCTTACTGTATGTATGCAGTCCCACCTTTGCCATAGATGGCGCTTGAATGAATGAAATACGAGCTCTATATTAGGTACAACAAAAGTTATAATATACATCCATATGTTCTGTTTTCTTTCGCTTTATTGTACTCGAGAGTTGTATACATAGTTATTTGTTTTTATGCATATTACAATTAATTTATTATATTACTACTATAAGCTAATATCGTTTATACGTTCGCGTTATTCGTGTAGGCACGTTGACAAGTTTTATTGGTAGACTCTCGATATTGCATATGCTACACACTATATATTTATATTAATATACATACATACATATTTTGATACATCTATATTCACATTCATATATATGCATATACACACATATATATTATAAATTTGCACTTGCATTTTTCTGTTCGTTTCGTATGTTACAAATTTGTTTGTGTGTGTGTGAGAGTGTGTGTGTCGTCGTTCGCTCCAGGCGTTGAACGTTGGAGTTGACTGATAGCTAAGTGTATGGGTAATAAAAGATGAAGTGATGTGAGGTGAGATTTGAGGGGAGGCTGCTCAAACACAAACGATCTTTAACAATTCGCAACTGAAAATCTATTGTTTAGTACATCTCGCTGCTCTCGCTGATCCTTAACAAATCGAACTAGTGCGGTTCTGGAACGGCTAAGAGGAACTGGAAAAGTTAAGAATGTAAAATGTGATGTGCAAATAAGATCGAACAGCTGATAATACGGAAGAGATAAATGCACCAGCTGTCGCTGCTTTTGTCCGTGTGCTGGCAGGAAGAGAAAGGATAATGAACGGATGAACGAAGGAATGTAGGAAAAAGGTAGGTAGGTCTAGTAGATCTTTGATAGCTCGGAATAAATAGTCTTAAGGAGCTGGCGCTCCTGTTGACTAATCGAAATGTTGTCGGCGCCAAAGTCACGCAGCAGATGCTTGAGATCACACATGTTTCGCTCGACCCAGGCACAGACGATCTCCGCCAGGCCATACTGTTGCTGTATTGGCACCGAGGCGCCGGCACGCTCAGTCGGCTGATTGGCGGCGTGAATCAGCTGCGATGGAGTCTCATACTGGGCGAGTGTGTAGTAGTATTCAATCAGTTTGATGTGTGCGGGGGATTGGCGTGCTGGCGGCAAGTTGAGATGGACTAGCAATAGAAGACGCAGCACTTCGACGCGTCGCAACAGTTCGCCGTACATCGAGGCCTTGCGCCGCTCATAGATGTTGTCCACAATGTCATCCAAGTGAAGCAAAGCGCCGCGGTAGTCCTCACGCTGCATACTCATCTCGGCGCTAATCTCCAGATCGTTGATCTGATGAGTAGGCGAGGCAAAGCTGCTTGTGCGTTCCAATTTGCGTTTGAGATGCTTCAGCTCGCGCAGCACTCCTGCTTTGAAGACTCCACTGTCGGCCACATGCTCGGCTGCCTTGTTGTAGCAATGGAGCGCGCCCTCGCGGAAACCATTCTGACCGCTTCGCAGGTGCAGCTGCCGGAATTCGTTGTGTGCTAAGAGAAAGGCACGTGCGGCACGTACATATGCCTCAGCCTCGCGCTGAGGTGATCCGCCGTATGACTCACATTTGGCATAGCCAATGTGACACATGGCCGCATATTGCATGATACCCGACTCCTCGAAGTTGTAGGCCAAACGCTGGAAGTCTGCCTGGACATCGGCCACGTTTGGTGCAAAGCGCCTGCCAAAATGTGAAAGTCATATTATTCGCTATAAATTGCTCATATGGATTCACATCGTTTCACTTACTTGAAGAATACTACACGTTCGATTTTCTTTATTTTTGTTGAGGCGCGAAGATATTGTTCAATTGGATTCTTTGGGTATTGGTCGAGCTGTAGCTGTTGTTGGTGTTGATGGTGATGGTGATGATGGTGGTGGTGATGATGATGTTGTTGTTGCTCTGCCGGCTGTGCGTTGGCAGTGTTATTGTTGCGTAGTTTCTCCATGATTTTTAGATATTATTCAAGTGCTTATACATTATACATTCTGATCTTTGTATCAAATTAACTTGTCAAAAGAAAAACAAAAAATAGTAACAGCCTTGCAAGTGCTGTACAATGGTACATAGCAAGCGTTGATAAATTATGCAGAATGGAAAGCAGGCACAGGTTGACTTTTATCACACGTGTGTGGCGTCACAACTTGTTGATTATTTCATTTGATATGCCCAGGAATCGTATTTATTAGTAACCACGCAACGACTTTATGAGTACATTTCGGAATTCAATGTTCGTTCACAATCCAAGCGTGAATTCTGTCGCAAGCTACGCAAGATACAATTTGTGCACTAAGCGGTGTTACCTGTCCATTTGCTCTGTGCCATTGCTGTTGAGCATTAGCCAGCACTGCTCCGCCAGCTGATTTGCGCCCATGCATACAGCGCCATTTTTTGCACAGTCGTAGAACAGAACGTAGAAAAATATTGCAGCGCAAGCCACGTTACCGCGCCGCAACGCATTTAATTAAAGCATATATATTTGATAAAACATTTTATCAGTAATATTGACTAAACGGTCTCTACAATGGCCATTGCCGAGCACGATAACGTTTTTATATTCGTACCAAATCTGATTGGTAAGTTGCCGTTTAGTAAACAAATGTGACGTCGTGTATAATGGGCCGTAATCAATTATCCGCTTACAAAATCTTAATTTCATTTTACAAATAGACAAATTATTGAATTAAAAAGCTGGCTATTGTAGCTGAGCAGAAGATGTTTTGCTAAATGCATCACGAAGCATACAACTTTGCTGTTCTTGGAGTGATTTTTTATGTACATTTTTTTAAATTAATTATTTTTATTGCGTGCCCACTGTGCGACGCATTGGGTGCTGATGTGTCTGTGTGTGTGAGTGTGTAGATAGCAGACAATAACAAATATGTGTGCATAGATTTGTTATTGTTGGTTTAATTCAATTAGCAAGCATTGGTGGCGCTGCAGCCTGTGAAATGCAACACACTAAACGCCCCCTCCTGCCCCCTTCCATCCTCGGCCAATCAGCAATGTCACCTACAGCGCCATCTACATGCGCACCGACACATTATCGATTGGAAATTGACTGCACTTGTTTGTTTACGTCTGTGCGTGTGTGCGTGCGTGTGGGTGTGTGGGTGTGTATGTAATTCGCATTGTTTTGCCTTAAATTGTCTCTTACAGGTTATGCACGCATCGTTTTGGCTATTATTGCGTTTTGGTTTATGTCCACAAACTATGTGGTCGCCGGCTGGTGTTATATAATTAGTGCACTACTGGACGCCGTTGATGGACATGCCGCTCGGGCCTTGAATCAGAGTAAGTTCCTGAAAGCATCTTCAATATCTCTTTCGACTCCTCATCAATAATCAAGCAGACAAACAGAATTTATGACTCAGACACTGACCGGCAAAGTGTTCAGACACGTATTTATGTATTTATCCAGTTGTTGTTTGTGCAATTTATCCGCATACGTGTCCAAACTTGATATCGGATGGTGCCACATTTTAAGTTTTTTAACTTAGCGATATGAAACAGTGCTTCACGGTTAAATGCGATTACCCACTCAGAGGGTATGTGTAGATTGTCGTATGCTTCTCAGTACATGTACATGTATATGTATGTAACAAGTTAGCGGTAAATATATACTATGTATAGGTAGCAAATATATACATATTCTATTTAGAAGAATTATTTCAATAAAATGTACCTGCTAAATCTAAGGAATTAACCTTTAAAGTCGGACAACAGATTTGATAGTCATACAGTCTCAATAGGCTTGTCTAACTTTCACGCTCATTTCTTGTGAGATCATTTGGAAATGAAGGAATAAACACTGCGAGGTATTCCCTAGTCAGGCAACATGCTGAGCCGCCAGTACCTCAGCCTCATCTAAAGCGTTGGTTAATTTTCTACTCTTTTCAGGCACTCGCTTCGGCGCTATGCTGGATCAGTTGACGGATCGATGCGGTACAATGGGCCTGCTTGTTACCCTGGCCAATTTCTACCCGGAGTATATGTTCTGGTTCCAGTTGTCAATCGCCATCGATGTTGCCTGTCACTGGCTCTATATGCAAACGTAAATGAAGTAGATTCAGTTGCGATCCTCTTATAACTATAATATGACATTGACATTTCAGGAGCGTTGTCGTTGGACGCGTCTCGCACAAGGTGAACGACAACTTTGTGATGCGCATCTACTACCAGAAGGATGTGCTCACCTTTATGTGCTGCGTGAATGAGCTGTTCTACGTCTGCCTCTATCTATTGCATTTTACTAGTGGACCTTTGAGTAATTCTATAATAATAATATAGTCAGGCACTCCCGACTATATAACTCATTATTCGTTGATTTTTCATGTATTTTTTTCTCACCAGTATTAGGCGCTTCGTTGTATAAGATTTTGGCCTTTCTCACGGGCCCCTTCGCTATACTGAAGGCTCTGATCTCTGTGATGCACGCCTACGTAGCTGGCATCGATTTGGCAGCTGTGGATGTTCGCGAGCGCCAAGAGAAACGTCACAGTCCGGAAATCCAAAACTCTGGCAAAAAGTTGGAGTAAAAACCAAAAAGGGAAACAGCCAAAGCTAAAGAATGAAACAGCGAAAGAGAAAACCATTAAAAAGTACGAAGCAACAACTGTTAATTCCAAATAACTAAACAAAATTTAATTATTTCTAGATGAATTTTTATTTGACGCTTTTATTTAATCTTTTTAATTTGCACTAATATTTATTTTAATGTACATATATATAATATACATATATATATTTACATTTTTAATTCGTGCGGTGATTCAAGAATTGTAATTTTTATTATATATATGTATTTATTTGCCTAAGTTAAATTTAATGTTATAAAACATATACATATAATATATATATATATATATATATATATATATATATATATATATATATATATATATATATATATATATATATATATATATATATATGTATTTATATCCTATATTGTTAATGATTGGAATTTGATGTCATCCATTTTTAAAATGAATTCTCTTGATCTTAATCTATATGTATTTAACTATATAATGTGTAAGGGTTAACTACAATACAAACCGAGACCTGGTTATATATACATATATATATATGTAGATTTATATTTACATAAACTATCCGTAGAAATTCTCTGCGTTATTAGTCAAAAACAATCGAAAAAAACAGAAATTAAAAAAAAAAAAACAGTAGTTGAAACAGATTGTCAGTGGTTGAACATGATTAATAAATAGAATTTTTATTGTTTTGTGTGTGTGTGCAAAATTTAGAGTTTACATTTTTTGTTTCAACTCGTACGATATTGCGAATGTGTATAAATTTTTGAATTTTGACACCTAGTGGGAAGAAGAGCTGCAGGTACAAAAGAGGTGCAGCCCTGGTAGAAACTATCGATAGAGTTCGAGCACGGCACAGCTGGCGAACAGTGCTGTGTAGCCCTGGTAATGCAAGCAGCCAACCACAATTTGTTGTTATTTTTTATTTGTTACACAAAACTTTAAAATATATTTACTTATTTATTTTAAATATGCTTTGGTGCAACGGAAACTCAGCTGATACAATTTTACATTAAATAAGGGAGACCGCGGTGCAGCGGAGCCATCATGAAGATGGGCATGGGCTACACAGTACTCTCGCGGTTGCGAACCCTGGCACGCTACACAATCGCCTATGCTTGTATAACTCATTGTACGTTTGAGTATGTGGGGGACTTCGTTTTGGTAAGTTAATACTGATCTATCCCTAATGTTATATATTTACATATGTATGTATCAACGCATGATTGTGTTCTAGTGCAAAGGTCCTTCGATGGAGCCAACGCTGTTTTCCGATAATGTACTGCTAACGGAACGTTTGTCAAAATATTGGCGCAAGTATCAATCTGGCGATATTATAATTGCCGTTTCGCCCGTTAATGCTAGCCAATATATATGCAAGAGAATTGTGGCCGTGTCTGGTGAGAAGATAACTACCCTTAAGCCCACTCCAATAGAGGCCGAAACGGCGGCAAAGCAGCCGACTGAAGTTAAAATGGTCACAGATTATGTGCCTCATGGTTGTGTTTGGATCGAAGGCGATAATAAAAGTAATAGCTCGGATTCGCGCTATTATGGACCCATACCGCTCGGTCTAATACGTAGCCGAGTCGTCTGCCGCATATGGCCACTCTCAGAACTAACAGGCCTCTGATCACCACCTACGGCAAGAGACAAATTTATAGTTATCTCTAATTTTATTGTAAATTAACGACCAGTATAAATAAGATAAAAATGTTATTGATGAATGGCTTTAATTTTTCCTTTACACACTGCCATTAACTCCTAGGGTACAAACCGTTATCGATGTATCGAAGCAGTGATAAGCCAAATGTCCTTTGGCCCATTGCACATACACATGTATCGATTAGCTGCACAAGCGATAGTCCGATGTTTAGCTAATTAAAATTCTAAATGGGTTTACATTTATCTATACATTTAACTATGTACAAATAAAAAACACTTTTGAAATAATTTCACTACAGTTTTGGCACTTCCTCGTTACTATCCTTTTCTGGAGCAACATAATACAATTTGTATTCCTTTTTGAGCAGGCTATGCACCATGCTAGAGCAGGTAAAGTCGAGGCCCCGCTTTTGGTAATCCAGATAGGTACGCACGAACAATCGATTGGCCTCTAGCACTTGGGGATGGCAAAAGTACTCATCCAGCGGCATCCACTTGACACGAGCGATCTCACGCTCACATGGCGTGGTTTCCAGATTCAGCGGATTCAGGGCAATGATCACATAAATATCGGAGCATCCAAAATTGCCGCCATGCGAGTGTCGCAGGCAAACCATCGAGCGGAATGTGGTCCGTATACCCGTCTCTTCCATGACTTCACGCACGGCGGAGTCAACCAGATTTTCCTTCGGCTCCACATAGCCGCCAGGCAACTTCCATATGTCCTTTGCTATCGCATGCTTATCGGAAACGACCAGCACTTCGTTATTTTCGTTTATCACCAGCCCACCAACGCCAAGCAATGTATGTGCATAGCTGGGCAAGTTGCTGGGCTCGTCCTTGGGTAGCCACAGGTACATGGTGACGACACCTGAGCGGGCGTGGTGGAAATCGAAGCCTGCTTCAGCCAAAATGGGCACCCAATCGGCCTGCTTCTTGTAAACGCGAAACCATATTGTACGATTTTTGTTTTCTCGCCAAAAGGCCAAAGATTCTGCAAATAGTGTATATATAATGTGAATGAAGAATAGTTCTCTTATAGAATTTACTGTGCAGCTTTTCGCAAAATTGTGCTTTGTCAGCAATGTCCTGTTGGTTGCCATCGACCGTTACACCCAGGTAACGGTCCTTCACCCCTTGAAATACATCCGGCGGTGTGTCCATTGTTCGGAATCTGTCATTATTGAATACATTTAAATTTCACCTGCTACACATGTATATTGACACATTTATGAGCTGGGAATGCACTTACCCCTGATATGAGCGCTTATATACTTGTGGCCAGCCACGAACTCGGTTGTTGTGGTATCCGTGGGCAACTGTTGCTGTTGTAATTGCTCCTGCTGAAATGACTAATTTGCGCCATGTACTTAACGCGCTCGTTAAAGAATTGCTGCGGTTTAGCAATATGACTAACGACATTTAATAACAATGTGACCAAGTTGCGATAAAGCGCAGTATTGCGCTTGGCCGTTGCATATGCAAAACAGTGCGAGCAGCTATCTACAAATAAATTTGGAAACACGAATAATATGACAAAACGTAGATGAATATTTTGTTTTTGTAAAAAATTCGGTAGCAGCCAACATCACAGCATTTAAATATTCTTTTTCAGCGTTTAGCAGCGTACCTGCCTTAAAGCTCGGCTCAGTCTTTATAGAGACCGGAATTAATTGCTGACAAAAAGCCTTATATCAGCGGCAAAGTCACACACACACGCAGGCAATTTTAATCAATTGTAAATATTATTATTCCTGAGTGTTTCCACTCATAGAATATTATCTGTATTAGCTGATGTGATAAGCGCAACAGCCAGTCGACACCCGTCTGCCGTTCCGTTCAAATTTGGCGCATAGCCCCGTCTGCCTGTTGTAATCCAACCTTGAATGACAATGACTGCGAATGTATGTGTGCGTGTGCATGTCGGTAAATATTTTCGTATTAGTTGTCTGCTCTGTTGTTGTTTATTGGGCGTTATCAAAATGAGGTTTATGTAATGCACACATACACGCAGAACAAGTTATTCATTCACATCCCTTTTGTTAAGTTATAATATCGTAACATGTATTATAGCTGTTTGGTGAATTTGTATCCTAAATGTTTTATTTATTTACACTTACATTTCGCGCCTAATTTAGCGTTACAAAGTTCACAGCTTTACACGCAGTGTGACCACATTCTTATGCATGCAAAATACTTCAATTACGTGAAAAATACTGAACAATAACAAAGTATCATACCAACAAGCTCCAACTTGTATAAAATATGTATAAAAATAGAATTAAGCGCTGCCAAAATTAGGTGCAGCGTGTGAATGTGTAAATCTGTTTGTTTCCATGTCCATAATTTCAGAATATGGCTGCCCAGATCATGCAGTGCAGTACATGAAATTTGTTCTTTGATAATTTTGGTCACCCTGATCGTGCAATGCAGCACATCGATATCGATAACAATAGACTTAGTCGATTTCACATATCGTAGACGCGCATTTCTTGTTTATTATTTAAATTCGAAGCTAACAAATGAATACATATCTAATTATATAGTATTTTGCAAGTTGTTGGCTTATTTGTATGCAATTAGTTAGAAACGCATGGGGGTCTGAGTGTGTGCATAAGTCTGATGATTTAGATATTAACCTAATTACTAAGGGACACTCAAATTTGAGACTCAAATTAACATTATTGATTTGTAAAGTATAAAAAATAAATAAAAATGATATGAACATCTTATATACCCTATACTTGTATAAAGTTGAATTTAGCTTTCAATGAATTTCGAAACGAACGTATGTTTGCCTTTGGCCCACCCTCCCTGCTTCGCACTATGCGTGGCTCTCGTTTGGGTCCTGCTGCTCCGCCTCGTCCTCCTCGTTGAGCAACAGCCAAGGATGATTGATGGCCGAAAAGGCCGTGATGCGGCGTTGGGGACTTGTGCAGAGCATCGGCTTCAAAAAGTCGGCAAATTCGTGAGCATCGCGCGGCGACCAGTTGTACCGCTCCATCAGGACCTGATGCAAAGGATGCGGCTCCAAGTTCTTAATATTCAAGAGCTCCCCCTTGGAGTTGAAGATTTCCGCCGAGTATTCGCCACGGGCAATCAGCTCCCTGGGTATGGGCCCGCATGTCTCAATTATGTTAGCGATGTGCACCTCGTCCGGGCTGGCATCGCCGCGCCACTTGTTCGGCTCGAAGAGGTACTCGCCCGTGGCCAGCTCCCAGAAGAGGCAGGCGGCGCTCCAGAGATCGGCCGAGGTGTCGTAGCCAGCGCCCAGTATGACCTCGACGGCGCGGTACTCGCGCGTCTGTATGTCCTCGGTGACATGCTGGTCCACGAAGCAGGCGTTGCCCACGTCGGCGATGGCCACCCTCACTTTGCAGGGCTCCAAGGCGGGGTCCTTGCGCTCGATCATAGCCATGTTGAGCTTGCCGCTGCTCGAGGTGGCAGCGGGCAGGTCGGCTGGGCGCCGAGCCGCTGCCTTCTTGGCGCCCTTCTTGCTCTTCATGCGCTTGTTGTGCAGGTGGTGCGATTCGTTGCTCTTCTCCTTCTCGTCCTTCTCGTCGTTCTCAATGCACTTCTGGACGTAGCGCATGAACTTCTCGGTGCTGCTCTGCAGCATCTTGGCTGCCTTCGAAGAGGAGTAGGAGGAGGCGGAGCCGGAGCCGGAATTGTGGCCGCGCTCAGATTCGGCCATTCTCGAGCGGCGCTTCCTGCCCCGACTCGACGTTTGGGTGTCGCCCACCTGCTCCTCGCTCGAGCGCTCCTGGCTGAGCCGCAGCTGGCGCACTTCTGCGGCAGAGAATATGACGGGTCCGTCGTAGGCAAGGTAGGGCAGCTGGTTTGTGACGGCGTCCAGGGCCATCTTGGTCGTCAGCAGGCCGTGCTTGGCCAGCAGCAGCAGGTCGTCAATGCCGCGCTCGCGCAGCCACTTGCGATGTGCCTGGAAGAAGCTGATGCTCTGCTTGGTCTTGGTGCGCAGGCGGCGCTTGGCCGTCTTGCTCAGCTTCGCGTCGGCCAGGCTGAGCTGCCGCTGGTGTGTGTCCAGGTACTTCTTGGACTCCGCCGTGGCCTGGCTGCGCAGCGACAGCTCGTCGGCCACGAGCAGCACGTTCTCCGGCTTGAGGTCGGTGTGGATGAGCTGGCCCTGGTCGTGCAGCAGGTACAGCCCCTGCAGCACCTGGTAGGCGATCTGCTTGACGTTGTATAGCGGCAGTCCCTGGTAGCAGCTGCGCTGGATGAGCATCAGCATGTTGTCGCCCAGCACGTCGAAGACCAGGCACTGGTGCGTCCCATTGACGCCGCTCGTGCTGAAGTTGTCCGTCATGTTGACCAGGCGGTCGCGCAGCGGGTGCCAGCTGAGCTGCGAGATGTGCCGGAGCAGGCGAATCTCATGGCGCGCCGACTCCGCGTACAGCTCCGCCGACTTCACCAGCTTGATGGCGCAGTAGCAGCTGCGCACCGTGTCGTAGCAGAGCCACACCGTCGAGTAGTGGCCCCAGCCCAGCTTGCTGATGGCGAAGTAGCGCTGCTGGAACGAGTCGCCCACACTTACCGGATGGTAGCCTCCCGGTCGGTAGTCGCTTGGACTCTCGTTCACGTAGGTGTATGGTGTGGTGGGCAGTGTCTCCCCGTCATCTCTGCTGATCTCAGTAGCCTCATCCTCATCCCTGTCACTCTCACTTCCATCGTCATCCTGAGCTTCAGCATTGTTGCTCTCTGTCTGATCGTCGCTTGGGTAGGAGTCAACGTGTGGAGCCTGTTGCTTTGCCTCTTGGACATCTTCAACGGATTCTCTTACCCACAAATCGAGTTGCTCCTTCAGTTCCATGCTCTCGTATTGATCCTGTTTTCGCTCTAGCTTTCGTTTGAATAGCTGCTGCTGGGACTCCTGCTCCAGGTCCAGGAATAGATAGTCCGACTGGTCCAGCTGCAGCAATTGTTCCTGCTCCTCGGCGAGCTTGCGCATCAGGTGCTGTTCCTTTTGTCCTTGCTCTTTCTCCCCTTTCAGGTCATTCTCCCGCCCCCATTGCTGATCGTGTTTCAGCTCCTCCTTCTCCTGCAACGCCACCAGTCCCCGCATTCGCTCCTGGTCTCGCTCCCTCTCCCGCAGCCTATCCCATTCCCGCTTCCTGTCCAGCTCCAGTTTGACCAGCTGCTTGCGCTCCAGTTCCAGTGCCTGCTCCCGCTCCTCGTAGCTCAGCGGGATTTCCGATCGACTGCGGTAGCAGCGATACTTAAAGTTATTTGTTTCGCCAACTGCGAATTGCTCAATATCATCGGCTTGTTCTATTTTTTGGTCTCTTATTTCCTCCAGGGTCATCTTCTGTTGGGTCATCCGTTCGAGCCGCAGCAACAGGCTGAGATCAGTGGAAGCAGCAGACGGCTGCTGGCAGCCGGAGCTCGAGGAGCCTTCGACCCTAAAGGAGCAACAGGAGGAGGATATGGAACAGACTTCGGATTCGGTTTCCGGCTTGGTCTCCGTATCCACGTCCGTTTCGGTTTCCCCGTTGGTTTCCTCGGCCTCCTCGTCGGCGTCATCCTCCTCGGCCTCCTGCTTGGACCTCATCGTCTTGTGGGACATGTCCTCACCACGCTTCTCCCCTTCTTACTCTTCTTGCTATAACGCTATCAATATAAATGGTTCAGGATACAAAATATAAATAATGTATATAAATATAAATATATACATATATCGAGTTTGAAAATTTTATGTGAGTGTTCTATATATACTATACACATGCTACAATTTTAACGGAGTACTAAAACGATTCACACATCTTTATATTTCACAATACATCAATCCAGTCGCACGAGACGCCTGCTGCGATACGAAAAGCACTCGACAAAATTCTTTAAAGTCTTTTCCCTCATTTGTTCTCGTTCTTCTCTCTCATTTGTCTTATTTCATTTCTCTTCCCTTTTGTCTCTCCTGTCTGCGTTCTCTGTTCATTCCACAGTCTCTTCTGTCTTATCTTAGCTTCTCCCTCATCTCTCTCCCTTCTTTCTTCTCTATTCTCCCTTTTATCTTCTTTCATCTATTATTTATCTTCCTTTCTCAGTCTGCTCTCATCTCTCTTCCCTGTTTCTCCTTGTCTCTTTTGTATTGTATACTCATCTCGTCCCCTTTCTCTATCTCTCTCTCTCTCTCTCTCTTTACTTCTCTTCCCCCCTCTTCTCTACACTAATCGGAAAATTAGCTGTTCAGTGATATGGAAAATGTCATTTGGAGCAACAAACTGCGAACAAGCAAAATCCTGTTGCCGTTAACTGAAAAAAAAAAAAAAAATTAAAACGAGAAAACAAAAGAGGAAAATCAAAAGGGATTAAAACAGTGTTGCAAAATGCACAATTTAACAAAGTCAAATCGAAGAGAAGGAGGTGGGGTGAGGGATGTGGTAGGGGAGGGTGTCGGGGGTGGGGGCAACTGCCCATTCAGGTGCTTCAAACGGAACAATGAAACTATAGAAAACTTTCACACAAAAAATTCCCATTTTTTTTGGTGGAATTAAAATTTTTGTTTGTATTTTGATTGCCAGCTTAGCATTATTTTTTTTTTTTATTTTGGGAACAAAATAATGAAAAAACTGATTGTGCCCCTGCAAATGGAGAGAGAAAGCAGAGAAAGTATTTACACAGTTGTTTAAACAAATTTTCCGCTAGGGGTTGAATAGGAAATCCAGTGAAAATTCAATGAAAATTCAAGCGTAAATATGAAAACTCCCGTTCAAATATTTATTTCAGACTTCGATATTATAAGAGGAGGGGGAAGGCAGCGCGAGAGTGGCGGTGGCAGGGGAGGGGCTGACACGTAATACCCCTTTTGTTTGTAATTAGGGAGTTTTCCTTATCGAAAAAATGTGCAAGTTCAAGAAAATTGGGCGATCATTTCTCCTAGTATAATCCATTGCTAAGATCTGTCCAATTCGGGCGTTATGCAGAGTAAATAAGACAAAATATTTACATAATTTGCTTAAAGTAGCTAATGATTACCTGTAAATAGGGTAAATGCAATGGGAATGAGCTTAACAAACAGAGACAAGCCATATGGAAGTCATCTAGCATATATGTATGTATGTATATATATATATATATATATGTAAATATAAATACACTAAATCAGCTGGAATACCCAGAAGGTCAAATATTTTAGATATGGAATATTAAGATCCTGACTGGAAGGTAGAATTTGTTCAATCATTACTGAAATACATACATACATATATTGTGTATACAGCCATGCACACATACATACATACATACGAAATATACATATGTATGCAAGTACACACATATATACATACATCTGCATCTGTACTTTGAAGCTTAATCAACATTTGACATTTGTATGCCTAAACAAACTATACATGAACCAATTCATGTACTTACCGCTGCATTTAGTCACACTGTACAGGTTGGCCAACAATTTGATATGCTTTTAATTCATAATAATTAAATACTTGCCGAAAGTGTGCAATCGGAATAAAAGTGGCTGCCAGGGTTGCCAAGCTGCCGCACATGACAGTTTTTGGCAAGCTTTTTTGTGAGCTGGCAGTGCTGTGCTTGCGCTTGCGCTTTTCTGCGCTCTCGCTCTCTTTCCACACTCGTTCGCTTCACAGGCAAAGATGAGCGTGCGCAAGCGTATGTGTGTGTGTGAGAGAGAGTGGGCGAGCCGTTGCGCAGCTGTATTTGATTTTTCGGTGCACTCGCTCGTCGCTCGTTCGTTTTTCGTTTTTCGTTTTCTATTGCTAACGGTAATAAGCAGCATAATTGGCACATTTTACACAAATTGAACAAAAAGACGGAATGCGCAACAATGCAGCAGCAGCAGCAAAGGCGTCGGCGACAGCAGCTGCAGAGCTAGACAAAGGACGGCACATGCCAAAATGCTGTTGCTGCTGCAAAAAAAAAAAGAAAACAAAACAAAACGGAACTAAAGAAATGTCTGGAAGAAGCAGCAGAGACAGAGACGGAGACAGTTGAGGCAGGCGGCGCGGCTAAACAATGCCAAAAGCGGAAAAATCTCGGCAGCAAATAACACCCAAAGGACAGCTGTCTGGCTGCAGCGAAGACGTCATCATCAGCCAGAGAGCCAGCCAGCGGCTGCGACTGCGACTGCGACGCCGGCAGTGATGTCTTACGCATTGCAGGCGCGTTCGCTGCCCTTGCAGCGATAGCAGCGCGCGGTCAATCGGTAATTGGATTAGGCCAGGCGCTACCCTGAGCATTGACCCGCTGCAGCGCGTAAGCTAATCGAGAAAATAGCGGGACCCCTTTTTTTTTATACATATGCATGTGGACAAATACCCTTGCCAAGTGAGCATGTTAGCTATGTGAGCAAGTGTGTCATAGCATTCATAAGGACTCCTTATTAAGGAGTGCTCGATTTATGCTGACCTGACCTATGCGAACTCATTGGAGGGTCAACTATATCACAGCTGCCTACACGGATGCGGAAGAACGTGCACCTGCTACTTATTAAATATATAATATAATATATCAAATTTAATCAAATCTGTCAACTAGGCACCGCAGCTCTCCGCAGAAATATCATTTTGGAATTCGGTATGTAAAGTCCAATTACTATATATCACTTAATACCAAGCTTAAAGGCTGTTAGAGTATATCCACTTCGGCAGCGGTAGAGCGAGTGTCAATTTTTGGGATGCTACTGCCAAGGAAAACAACGGAAATTAATTAAGAAAACATTGCATCGCGATGTGCGTTGAGGCTGTCCGTCAAACCGAAGAAACCAGCCCGCGGGCAGTCTTGGCCCCTGTCCCTGCCCCTGCCTCTGCCCCTACCCCTACTCCTGCCCCAACCCCTAGCTTTAGCCCTGTTGCCTGGCCTTGGCCCCTGTCCCGTACCATAACGAAGGTTGATTTTTATTGCATGTAAGTTATTTACATGCACATGAATGCACATCACAGAAAAAAAAAAACAACAACATTAAAAGGTTTCCATATTTTTTGTTCTGCTCAGATCGGAAGTAGCCGCTGCGACCCTTTCACAATTGGATTTAATTGTGTTTGACTGACTGGAGAACCCTTTGGAAGCTGTCTGAGCTGCTCTCTTGCGCGCGCTCTCTCACCAGTGAGGCGAGGCAAACGTTGACCAGGACCTGAATACCATATCGTAGTCAATGTATATATCGCCCTATATCTGTCTCTTCGCCTATGCTGGAATGTACATCTTTGGCTTGACTTGTAAGTTTATCAAATTGCTTATAGATTTTGATTCAATTTCCATTCTATCTTCTAGGTAGTTCGGGTAGAGTTCATGTTCGTTCTCTCGTTAGCTCATCGCTCTCCGAAGTATATATATGACTATCACTTAGATATACATATTACATTTCTAGCCAACTCTCTCCCGAAAGGTAAGATATTGACTTTCCTGCCTCCCAGGCAAACTCTTCGTATGAGAGCGTCCTTGCTCGCCCGTCCTGCAGGATTTTCGGGATTTCGTCAATTCTTCATGCCTGAGAAATGTCTTTGTGCTCAGTTGCTCCCGATTTGTGTCAACAGTGTGGGAAATGTTGTGGGCTGTGAAGGGGAAAATCGATTCATTTATCATTCGTGCGCAGGATGTGGGGCGACAGGATGTGACTGGGCACAAACGATTGTTGTGGCCAGCCACTGCGCATCCTGTTGCCCAATCAAAGGATATGCTATATGCACGAAGCGATGAGCAGGATATCACAACAGCAGCAGCAGCAGCGGCGGTAGCAGCGGCAGCTGTCTGGAAGCGACCGCAAGTTCGCGCCCATGTTGCGGGCCAGTTAATCCTTTGACTGGCGTGCAGGATCAACCAAAACAAACGCCGCTGACCTCTTCATTATGCATTGTCAACGTCGCAGGACAATCGGACAGGACGACGATCAGTCAGTGCCAGCGGCCCGCTGAACTGGAAAATTATGCAAGCGCGCGATGTGCCCGGGATTAAGGACGCCTTGCAAGATGTCGAAATGTCGAGCGGCCCTAGGGCGGATCAGCACCGAGCCGGAATTTGCCTTTTTCGCTTGCGCTTGTTTTTATTGCCCCCGTGTCGGACAATTGATTCCGTGACATAAATTCTGATGTAAACAGCCTTACGGTCAGCCCTGGCCCCGCGATTGAGTTGTCACATAAATCTCAGCCGCCGGACGGACATTCGCCAAGGGCCTGCTAGAATATGTCCATGTGTATGTGTGTGTGCGCTAATTGCCGTTGGCTGTGCGAAAAGTAGCCCAAGCACTGAAGCCTGGGAAAATAGATCTTTCCGTTGGGATTGCATTTATTTGGTAGCTAAGGCTAGCTGTTATTTATTGCTGTAATTGTTGTCATCGGCATCATCATTATCGCCATCATTATCATTGTTGTTGTAAATAATTTGATCGTTTATCATTGCCAGTATCATTGCCATTGGCATTGCTGTTAGCAGTGGCATTAGCATTAGCATTAGGATTAGCATTAGCTTTAGCAACAGATTTGGCATAGCCAACTTCATTAGCATTAGCATTAGCATTAGCATTACCATTAGCATATTCTTATTGGCATTTTCTATCTATATTTAAATCTAATTCTTATCAATATCGATCCATCATATCTTCCTTATACATATACAGATCATTCAGGAAATCAGTTTCAATTGCAGATTGCAACGTTATCTATTATCTATTCACCCCATAGGAAGCTACACCTTACTATATCGGCAATAAATAATATACAAATTTATAAATAAACCCTTTTGAGGCCTATAACAAGGAGATGCGTACATATTTGATATATAGTCGAATTATTCATTCACTTTGAGCTCATTTTCAGTTTGATTTGGACTTAGGCATCCCCTCCCCCTTCCTCCCTTCGTTGCATTTGCCATTTGAAATCTGTGCAATTTTCAGGTTAAGGCTTTAAACACGCTATGTGTGTGTGTGTGCAACCCTTTTTGGTCCAATGCTGAGGTCTATGTAGCTGGGAACAGGCAGGCGAACCTTTGCCCCGATTGCAATTGATTTGAAACGTATTAACCCATGACCGCTTTAGCCATTGTTTATTGACTAATTTGTGGTTAAAAATTTGGCGCGATTTCACAATTCGCATTCCTCGAGACAGATTGAGATTTATGTGCGAGTGCGTCTGTGTGTGTGTGTGTGTGTGTGTGTGTGTGTGTGTGAGTGTGTTTGCCAATAAATCTTTGTTTTTTTTTTTTTTTAAGTGTGCGAAAACTTTTGGCGTGTTGTGCAGCGAGCGGGAAAACAACAACAACAACAACAACAACAACAAAGAAGACTTTGTACAAAGCAAATGAGAGACGTGAGAACGAGCAGTGCGATCGAGGTCAAAGGTCGAGCTAGAGGAGTAGATATGTATATAGAATCATCCATATAAAGTTGACTACAGTTGGAGCTCCTGCAACTGCAGACCCTTCGATGATGATGTCCAGTTATACACTCTAGTTATATAGAGCAACGGCTATTTAATCTTGACAACTGTGATACACCCAAAGTCGGTTCAAGTACTGCACTACGATGTACCCGGAACACATTCCGCACGGCAAACGGCACCACGTGCACACATACATACACTCTTATGGAAATCTATGTGTTCGTTATCCGCCGATCCTGGCAGCAAGGCGCTCTAATAGAACAGTTGTAATTACATTCAGATAACTGTTGAGAGCGTGTTGCAAGTGCTTCGACTTCCTGGCTGAGCCCTAATTGACAGTTGTCAACGGGGGTGGCGCGGGTGGCAGCAGGGAAATGTCAGAGTCATAAAATTAGAAATTAACCCGACGGTAAAACATCTGTAAAAGAGCCAAACAAATTTTTCATATGCCATCATAAACTTGCAGATCGACTTTTGTGCTAATGTGTTGGGCGCGTGGGTCGTTGATCGAGGTGGTGGTTGCTGGTGGTGCTGGTGGTGCGATATGCATCGTGCTCGACGCTAGCCTTTGACAGTTTATCATTAGGCTGAGGGTTGTCGAAGGTCCTTCAGGCAGCATAATGACGTCTCTCCTGCCCCCCCATTAGATGCATGGTAAACAGTTGAGGGGTTTTCATAAATTTAATTGATTTTCTGCACTCGGACAACGGAGTCATTAGCAGATCCTTGAACAGCGATAAACCCAACCACTAACTGCTCCTGTTCTTATGATTAATGTACGCACTCACTGACCAGAGCGGCAGAGGGGCGGAGAGGGAGGGTGGGAGAGAGGGAGAGATCAAAAACAAAACAGAGAAATACATGTACATAGATGAACAAAAAGAGAGAGAAAGCAAATGAGATTGAGAGAGATCGTTGCACTATCCTCCTACAAATGCTGAGAGCATTAGAAATGTTGGTGGCGTTGAGAATCGGGACAGAAGTCATTGCCCGTCTATGTATGCATGTATTATGTTGAATCTGTCATCAGCTGCTGCTGATCAGCTGATCAGCTGCCGGTCGACACTGCGTAGCTCATGGCAAAAAATATTTGCAATCATAATAAATTTTCTTTTCTTTCTGTTGTTTGCTTTGAATAATCTTAGTTGCAGCAACTAGTGATTGCGACAAATCCTGCGATTCCGACCATTCGGCAGAGGTAACATACAAATCAAAGTCAAATTGAAAGTCTGAAAAATACGTACCAGAAATGCAAAATAAAATTCTGATTAGCTAGCGGTCTGTTTTCCAATTGAAAAGTTGAGCTTCCAATTGGAGTGAGGCTATGAGTGGGAAGAAGCTTAATGTGGTAAGTGAACATGTGAATGAGCGACTGAATGTATCAATAAGAAACTAGCTGCTAAAATACTTGCCTGCCTGCGTAGTTGCCAATTAGCGGGCGAATAGAGAAGGACTGCGTAAGTGGGAGTGAAGAGGAGATAGCTAGTGTGCGAGTAGAAGCATGCTGCGCATCGTTAGTGAGAGCGAGCTGAAGAGAGTAAAAGCGTGCGCAACTAAGCATCTTTCTGTCAAGCTAAACTGAAGGGGAAGTCGAAAACTACGCGCGAATCGGGAGAGAAGGAGAGGCTAGCTGCGCATCGTGAGTGGGAGTGAGTTAAAGAGAGCGTTAGCGCGCATGAGTAAAGTTTGCTGTGCAGATAAAGGAATGTAAAAGGGGAAAGCTGCGGCGCAGCTAAATGAGAATCAGTGTTAAATGTAGGGCACAGGCATAGGTGCATGTGTGTGTTGCAGTACGTTTCCTCATGTGGAAAAATGTAAGTATGGAAATTTATTTGCCTGCCTGCCAGGTTTTGCCTTGGGCCAATCAATTAAGAATTACATAAGAAAAAAAACCTAAGGCAAAGGGGTTAATGTTTGGGTATGACAGAGAGCGAGCGAGCGAGTAAGATTCAATAAACTTAACATTTTATTCAAATTTAATTGCAGCCATGCATTAATTTTAATGTTTTGCATCGGAACCTGATCCTAAGCAACTGTCAAATGCTTGACAGACTCTTCCAGCTGAGACGCGCACACCACAGGCACTGAGACTGCGAGTGTGAGTGAGAAAGATTTGCTGTCCCGTTTATGAAACTCATTTGCATAGGGAAGACGGAGCCAACCCTCCTTGCAGCGGCCTCCCTTTCTTATTCGTTTGGCCAATGGCTTTTGCGGTCGCGAGGTTAGATTTATGAACAGCAACAGCAACAACAATAACAATATTCTATAGTTTCCCTTCATTTCGCTCTAAATGCGCATTTTTGTGTCTAAACTTTTGGATTTTCTTTTCGAAATTCTTGTAATTTTCTTGACAATTAAATATGCAAATGTGACTAAACGTTTAGCCCCTGGCCCGAGACCCTGCCCCGGGTCCTGGTCCTGGTGCTTTGTACATTTATCGTATTTCGTCCTGACCCGAAGCAAACAAATAAAAAAGATAAAAAAAAACTAATTTAGAGCTAAGATTTACTTGATTCTTTGTTCAAATTTCTTTCACATCAAAACGGGCAGAAAGTGATTTGTAGTGCATTAATATGGCATAATAGTTCGCTTGGGTCTCAACGATGTAGGCATCGGCATGAGTTCCGCTAAAAACGGCCACTATTGAAAGCTAATGCGCTAACAATTCTGACTAAATGAGAGAGAGCGTCACGCAAAATAAAATTCTAATTGGATCACTCAATGCTTCAATGTGAGTGAGGAAGACAGATGACGTGCGGAGCAGAAGCTTGATGGGCATCGTTAGTGGGAGTGAGCGGGCCAGAGAGTGAGCATGCAAATTGAAGTTAGCTGCGCTTCTGTAATGGGAGGGGAACAGGTATCGTATTATGTTATGTTAACTCAGCTTAATGAATAATAATTCTAGAATATTAAAACTATGTACATCCAAAATAAAATTTTATCGATCTCAATAAATATATATGTAGATATGTGCATATAAAATCAAAAGAAATTATATTGGGAATTTCTATAAATAATATTCGGATGCCTTTGCTTGCCAGTGTTGGTTAATGTCAATGTTAATCTGTTATGTAATTTTATGCATGACTTGGAGCTGATTTTGCCTGGACACGACAACACTTTTGCTTGCAGTGCTGGTTAACGGCACATTCGATATTCATTTTCATTTTAGAGCTGTCAGTTCTCTGCTTTTCATTTGCAGTTTTCAACAAGCTTAGCATTTAAAAAAAATTGTCTAATCAACGTAGCTCAATTTTTGCTTTCTACAGAATTCGGTTATTTCTTCAGTTCTTCAGTTTTTATCGTGAATATCATGCAAAAATACCAATTGGAACAGCAATCGCAAGCTCTCTACCACGGACACGTGGTACCGCAGCCGCAGCCGCAGTCGCAGCCGCAGCCGCAGCCGCAGTCGCAGCCGCAGTCGCAACCGCAGCCGCAGCCGCTGCCTCTGCAGCAGGAAGTGGAAGCAATGAATATGCAAAATCTTCCACCAAACGGGTTGTATCATAATGGCGTCTGGTATAATAACACCACGCAGCCGTTCAACTCGTACCAGCCGGCGGAGGGCGGGCCTGTGTCCGTGCAAGTGCCGGTGGTACCCCAAGCGACGTATGAAGGGCAGTCATTTTTCTGTCAGCCAACTCAGTTGCTGGAGAATCCGGACCAGGGCAATGCAGGTGCCGCTTCCGCCGAAGGTGCTGTGGAGGCACAGGCTCAGGTGCAGCCGCCGGTCGTCTATCAGCAGCCGTGCCAGATGGTGCAGCCGATGCAGGCGATGCAGCCGATGCAGATGGTGCCAACTGCAGCGACCAATCAGCCGGACAATCAGTCGGCCTACATCTATCAGCCGTACAATCAAACTTTTCAGCCCATGCAGCTGGTCGTTGCACCACCGAACGCACCGCAAGGCAATCGAGCACAGGCGAATGGAGTGCCACAGAATGGGGGCCAGTTGCTTGGAGCTGCCAATGTGCAGCAGGCGATGCAGGTGCAGATGCAGCACCCAATGCAGGTGCCGCAGCAAATGCATATGCAAATGCAGCAGCAAATGCAGATGCAGATGCCGCAGCCAAGGCAGGCGCCAATGGAGTCGCCGATGCAGGCACCGATGCATCAGCTAATGCAGGCGCCGATGCAGGTGCAGATGCAGCAGCAGGCTTTAAAGGAGGCGCCGATGCAGGCGTCCATGCGGATGCAACAGGCAATGGATCCAGCAATCCAACATGCAGTGCAGGCCTTAAAGGAGGCACCGATGCAGGTGCAGATGCAGCAGCCGCTGCAGGTGCAGATGCGGCAGCCAATGGATCCACAAATTCAGCAGCGAATGCCGCAGGATTCAGGTGCAGCTGCACCAGCTTTAGCGCTCGCGCCACCAGTGGAGCCAAATTATCCTTATAAGATCTACAACTATCAGGATGGGACTGGCCAACCGAGGCAAGCAGCACCGGCACTGCCACCACTACCGCCACCGCCTGCACCACCGCAATTGGCAGCACCACAAGCAGCAGCCCAGTCGGTGGAGCAGCAGCCAGGATTCTGCATGCAATGCTGCTACCCGTGCTGCACCAATCCGGTGGTGGGCGCACCGTCCGCCAAGCAGCCAGCTGAGGCCGAGTCGGAGCTGCTCGAGATCGACATAGCTGTGGCCAGCGACGTCTACATAACCCGTACGAACGAGAAGCTAATGGTCACCATTTACAAGCAGAAGAAGTCGACCAAATCTGAATTCTCCCAGAATGTCTATATAAATGGGGGTCCGCCACCTGAGGCCCACGTGCAGGCTGAACCGGACAGCAACGGGGCCTCTGTTCCTGCCAGTCAGCCAGCGAACCCGGTCGGCTACATTGCTGCACCACCGTCTGAGGTGAGTTCGCATTCTATATCTGTGTCTGTCCCGCTCTCTTTAAAATCTCTTCCACTTTCTCAAGGTCCCTCATGAAGCGGCTGCCAATCAAGCACCACCCCTGGCCCAAATGGAGCCTACTAATCTTTGTGCCCGGGAGCAGGTAAATATATGGACACCCTGTATGCCCCGTAACCACTCATAGCTTGAAGAAGAGGCTACCAATAGCCGTTTCTTCAATCGATAAATATCGATTCAGGAGGTCTACTATACGTTAAAGCGCATTCATATATAAATGTATGACATGTTATATCTACAGTATATATGCTTCTTTTGCAACTCCTTATATATTCCAATAAATATCGATATTTCTTGAGACATGAGACATGTATACTATAAGAATTATGCGATTTATGGACTCAGAGAGCAGTGAATAAACTAAATTTTTATGAAATTTTTCAAGTGGAAGCACCATATATGTATATATGTATATGCACAAATACCTATACATAAGTCTGGCCTAAGCTGATTTTTTGCTAAGCTGATTTATATATATATATATATATGAATCACGCACGTTAATCGATAAATATCGTTGAGCTGTGACTGTTTTTCGCATAATTCTTAGCCTATTTTATAGCTTGTCGGCCAATTCGTACGACTAGAGTATATACATAGGTTATATTACGATCTCTAAAAACTTTTCTCGCTTTGCAGCCGGAGCCCAAGATTGCTCAAGCAAACGAAATGGAGCAATTCAAACCGCGCATTCTGCCTTTCGATGAGAATGGTCAATCGCGTTTCTCTGAATGCAACGACATGGAAACACGCTGGCATCAGGAGATACGGGATAAAATGGACAATCAGCTGGACAAGGAAATAGAACAAACACTAGAAAATCAATTGCAGCTCAAAATGGAACCTAAAATGGAAAATAATACCGAAAATTCTACGGAAGGTCCGTACGAACAGTTTCGAGCACCGCGTCGCATTATGCAACCCATCAATCCAATGCCGATAGCTAGGCCACCGAGAGACGAACCAAAACATTATAGGACTAACTTTTCAGGTTATAAACACGGTCAGAGTTCATTGCGCGAGAAGCCGGAATTTGTCGTCAAGGAAATTCTTAAATCCACCAAGCAAATACAGCAGCTATCCAACAATAATGCGAAAGCTGATAAAATTCCAATGAACGGCTCTCATTTGCAGGCGGAGCAGACTTTGGCTCCAAAGAACGATTCCCATTCAAAGACTGAGCAGACTTTGGCTCCAAAGAACGATTTTCATTCAAAGACTGAGCAGACTTTGGCTGCAAAGAACGATTTCCATTCAAAGACTGAGCAGACTTTGGCTGCAAAAAATGATCACCAACTAAAGACTGAGCAGACCTTGACTCCAAAGAACGATTCCCATTCAAAGACTGAGCAAACTTTGGCTCCAAAGAACGATTCCCAATCAAAGACTGAACAGACCTTGGCTCCAAAGAACGATTCCCATTCAAAGACTGAGCAAACTTTGGCTCCAAAGAACGATTTTCATCCAAAGACTAAGAAAACCTGGGTTCCAAAAAACGATTTCCATTCAAAGACTAAGCAGACCTGGGCTCCAAAAAACTATTCCCATTCAAAGACGAAGCAGACCTGGGTTCCAAAAAACGATTCCCATTTGAAGACTGAGCAGACCTTGACTGTAAATAACGTGAAAGCAACTAAGGCTACATCAAATTCAAATCAAGTCAACTCAAACAACAGGCAACAGTTGTCGCAAAACTCCGATAATTTGATAGTTAACATAGCTCCGGGAAATGGAAACAACATCCAAACTGTTCAGGACTCAAGTTTAATACAGCCACTCACTGAAGTCAGCGTATCTCAGTCTCAGGCTGTGAAACCAAAGACTGAGTCCATTACACCAGAGAGTCCGAAACCAGCTCAAGGCCCTCCCCAGGAACCATCGATCCAACCGAATCGAAAGACAGAACCAAAGAAAAGCCCTGTAGATTCGCCAGCTTCAAAAACAGCAAAACAAGACAATTCTAAACAGATTCAGAAGCCAAAGGGCATACCAAGGATTTCCAAGAAGCAAGCTAACCTCTTGGCACGTAGGAACCAAAGGCCATTCCAGCTGCAAGCTGAAAGATCAAGCCCGAAGAAACCGCAATCAAGAGCGACCTTTGCTCCACTCATCTATAATCTATCAGGTCCGGAGGGTCTGCGCGAAGGGTCGTCTACTCAACAGAAGTCTGCTGTAAATGTGAAGAGCGCAGCCGAAAACTCATTAGCGAAATCAAGTCAGAGCAGCCCGAATGTAAATGGAGAGACTATCAAGACAGATTTACTAAGGGCATCTTCAGTGATTTCGAGGGATGCTCCAAAGTCATCCTCGGCATGCAATAAATCCTCAGAGAGTACGCCGCAAGTAAGCCCAAGAGAGCCCAAGCCTGTAGTTCCAGAAAAGACGTACCAGCCCCCTAGTCCAAAGGTTGATCATCGCAATTTAGAACAAACAGCAAACGAGGCGACATCTTCTACAAAGGTTCAGTCCAAGTTGGCTCAGGTCAAAGATCAAATTGATGATTTGAGTTCAAAGTGCGTTACTCCAGCCAGAGCGAGTAACCCAGTTTTGGCACCGGCCAAGCAAAATCGATCTGGGCGAGCGGCACATGCTCGTAATAACGCATCAAAGGCTCCTAACTCAAAAGCTCAAGCCAAACAAAAGGGTCAGACGACGAAAAAGAAATCATCCGAATCTGCTCCATTGAATAAGTCATCGAAAACAGTTGGCGCACAGCAAGCAACGAAGGTTCTCCCAAAAGTAAAAGAACCTATTATTATACAGTCGGTAGAGATCATCAGGCAGCCAGATAAGACATACAATCAAAGAAAATCAGCAGCTGAGGACCTAAAGCCAATAGCTACAGAAGCTGCTGGAAAGGATTCCAAAGACGTTATGAAAAATCAAGCTATCCTATCTACAGAAGATTCGGCTGCGGCTGAGGTCAAGAAAAGTGACTTGAAGCCGGATGAAAGTGGCGATCAGTCGCTAGAATTGGAGCAGAATAAAACTGAAGTATCTGAAGCAGGTGCTGAAACGGAGGGTGCTATATCGGTAGAGCTACAGAAAGGATTCAAGGACGGGGAGGTGGATTCAATGAAAACTCAATCGAACTTAGTGCCATGCCCTGATAGCTGGGAAGAGTTAGCGAAAGACGAATCGAAAGTAATGCAACCACATCCTGAAGAGATGGAGTCCAATCAGGTAGCTAACGAGGAGGTAGATTCTGGGACAATTCAATCGTTCTTCTCCACAAACAATGAGCTAGTGGTGGACCTGGATTCAAACGTAAAGACGTTAATTATGGAGCTCATACAGACAGTGGAGCATACATTGTTTCATAGCCAGGAGGTGGATTCAAATACAAACCAATCAACACCCAGTGATGAGAACGAGGAGCTAGAGAAAAGCGAGGAGGTGCTGGAAGAGAGAAATCTGTTGAGCTCGACTTCAGAGGGTACTACGTCGGTAGAGGTAGAGCAACGCGACGAGGAGCAAGGCTTAGAGGGTGCCACATCGGTAGAGCTGAAGGAATCTCAATCAGAAGGAGTTACATTAACTGAAATCAATGAGAACAGTCCAGGGTCAGCCTCGAAGCATGCTGAAATCAATATGCTGCTCACTCACAGTGACATAGAATTGGCTTTGGAGGATGCAAACCAGATGGAGAACAATGCAGTCAGTCAGGCCAGCTCAGGCGAACCAGGGTTAGAGCTCAATGTAAGTGAAACCGAATCGAAAATAGATGTCAATAGGGATCAAACAAAAAGTTCGGAAAATTCAGAAAGTACAATAGCAGCGAATGAGGGGGACGTGGTAAACGCCAATCCAGGCGAGCCAGACAAAGATGAAGCTGATGCGGAGGTACAGCCTTTTGGCGTGCAGCAAAGGAGTACGTTAAAAAAGAAAAGCCCGAGACTCTCGAGAATGGAGCGCAAGGCGATGCGACGCGAGGCAAAGAAGGCGCTACTCGAATCGCTGGCCCAGAAGAAGAAGGAAGAGACCGAAGGCAATGATAAGCAACCAAGTGAGCAGGCGAACGAGGAGCAGTCGGAAAAGCCCAAGGTCAACAAGAAGAAGAAGATTAAGATATATGGCTTCGAAAGGGAGGATAGTTCCGAATCAAGTTCCGAGGAGGAAATCGATAGTCCGGAATTGAATGATATTAGCAACCCACTTTTGCGACGCAAACTCAATTCAATCATTCAGAAAATTAATAAGCTGTAATCTACCAAAATTATATCAATAAAGAATATAAATATGTATAATTAAAGAACTAATTTTTTTTTTTCAGTATTGTTATTACTTATTACTGAGTCCAGTTTTGTTCCATTGCTGACTCAATTTCTACCTATGAATAGATTCATCTTTTTTTCGTGTTGCAGCAGTTCCGGAAATGGTTCCAGTTTACAGCTAAGCTTGAGCTAGATCTTAAGTCTGTTCCCCTATAGAGACACATAGTCATATGCCACATGAACCAGATTGAAAGGAAGATCTTAATCTAAATTAAATTGTTGTCAACTGTGAACCTCGCAGCCTGTGACAAATGCCGATTTACAGGGTCTCGGGAGACGTTTTCAGGTGTGGCTAGCACTAATTAGGTGTCGAAAGGATTAACAACGCCTACGAGCTCTATTGAACCGAACTACCTGCTCATTAGCATACCTTGCTTACCTGACCCGACTCAACTCCTCGCCTATTCAATGAGCCCATCTTTCATTCATATCTCTCTATCTTGATCTAGGCATATTCTAATTCTAATCCTTGCCTAAGCAACTTCTCCTTTTTGTTCATCCTCCTTTGCTTTCATATTGCGACAAATGTTGCATTATATCTGATGAAAGGTGCAAGAAGGTGTCGGAAATCCTTTCTCCTATCTCCTCCCCTACCCAAGCAGCTGTGCGGGTGTTTTCCTTTGGTGTCTAGATACTGGATCTATAGATGCAGATCAGTATTTAGGACACGAGTTCTAATGCAGCCGTTGTTTACCGTTTACTAATCCCAGCTCAAGCAAAACGCTCATCAGGTAAGTAAAATACAAAACATGAATGCAAAAACTAGATTCAGAAAAGCGCCCAAGGGAGCGTAGGTTTCTAGTCGTTAAGCAGTCATGCCGTCCGGTGGTCTCACTAACGGAGCATACTTCGACGTCATATTATCAATATATGGAGGATTCGTTCAAAAAGTAGCACGAGCAAGACCACTGGCTGCACACAGTATCTAGATATATGTATAAACGAGTATACCATATTATGACTCAAGACGCGGAAAAGAGCTAACCAGGCTAAACTTCTGATCACTCACAAGAGATCTCCCGAAATGGACGCCCAGAAAGAGGGAGAGAGAGAGAGCCGATTGGAGTAAAATGTGAGGAGTACAATCTGAGAGAAAGGGGAAGAGAGCGACAGTAAAAGAGAGTCAAATAAGGAGAGAGGGAGAGAGAAAGAGCGAGTAGAGTAAGTTAATTTAAGTTAGTCGAGTGTTTCATTGTTGTTGTCGTGCTCGGCTGTCAGCTGGCACGTGGACGTTTAACCGGCGTCCTCCTCAATTTTTCGGGCCCATCAAACGGGCGACTAACTCATCTAATTGGCAACCGGTAGTCGATGGCCGCTACCACTAAGCGGTGCAGGCCACTCTTTAAGCCTTATCTCTCGCACTTATCGTAATTGCATCGCGAGTGAGCACATTCGACTGTGTCATGTCACATGTCTCATGTCACATGTCACAGCGCCCGAGCCACTTGCGATGGGAGTTGAGAGAAAGCTACGGAAGAGAAAAAAGCCTCACGCGTATCGATATCTACGCAGCCTTCCGCAATCACATTGTGCGAGCTAATTCAGTGTTCAATTTATATTTGCGCTTAGGTTTACAATAATTCATAAAGGGTAGTGAGGGAGAGAGAGAGAGAGAGAGAGAGGGAGAGAGAGGGTACTAGTACTACAGTTGAATATTGCATGGCAGAGAGACACGGAGAAAGAGAGAGAGAAACTGTAAGAGAGAGAGGCACAAAGAGGAAGAATGGCAGAGAAAGAAAAAGGAGAGACGACAGTGTGTGTGTGAGAGAGAAAGAGAGATCGTGAAGGCGAGTGCTTGGTAAAGACAGAGGTAGATTTGAGATGGGAAAAGTTAGGACAGAAGAGAGCTAAAGTCAAGGAAGAACACAAGCTCGGATAAGACAAAGGGAGTCGGGCTTCCTTCAATCTCAAGTCAACCCCATAGCTTATTTACTTTTTGCTTGGACTGTCGATAGCTCAATAATTCATAATAAAAATAGATCTCGAGAGACACAGAGAGAGGGGGTAGAGTGATGGTAGAGTCAAGACGGAGTCGCTACCCCGATCGTGTGTCCTGAATAATTTGCATAAATTGACATTTGCATATGTCTTCGGGGCTGGTGCCTGAAAAGCGAAGTCGAAAACGGAATCTGACTCTCTGTCTCTCTCTGCCTCTGCCTCTGTCTCTATCTCGCACACACATTTCTTCTGTCTTTGGTTGCGTTCGACAGCTGTCGCTCTGTCCCGCCCCTGGCTGACTTTGTACCCTCGGCTCTCGAAAGGTGTGAGCGCATGTAATAGACATGCAAGACGCAAGATGCCAAATGCAAATCCGAAATCCAAAATGCAAATGCGAATGGAAATTGAGAAAGAAAAGAATTCTGATTTTCTTTTTGTTTTTGTTTTTGTTTGGCTGTATATATTTTGTTGTGATATGTAAGTTGATATATATGATATTTGATTTTCAACTTTCCCAAATTAACTGCGTACACCCTCTCGAGCCGACAGCTGCCTCAGATTCTACATGCAAAATATTAGTTCCAAGTGACATTCTCTTCCCTGAGGCCATGAGGGCAAGAGCAAAGCTAGCTAGTAGCTAGGATAGTCCTTCAATCGGTCAGTCATAGGCAGTCAATCAGTCTGTCAAACATTCTCCAAAATTTTCATATAACATACGTTATATCTCCTTTCCAGTGGATCTTGAAGTTGATCTCTAGATATCAAAGCTAGCTATATAAGAAGCTTTTAGTCCTAACTAATCAGACTTATATTTATATATCTTATACTCTACACATACATTTTAATCTGGCAATATTCAGATTCGATTGAATTCTTCCAATTTCACATAAATTTGAGACGTGCCAAATGATAAATAGATTTATCCACAGGGTATCCACGTCTGATTCATGCATATGCAATGCGAATTGCATTTCTCATACGCTACTAGATCATCATGCATCACAGGATTTCCGAGAGATGAAAGAGCTGTAGAGTGATGGAAATGATCTAACAAATGTTGCATATCATTAATGCAAATCTGGGAGATGGGAGAAATGTCTGATCCGCTACTCCTTTTTTTCGCACTACCCTTAGCTGTCATGTCGGTGACAAATATTATTATAACAGTTGCAAAACTGATCAAAGACAGGCACTGACATAAATAGAGAAAGAGAGAGAGAGAGAGAGAGCGAGACAATAATATGCATTGTCTGGTTCATTAAGTGCGGCTCACTTGACAGCGATTGAGAGAAAATGCAAAAAAGGTAAATTGGAGAAACCCTTTGCTTTCGGATTTTGCGGCCTGGGTCGTGAGAGAAAAGAAAACAGCTTAAACTCAACTTCAGAATCGTACCCCCACCCCTTGTCGACCTCTCGCTCTGCTTATCTCATCCCCACACCCTGCGCAACCCTTTTCTCGTTTCCTTTCTTGAAGTGCGCAAAAATTTAAATGATGTCAAGGTGGATGAGAAGATGAGCTCGACGAGTTCGACGAGTTCGATGAGCTGCGATCGGATTAGATTTCAATCATTTGCAATTTTCCGCATTTACGCGAAATGCAGCAGCAGCAGAGGAAAATGAAGAAGGCGGGGGAATTGCCAACGCCTGGAAAGAAAGCATCGCAACACCAAAAAAAAATTGAAATACAAAGGCAACAAATTGATCTTCCGCGAGATGAAACACTTTGTGCCGAAAGACCCTTTGTCCATGGAAAGAGTTACGATATTCTGGAGAGAGTGAACGACAGAAAGAGAAGTGCATACTTAATAGAAGGTTTAAGATGTCAAATTTGAATGATGGCAGAAAGAGAGAGAGAGAGAGAAATAGAAAGAGAGAGAGAGAGAGAGAGTTAATAGAGAGAGTTAGCAAAAGAATAGGAAGGTTAGAAAAAGGAAGAAAGAAAGAGATCGATTGATTTAAATAAATATATATAGAGCGAGAAAGTGTGGTAGAGACAAGAAGTAAAAGATAGAGAGAGGAAGAGTTGATGAACTTAAGGTTAATACTTATATTCTATCGTCCACTGATCTCGAAATTGGTTCACTAGTTCGTCAAAGTAACTTGTTCCGCTGAACCATACTTAATGGAACAAACTCGATTATATATTAAACTGAATCGAGCTGACTGAGTATTTCAATAAAGCAATGGGCTATGAGTTTCGTTTCGTTCGTTGATCTCAAATCCTTTGAAGATCTTTGCTCATTTGCTCTTCTTCATTTGACTAGTTGCTTTGAATGCTGAACCAGTTACAACAGTTACTCTCTGCCAAACTATTCAACTGCCTCGATTACTCCTCCGCTATAGACTCTATATCAAGTTATCATCGACTTCAGCTGTAATTGAGCTAAAATTTCAGTTCCTTAGCTTCAGTTCAATTTTCTTTTCGGGCTCAGTTGGTGGATGCGTCTTGAGCACCTGCTGTCGTGCAATTGGAAATTGAAAATTGGTTCTAATGAATGGCCTGGCACACTGCAAATAACACGTTATATAGAGCACAGCTCTCTCTCGCCCTCTCTTTCTCTTTCTGTTCCTTCCCCCGCCTCTCGCTCTCTCTTTTGAGTTGTTAGCAGTTCCAAATTGATGGCAAAGGACATGCTCGGACGGCCAACAGGTGAGTTTTGCATCTTGTAGGATACGCCTAGTTAGAGCCTTGTATAGCAGAGCGTGAGAGATCGGCTCAAAATAGGCAGTGGGAGTCAAGGAGTGAGAGAGAGAGAAAGAGAGAGGCGATTGGGATATGCATATTTAGCGCCTGCTTCTAATGGCTTGGAAGGACCCGCAGGACATGCCAGCCTAGAGGCGACGCGACGTGTCGACGGTGTCAAGGTGTCTTTGTGGCTGCGAGTGCTTGCTGTCAGATGCCCCGTAGAGCTATCGCAGGCGCAAGCGGGTATATTGCACAGCTGAAGAATTCTTTACTTGAATAGCTGTTATATGCATATTCCATAACGTGTAGTAAATTACAGGGTATTTGGCGCTTGGAAGTACTACTTTTACTCTTGAGCTATACTCTAGCCA